TTTATGTCTTCTACTTCTTTTTTTTTTCGCTTGTTTGAAGATTGAATTAGCTCGTTAAAACCGGCCGTTGATCGCGCTGACCGCACTAGATTCGTTGCGTCCATTCATCATTTTCTCGTTCGTCTTACTCGTTTTGAAAGGGGCGAACGAACGGCGGCGACAACTAACACGACAGCGGTCCCTGTGGCTAGGCTCGCCCGACATTCTTCTATTCCGGCCATTTACACGGCGCGTCTACAAACGCCGTAATAATTGTTTTCGTGTCGCGGGATATTGTTTTATAATTTCATCAAAACGGACGGCAAGAACGATGGCTCGGATTCCGTCACTTCCGGCGTACATTCGCAATGTAGCCAAACGTACCGATAAGATATCTTGTAGCGCCATTAGTACATACCATGCAGTATGACTCGCAATTTTAGCGTTAATTTTAGTCTGTCGTTGTGTCACGTCGTTAGTTATTCATTTCAACACGTACATAATGGAAAAGAAGAAATTATATAGTGTAGCTATACAGGGCAGAGAAAGGAATGAAAACGATAACCGGGTAAAAATCATTATATTATTTTCATCCCATCGTAAACGCGTCCTGCATTATTTTTGTCGCTTTATCTTAATTCTCTGGAACTAATACACGCTACATACTCCTTGAACTTCTCGTTCTGTCTGTCAAATTGTTCCTCCGATATTTTTATTCTAGTAAAATCGCTTTTTCAGCGAAATACCAGACGCCGTAAAATATAAATGATTTGTAAAATTCAATCTGCTGAACACGTTTTGAAGGATAAGAATTTTCCAAGAAATGCGTTAATGATGACTGTAACACATGGGTCTGTAAGACCCGTGTACGTAATCCCATGCCGAGGATCAGCACGCACGTCATGCCCTTACAAGCCTCGCAGTCGCACGCACCCGCGCGGGCCCCGCTCATCTCTCCGCGGATAAAGTCGGACGCACACACAGCATCACGCGCGCGTATCCGTTTTTTTCTGGCCGCCTGAGCGGGGAGCTCCCGGCGACCACCTAGTGCCACGTGCAGGAACTAGGGCCGGCTTTCGATCGTTACTGATCTACCTACGTTAAGTGTTTGCCCGATGTCCGTGCGACCACCGGGAGCCCCACCCTGATTGTTATACCGCCCGCCGCCGCCGGCCTTACGGTCGCGAGCCTTACGGGGCGAATTTTGCACGACTTATTTTCGGTACGGCTGCTCGACGACGCGGACGGCGCGCGGATGAATCATCGAAAGAATGAATCGCGTGAACACGACAACGCCGCTGTAAGGAACGCAACGAGAGAGACCGGTCGCTGTTATTTCGAAACGCTGATTGCTGCGCAACGGCGAAACGACGTTGCCCCGCGAGGCAACGGTTTCGGGGACAGGCGAAACGACGAGAAGACGCTAAAGAATGATTACGAAAGGATGGGGTCGCGAAAGATTTTTTCCGATATGTATCTCCTCCGACGATTCGTATCCGCGGAAAGAGAGAAAGAGAGAGAGAGAGAGAGAGAAGGTCCGCGTACCGAGACGGATTGAGAAACGTTATTCCGGAGCTTCTCACCACGAGCTGCATATTTCATGGACGCATCGTCGGATGCGAGAAGATCGGCATCTCTCCGCTCGTTCCTTCCTTCTTTTCCATTCGACGTGCCCCACGCGTCTGCGCGCGGGTCGTGGTAATACCGCGTCGACAAATCGTATAACGCGGTATACGTGGTCCCTGTCATAATACGCGGCCGACAATGTTGCATCGCCGCGACGATAAGCCTTATCTCTCAGCGGCGATTCAGTCGCCCGCGGCAAATACGCGACGCGCTGATAAGAAGGTCGGTCTCGAAATAAGTTCCCTCGCGAGTTTCGCTTTATTTACGAAGAAACGGGTCGGCTTTACGTAAGATTTACCCCCGATATATCTCGGAGTCGTGTGCGTATACACAATTGGTAAGAGAATATTCCTTCCGTATTTTCTTCTTCAGCTCGTGGCGGCGACGAGAGAGAGAAGAGAGAGCGAGAGAGATCGCGCGCCGGATATACCGCGATGCCCGTACGCAAGTTCGTGCGTGAGAGAGCTCTCCCCGACATTCGCGGCTCGATTCTTAACAGCACTCGATTCTAATAAGCTTCGTATTTCGCTAGAAAAGGAATTTTTCGGAGGAATGTGGGAGAGGGAAGAGAGAAGGTCATGGAATCTTACAGCGCGGCGATGCCTCCCATGTCTCTATAGGTACAAAGTACTGACAGGGCACCTAAGAGATCGCGATATCGTGACGATGGAATCGAACGTGTAAAGGAGACAAACACACTCGGCCGTGTCACGCGACGCCGCCATTGCGTAACGTAAGAGTTGCGAGATTTATGGAAATGTTGAGCATGGGCGATGCGCGCCGTCACCGTCGCCATCGGGAGAGATTCGTATCTTCATTCAGGGGTCCTTTAAACGCGGTCGCAAAGGCGTTATAATGTGTGTGTGTTACAAAGGCTAACCGTAGCGCCGCCGTCGGACGCTCTACGATTCCTAGGCGGACGACGTGTCCAAAGACTCCATGCGGGCTCCACCTGTCGACATTATTTACTTGTCGCCTACACCGCGTTAATCCACGGTGCTAATTGCTAAATTTGGAATCTAGAATTTAAACGGCGCGAGAATGTTATAGAACATAGGGGAACGACATCCGGGTATCTTTCTCTTTTGGCAATCAAATGTTTTAATCCGCTACCTGTAGCAGGCGTTTCTTTTCCTTTATTCACGTCCAGTCTTATTACTTTTCATTTAATTAGGTCTTTAAAAATTGTCCTATAAATTCTTTCATCGTTACAATTTATTTCAGTTGTAGGCATTACAGAACGTTATGTGTCACGAATATTGAAATTGCATTCTGGTTCGACGTTTCACATTTGCGAGAAAAAAAAGTCTCGCGTCCACTCGTTTGCGAATCGTGAGTGGTGTAAACCGGCCTTAACGGGGAACCAGAAATCTGCGCTACGCTTCGCGACCAGCTTAATGCGCGCCGTCCGAGACGAAGAACGCGAGAAAGAGAGAGGGGGGGGGGGGAGGGAGACAGAGAGAGAGAGAGAGAGAGAGAGAGGAGAGATCGTATCGCGCGCACGCTGTTGACCTGCGGGAGTAGTCCGCGCGGTTATGTCGTAACTTTCACAATGAGCGTGTTCGTCGTCGCACCCGCCAGTGCCGACCGCCGTCGTCGGCGATGATCGGCGATCTTCGTACTCGCCTCGGTTACAAGGATCGGCTGCTCTCGGTAGACACCCGCTCTCGTCGTCGTAAGTAGGAATGCTTACGATACCGTTGATAGTATCGAGGTGTCGATATTTTGTTCCTTCGCTCTCATCGTCTCCTATGTATTTTTTTTTTAACGCAAGAACGGAACGACGACTCGATAACGTGTATTCTCCCACAGCCTTGTTTTTCGCCCCTAAAACATCGCTAAAAGCGGTCGCTATTGTTCTTAGAATAGATACCGTTTCGTTTTCGCGACAGTACTGTTTATCGCGCGTAATTTTGCTGCGAGCGAAAGGCTAACTGCATATCGCGAAATTTTTCTCGATTATTGGTATCAAAGTACGCGTGGATAAAATTTAAGATTGGAATTGGGATAATTCGCGGATCCGAAATATCGATTTTTCACTATTATTTTGAAATGTTTGTTTACAAGAAATTTTGTTCCTGAAACACGTCATATGACACATTTGATTTGAGATACACGAAAACTGAGACTATCGAGATCTCTGTGATTGAGGGCGACGGTAGCCATGTTGGCTCGCCGAGAATGCGAGAAATTGTTGCGCCATTGTAAATCATTTAATCGTTCGGTGTGTTACGAGAAAAAGGGATACAAAAGAAGGAATATATATGAGATCGATAAATCAGCATCCAAGGTCGACGGACGTTTTATCCTAACGATCTTATTTATCTCGTTTCTCCATCAGATCACTGCGATCAGTATTTTTACGCATGAACGTTTTTCCTCTACTTCTCCTAGTCGAAGCTATCGCCGTGCCGTTGACCTGCCAACTAGTCTCTGCGCGGTTATGTCGTAACTTTCACAATAAGCATTTTTATCGCATTCGCTCGGCCGTTCGCTAGACCATCAATTAATAGCATGAAAACTTCACGAAACGTTGCGTAGCTTTCTTCCACTACTTTTCTTTTTTCTTTTCGAAAGATTCGTCATCGAAACGATGAATCTCGCAAGTGCTGAGATTCTGGAAGACGGTGAAACATAAAATTAGAGATTCAATCGTGTCGATAAAGCTTATGTGTCTCCGTCCAATTTTAATTCATAGTTAAAGCACGGCGCCTAACGGGTTACGCCGTGTGAATGCGGCTTAATTCGGCCGCGAGCGCGTCCTTGCACCGTGTCGGCCGCCGCGCCGTTTACACGGGGCGCCGGGCTGCATCTAACCTCTCGTGAGTGTACCGTGCTCGCGCGCGCGCGCACACACACCCGCTCCGCTCCGCTCGCCGCGCCGCGCCGGTTCTCTCTCGCTGAAGCGACGTACACAGAAAACCGCGTGGCGGTACGGCGCGCACGGCACGGCGCAAGCCAAGACAACGAGGCAACGCCGCGTGGCCGACCAGCTGATCGCTCGGCGACGTGCACGCCGCGGGGTAGGGGGCGGGAGGGGAGGGGAAGTCGCGCGCGACTGGGCTAATGAGTGTGCGACCTATTGGGGGGGCTCGTTGGTGGGGAAAACGGTGGCGGGGAGGGGAGAATCCGCGCGCGGTCCCGCCGGTTGTGAATAGGGGGTTGGCGGAGCGAGAGGGGAGCCCCGCTGTTTTGCCGTCACGTCAGACAGCCGTGCCTCTTGCTGCCGCCGTCGCCGCCGCCGCCGCACATCGACGGTGTTTTCTACGATCGAGTGGCGGCGGCATTGCAAGGTCTAGGAGGCCGCGTACTCGAGACGCCGCGGTCGTTTCTTGCTGCAGAATGCGAACCAAATGGTGTTCTTTCGAAACGTGTTTTCTCCGCGTATCGCTTCTCCTAGCAGATTTCTCAAAATTCTGCAGGGCGTAATAACTTTTAGATTCTTTGAATGATTAGTTTTATTTTTTTGCTCGGTACAATTGAATAAGAAGGCAAACGATTTTAATCGATTTATCGTTCGAAATATCTGCATCTTATTTTACGAACCCTAATTTCTCGAGATCATTCTGTCTAATCATTCAATTTTATTCGACAATGTATAACAGTAAAGGAACAATTTTCTCCAAATGTTTGTAATCACCGAAATGAAATTCCCGGAACGTAGCAACAAATCATTCGAAGTAGAAAGACTGATTAGTCCGTTAAAGCTACCGGTTATATTGCCGCGTTACGCAAGAGAGTTATGCTGATGACTTCCTAACAGGGTATAATTTCAAGACTAAAACGCTCGTTCTTTTCCTCCTTTATTTTATCGCGTAATAATAATAAAAATCCTTGTTGCTATATTTAAAGTGAAGAAAAAAAAAAACATGTGCCGATATGGGTAACGGAGCGCGCTCTCAACGAGGCATTTCATACCGAAACGTAAAGAGGTGGCTTCTTTAGCAATAGGTATACGCAGTGCGGATTTATATCGATCCCCTGACCGTCATGCGTCACGGCGGCGCAAAATTCGCGAAATCACACCCAACGTTCACATTCGACACACCGACGTGAACGCCATCGTACGGAAACGATCGCGCTCATTTTCCCATGGAACTCGAATGCCCCGAGGGGGGCAAAAGGAGAGAGAGCAGGGCAGACTTCCGAAAAGGAAGAGAGAAACCCCGCTGCGCGACGTTGTCGCGGTCTCCGAAACGGCGCCGCGATGTTGCCCTTCGTGCCTCCGTTCCGTATCAATAACGAAGGAATGGGTGCAAGCAAGATGGGGGATTAAAGGGGAAAAGAGAGAGAGAGAGAGAGAAACGTCCCTGTGCCAATCGGTTGCACCTCGCAGTTGTGTCTCGTTGAAAACCTACCTAACGGCTCGTTGTGTATATGCAATGGCGACCCGTTTCGCCGCGAACAATTCACGCCGCAAATGTACCGTCGAATCGCCGTCTCGTCTCTCCGTCGGTCTACGGATTTCCTTATCCGCGAATTTCGTAAATCATTTAGGCATTACGGGAAAAATTAAGAGATGACAGGTATATTTTTTTTCACGCGATATATTTAATTGATTTCTGGAATTAGCACTGACAAAGATTGCAAAATTTATCGTCTAACTCGGCGACTCGAATCTTCGTTACGACCGCTTCCATATATTTTTTTTAAACTCGTTTCCCACGTATTATCGTATAGTTATGTGTATATGTACGCTTTTACAAAATAACTAAACGTCACGGCGCAGATCCGAGCGTGTGTGTAAAGATTGAAATGTCATCGTGTCGCAACATTGTAAATGATCGTAACCTGTCAGAGAGGAAACAGCCAATCCGCTGACTTCGCGTTCTTATGGCACTCTACATGACGTTAAAATGGCGTTATCATTGGTCGCTTTTTACGCGAATAGCGACATTTCCCCGACAATCATGAATAACATCGCGTATATCACTTATCAGATTCGTGATATAAAATAGGGACATTGTTTGCACCAATGGTGTCATATCGTCACGCACATTCTCGAAATGGCTAAGTCACCAATTCACTTGACAGCTCGCAAGAACCAGGACTATTATCACGTGCGAATAACCGTTACAAAAACGAAACGTCGCTGCTACGAAAATCTTTCTCTCCCGACCTGTGTACGTATACACTATATATCACGTATTTCATTTTTCAAAGGAGAGTCCGTTTTCAATGCGATTGCAATTCGATATGCGTCCAAGTGTGTAATCTATCTATATCCGAATTCGAAAATCGCTTTTGTTATGTTTCTTTAATCTTACATTTACACCCATGAAACTTTTCGTCGATCACATTTTCGCTCGCACCGTTTTCTGCGCGAGAGTCGCGCGAGATTATTCTCGTCTACAACGACTCGGCATACGAAAAAAAAAAAAAGAAATTCACCTTGCGCACTGTACATATATCACGTCCTCCACTTCGAAATATCTAAATGCCCGAATTTAAATGATACTTCGATCGTCTACGTACGTTCGCTCGTTCTGGAGTAAACTTCGTCGGAGCGACGTACGGAGCATAGCTCAGACTTGCACGGTCGCTCGACCTGTTATGTTCGTCCGTTCCGCCGTGTTCCGTTTTCTTGTACGTGTCCCCTCCGCATCTGCCATCCCTTCCCCGTCTCCTTTACCCCTCCACCGTTCGGCCTTTGCGTCTCTCCTGCTAATACGCCCTCGCACAGGCCGAAGCACGCGTCGGCACGACGTATTTCACAGTGGCGTAACGAGCGGAACCACTGTGAGGGCGCGTTTAAAAGAAACGCTTCGACACGAATGCGAGCGTGATTTTTGTGAAGATTAGATCGTTAACCCTTTCCTTCGCAGTAGCATACCCACAATATTAAACCGTTGATTAGCTAGGAATGCGGTGTCAAAATTTTCAATTTTTCTTACTTAGGAGATATATACAAATATTTTTTTATGTTTATCAACAGATTTATCAAAATTGAATTTTAATATGTCTATTTTTCACACATTAAAGAATTAAAGAGCTATTATATTTCAAAGAAACGGGCCATTTATTAACGGAAGAGTTTGGCTAGCTCAGTACGTAGCTTCTTTCCATGGCACGTACTTTTATTTAACGCTACAGTTAGTTATACAGTCGTCTTAAGTCATGATATGTAGAATATCTTAATATACATCTTGATTACTTGATTGCTACGCGAATTATACGACACTGTAATATACATTTAGACTGTGTATAGTCATGTGTGTCACTAAAGGTCTCCTCCCTGCAATCATATTGAATTGTAACTTTAGAAGCAAAAAAATTTACTGCCACATTTACATTCTACCAACTTAAAGTATCGAAGATAAACAGTGCGAAAATTACTATTTGAATGTTCAGCGCAAGGAAAAAAATTCCCTTGACTTATCATTTCTGACGTAATGTAATTGAACATGACTGTGACGTTAATATAAGCTTTAAAGCCAAAGTGAGAATTTTCTTAGTCTTCTTCTGCATTTATTTTTTTGTGCATAATAATTGATATCATTTATTAAATTAAAATTGTTACTTCTCACTCATTTACTCCACTTACTCATTCACATACACACATAGCGAAAACACCTGTTGTATAAATTCATCTCGATATTTTCTTTCGCATTGGTCCGCAGATTAAAGCTCAACGGAATTTCTAAGAGTAGCACAACTTACTCAGTTTATAAATCTGTCGAAGTTTTTTAAGTTCTTTTTTTTGTTCGTTATATTGCTATTACATCCTGAAGTCGCAAATAAGCTTCCTCGAAATTCAGTAACAGCGTAGACATCTTCGGACATTATGGTAGAGTTCTCCTCCGGTTAGTGCTCGTAAAAAAGAGGTAGTTTTCCATAAAATTTCATTTACACGTGGTCTAGCGGATAAGAGGCTCTCTTTTCTCGCGGGATAAATTAACGCAACGGCAGAAAGGGAGCGTCATTCGTTAACCCGACTCTGCCGGCTTCTCTTCTCGGTCCGAGATACAACAGCGGAGCGTAAAGTAACGCCGCAAGGCGGAACCGCGGATCACACACGGGAAACGTATCTCAGCGGTGCAGAGGAGCGGGCGAAGGGGAGGTCGTGGCAGAGGGACCGAGGGGGGAGGGGAGGGATGGGGGAGAGGGCAGAGAGAGGTGTACAACAGAGCAGAGGCACCCTTCGCACGCTGTAGCGGCACAACTACACTTCGCCACATCGATTTTACCGGCTCGCTTGCACTCACACTCGGTCGACCCGTTCACTGAAGGAATGTCTCATATGCCTTCCTCCTCCTCCCTCCTGGCCCCCCCGTTTCCCCATCGTATTCCCTCCTCCCCCTCGAGCCCCCGCGCCCCCCCGGGTTCTGCTGCTCGCCGCCACCCCCTACGGACCCCTGTCTCCGTCAGTCACGGACGGGTTCTCTTTCTATCTTATCCCGTCCATCCCTCTCCTCCATCCAAGCTCGCCAACGTCTGCCCCCGCTCTCCCTCCCCCCGCCCGCCAGCCCCCCGCGTTCCCACCCCCCTTTCTCTCTCGCGCCGCTGTCTCTTTCCTTTCCTCTCTCGTTCGCCTGTACACACTCCACCAAAGTGTCCCTCTTTCTCTCCGACTCTGTTGTGTGATGCGGGGCGGTAGCGGCACCGCGGGGAGGAGAAGTGGCAGGGAGGTTGCACCTTTTGCCGCATCTCGGAATCTCGCGCGTTGCTCATTTGCCGTACATAGAGAGGAGCGAGAGAGAGAGAGAGAGAGAGAGAGAGAGAGGGACGGAGGGACGAGGGAAAGGAGAAAGAGATAGAGAGAAACCTCGGGGCTAGGTAGTAGTATGCGAGAGCGGCGGCGGCACGGTGGTCGGACAGTTCCAGTTCCGTTTCGATTAGGCGAGTCCACGCGCGCCGGGTTTTTGGCTCGCGCTCCTCATAACGCATCGCGCGCGCCGCGAGAGGAGAGAGAGAAGGAGAGAAGGAGCCCGTACGCGCGATGCCGCTCGCCGTGTCCATTGACGTGTCCGCACGGTTCGACTGCCGTTTCTGCCGTTGCTGCTGTCGCTGTCGCCGTTGCCTGTGCCGCTGCTGCTGATGCCACCGTCTATCCGCTGTTTACACGGCGCGCCAGCCGCACGCCAACATTTACGAGCGCATCCACGGGGAAACGGAGTGAACGGACCTCGTGCGGCGAGGCGCGAGAGAGAGAGAAAGAGACGGAGCACGGAAGGGAAGGAGAGACAGAGCCCGCGACTCGTAGACGTGCAACGCGCTACGAGACGCGACTCGGTCTTACGTACTAACTCGACCACGGTTCGTTCGTGAAACGAAACCGACCTCTCGCTCGCGGTTATGGCCACGCCAGGGACAGGTCGCCAGGGTTACAGGCGCGCGCTGTAAAAGTCCTACATGCCCCGATTCACCGGGTTCGCACGTACGTATATACACCGCGTATATATACGCCAGCCCTGTCTACATGCGCGTGAGAGTCGCTCCATATACGTTTTTACACGCACGTCGTGCGCGTATCTATATATATATATATTTATATATATATATACACGGCCCCGCACACACACATACACCATCGTGCCGCATCTCGCGCTGCGCGCGATCGTATACAGCAGCACGATGTGCCATCCGTCTTCGACGGCGGATCGCAACGACGGCGGCGGCGGCGAGTGGGAAAGGGACACAAGATTAACCTCTCCTTCTCCCTCTTTTTCTCTTTCCGCCGGCCCTCTAGCCCAGTTCCGGGCACGGCCACTGATCCATCGATAAGGAAGTTTGCTGTCCTCTCTCTCTCCCGCGGTGAATTTGTTCGTGCCGGTCGTCGTGCAGCGATACGCGAGGATTCGCGGCGGGATCGAGAGCATCTCTCTCGTTGTCGCATAGTCTCGGGGTCGAGAGGCGCGTTAACGCTACCGGTCACGTGACCGAGCTATCCGCGGGACGACGCGAATTTTTACGCGGCCGGCGGGGGGAATAAAATGTCAGATTAGGCGTGAATACCCGCGTGAAATACCCGTGTTTACATTGCAATTCAGAGACTCGGTGTAAATATCGCCTAGGTTGCGCGCAGCGTTCTTCCTTCTTTTTCATTCTTTCCGCGTCAAACGTCAGATATGTCGATTGTCATCGCGGTCGACGTGTCATCGACGGAAAAAAAGGGGGATTACGTTTGGTGTAATCTTCTGTAATAGCCTGGCGTGAGTTCCCAAAGTAAAAGCGTTACGTTATTCATCTATATCTTTCGAATCGATCTCGAGCGTCACGCCGCTCGAATACGTCATGACTATAAGTTCGCGAAAATAGGAAAAAAAAAGATAAGTATTAGTCATTGTTATTAACCTAGTTTTGCCCGACGTGATCAGTCGCAAAGAAAATCAATTTCGCCATTTCACTGTATACGGCGGCGGATTAAGTAAGCGATATTTCGTTTCTCCTCTCCACGAAAGGGGACTTGCTCCTCGTAAGTCTCACGTGCGCTTTCTTTCTCCTAGTCTGCGCCGAGATATAAATAAGATAAAACAGTCTCTCGGAATAGCGGCCACGACAAAAATAAAAGCATCATCAATCTAGGTAGGATCGTCGTGCAAAAGTTGACGCGCGTTAAGAAGTGCGCAACTTAATCGGATCAATTAGATCAAACTTGATTTTTCGACGATTCACGTCAAACAAGAATGGGTAAGCCCGCACACTCGCCGCTGCCTCTCGCGTTAACTTCAGTGCGTACCAGATAGACCGTGCGATATTCAAACATCAAAATAAATCTTTCTAGATCGCTATCGAAGGTCCACGTGATTATGAACAAGCAAATAACCGTACGATTAGTATTCAATTACGTGGACATCATTTAGCCTCTCGTCATTTAGACTCCTCGTCTTCGATTTCGCGACGACAGATCGGCGACAGGATACTTTGTGACATCTGTCAATTCGGAGGGAGAGGACGGATACGAAATCGTGTAGCCGACGCGACGTGTTGTTCGCGGCACGACGACGGGAGCGAAAGAGAGAGAGAGAGAAAAATGGTCAAGGGAGGAAGGAGAGAAGGTGACGCGCGCGCGTAGGTGCGTAATTTATCGCTACGCGGGACGCGCAACGGCCGCGCGACGACGTCACACTTTGCGCGCCGCGCCGCGCGGCCGGCCGGAATGACGTAGCGTGTCGTCGCTCTCTTCTCTCGCTTATCGGTGCTGTTAATCGAGGAGAGGCGCAGCGTGCGGCGGGGCGCGCGCCCCCGTCCCGCCGCCCTACCGCCGCCGCCGCCACCGACGCCGTTGCCGCCGGTGGCCGCGGCCGCGGATGCCTGCCGCTTACGAAAATATGCGCGACACGAGAGAGCCGAGTTAAACCGAGGCCTCGGCCCCGTGCATGCCGTAGGGAGTTCAGAAGCGCAGCGTAGTGAGTAAAACTGCCCCCTCGCGGTGCGCGCCCGCGGTTCCCGATCATCGCCCGTGCACTTCTCGAATCGTGCGCGCCGTCAAGTTCGTACCTCCTACCCCGCGCCCGCTACCCTAACCTTCCTTCTGGTTCCTCCCCCTTCCGTCCCTCCTCGTCCCCTCCCTTCCCACACGCGCGCTCGTTGCCCCTTAGAACCTCCGTCGCCCTTCCGCTCCCTCCTTCCCGCCCGCCCGCCTGCCTCCCCGCTGCTCTAAGGTCCTCCATTTTGTCGTGATTCCTCTAGCTCTAAACGTATATCGGACATTTCCCTTGCACGCCGCCGCGGCCACTCGCGGCAGGACCGCGCGTGAAAATTCCGTTTGCCGTTGACACACCGCCAATCGGCCTCGGACGGCGCCGATTACTATGGGACTCCACCATAGGTCGTCCTGGAAGGTGTCGGTCTCCTCACTCTTTCTCCGTCGCTCTCGCTCCGTCTCCTTTCCTCCAAGCGCGTCTCCTGTTCCTCGTCTCTTTTACGCGCTACCATTCTTCTTTCTTTCTCTCGCTCCCTCTCACTCGCTCGCACGTTCTCTCTCTCTCTCTCTCTCTCTCGTTTCCTCTCCCTCGCTCCCTCGGCTTCTGCTTCCTCGCCTTCCCCCCTCTCCACGCGTCGTCCGTCGCTTCCCATCCCTCCCCTTTTACTCCGCTCCATAAGTCTCTCTCTATCCTTCCAGGTTTGTTCCCCCTAGAGTAAAATTGTGTCTTTTTAACAACACACGATTCCCTCGATCTGTAGCGTCGTACGCCGGTCTTGGCCGTCCGCGTAGCGTGTAACCTCTCTCGCGCCGCTGTGGAGAGAGATCATTGAAGCCGCCTCTCTCTCTAACTCTCCCGTCTCTCTCTCTTTTTCTCTCTTTCTCTCGCCGTGTGCCTCGTATTCGCCGTTCCCGTGCTCGTGCTCGTTCCGTCGCCGTTGTCATCGCTATCGTTCGTGGTCGGTCTCGCACGCCACTTCGCCACCTCGCCGTACGGACTCGTCATTACTATGTGGCGGCGACGTGCCTTACTCTCGATAACGGTTGAATCGCACAGGCGCTCGTCGTGACTGTAGCCCGTCGCTATTTGGTGCGTTGCATTGTGTTTCTGTTCTCTCTGTGCTGTTCCTCCTCGCCGATCGGCCAAAAGCTCAGCCAGTGTATCTTACACCGCACGTTCTCCTCTGCTTTCAGATGTCTGCTGGGTCACAAATTCAGATGGCACCCCAAACAACCGTAAACTCTGGTCAGACAGTTCATAGTCAAGACTCGAACATGAGCACTGGTAAGTCAGATTCGTTCACTCAGAGATTGATACGTGCATAACAGGAATACTTGACTGCTTTCCGCACATCCTGGTCCTTTGAGCAACTTAGCTTGTCTCGAAGATAAAGTTTTGTGCATCTGGAAAAGTTCTCTTCAAATGTGTATACTGTGTATGTATTCTTATTGAATCTTTTCATGATCATTCTGACGATGAATTGTAATTCTGCAGGCTCATCGCATAGTGATAAGGAGGTGGATGCAAACACTCCGGAAAAAGTACCACGGACTCCTTCTGAGAGGAAAAGAAAGCGTAAAGCCGATGACGGAGGTGGAGGTGTCGCAGGTGGCTCTGTAGCTAGTAAGGGCGCTAGGTCAATTGCTGCTCTTGATAATAAGAAGATCAACGAGTATTTTCCAAAGCATCATCTGGGCAATAGTCCTATTCGGCATGGTGGAGCCAAGAGCCCCTCCCCTCAACAGGGTTATCCTATGGTAAGATTCTGCCGTAAACGTCAACGAAAATTGTCTTGTAAGCCTTGCGATGCCTGCGCTACGTGATGCTAATGTATGTCTCTTTGCTAACAGTATCCGCCATCACCTCAACAGTTACTTTCGCCACAAGTAACAACACCTAATTCCTCGGTGGCGGAATTCTCATCGCTGATGCAGCCACCGAGACCTCATCCTCAACCTCCACCGCCTCCACCACCAGCGCCGTCGCAACCTGCAGGCTCGATGGTCAGCAAGCAGGTGCAGGTAAGGCCTACCAACCTCAATAGGACAAGCCAGGTCAGGCAAGCGAAGACTAACACCCCAAATGTAAGCAAAATTCGGTAATATCTGCAAGCATTTTATAAGAAACGACCCATAATTTGTATTGGTATTTCTATTGCAATAATATCGATAGATTTTACGATAGAGATGCATAAGTCTTAAACGTATTCAAAATCTCTCCATTATTGATCGAAGAAAATATAGCAGTTTTGTCACTGTACAATAAATCGTTAATAGTAAAGCTGTCACTGTTATTCCTAACGATTGAAATGTACTAATAAAGATATGGAATTATTGTTTGGTGAAAAATTCATACACTAGTATTATCGTCGCAAAGAATTGCCTTTAATTAGTTTTTTGTAAAAACGAAGTAGTAAGAGCAATAGAATGTCTGATAGAAATACAGAACAGATAGATTATTATTACAAAAATTAATTTTTTATGCTTTATTTTTTGTAATATTTGGTAGTATGTGAAAAACGCAGATAAATTAGATCTTTTACATGCTTGCATTTGTGATCTCGTGATGGGTATTTCTTGTCGAATGTTTGCAGTCTAATCAGCTAATTTTTGGTCAAATTTGTAGCACTGTATACATTTGTTATTGTAAACAAATACAGGCTATCTTGTGTGCTACTCGTTGTGAGATACTTGATCTTAAGGATTTGAGTATCTTGGAAAATAAAACAAAAAAGTTCTACTGTGTTTGTCGCTCGAGCACAAACGAGCATTGTTAAAGGCATATTTATTGTTTTAGTATCTTTATTTCTTAGGATTCATTGAACGTTACATTTGAGTTTTAATGAGTCCAATATCGTTTGACTGTTCCAAAATATAATCTGTTAAAAATTTTAGGGTTATATACATATATCTATATTATTAACGTTCGTATAAGAGAGCATTTTATACATGCGTACATTTTTGGTGTTTTTCTTACTGCCTGTGTGACCCTCAGTTCCATCAGCATTTGTTCACGTTGCCTAAGTTTCGCTCACTAATTTATTTTCTATAAATAAAGAGAAAGTCATATGTCGTAGAATATAGAAACGATTACGTTATGTAATTAAACAGATAATTGCTAGAACGCCAAATATAGACGTCATTATTCATGTAACTTTGTTTAATATTATACTTAACATAAATTGTGTTTGTTTTTATTTTTTACATTGTGCTCTTTTTGCGTGTAGCAAGATATCCGGTATTTTCGAGCAATGTTGACAAATGTATCAGATGTTACGGTAATATGCTTTCATTTATCGTAAAATTATTACAAATTGCATTTCAGACGGAACTTACTTGCCAGAGGATACAGGAATTTGAAACTCAAGCCTCTTCAGACTTAGAACTACGTAACAATAAAATTGACGAGTTAAATAGGGTAAGTGCACTCGTGATTATGGTAATTAGTTTATGCAAATCCTTTACCGTTCTTACTTTAGATCGAATCACATAAAACGCATAATCTAAATACGATCTATTATATAGGCGCGAGATGTGCCGTGTATCTCGACGAATGGCAAATTATAATCTGGACCTTCTTTGAACTTTACAGACAACGGACGAACTTAGGCATCAAATGGCTAATCAACAGAAAGTGATTGAGCAGCACAAATCACATATAAATAAGTGTATAGACGTTGTAAAGAAGTTATTAAAAGAAAAATCAAACATAGAAAAAAAGGAGGCTAGGCAGAAGTGTATGCAAAATAGACTGAGGTTGGGCCAGTTTGTGACGCAAAGGGTGGGCGCGACGTTTCAAGAGAACTGGACCGACGGTTACGCATTTCACGAGCTTGCACGGCGGCAAGAGGAAATAGCGACGGAGCGAGAGGAGATCGACAAGCAGAAGAAGCTGCTACTCAAGAAGAGGCCGTCGAACAGCGAGACCGGCAGGAAACGTAGTCAACCGCAGCCCTCCTTGCATAACGGCACCGAGGCGACGTTTCTGAAACCAGATGCAGTACCTGGGTCGTATACGTGGCAGGAGTATTATGAAGCTGACGAAATACTCAAGGTAGAATCATGACGTTCCCGCGAAGCGCATCCTCCTTGAACGTTCGATTTTTCTCCATTCTTAATGCCTCACGGTAATGTGTGTTTTTCCAGTTGAGGCAGAGCGCGTTGAAGAAGGAAGACGCGGACTTGCAATTAGAAATGGAAAAACTCGAGAGGGAGCGAAATTTACACATTAGAGAGTTAAAGCGTATTCACAACGAGGACCAATCGAGATTTAACTCTCATCCTGTTCTGAATGAGCGTTACCTCTTATTAATGTTATTAGGCAAGGGCGGTTTCAGTGAAGTGCATAAGGTAACGAAACATTTCCATCTATTGCTTTCGTTTTTTAACTTACGTTATTAATTTACGTAAACACAAAAGTATTCTATTTTACTTACTTTTATTTGTGTCGTGTATTTTCTCGTACAGGCATTTGACTTAAAAGAGCAACGGTACGTGGCTTGTAAGGTGCATCAATTAAATAAAGACTGGAAAGAAGACAAGAAGGCTAATTATATAAAGTAAGTTCCCTCAAGTTTTTATTTCTGTCGATATTAATTTGTTGTAATTGATAATCAATGTAGAGATGCTTTTTAATTAAGTAATAAATATTTTTTTTAAAGAGAAATAAGAGCATGTAGTGCGCGCGCGCGCGCGCACACACACACACACACACTCTCTCTCTCTCTCTCTCTCTCTTATTCTCAAAAAGAATATTTACTACTAATTTTTTTAATTATATTACATGTTCTTATTCCTCTCAAAAAGAATGTTTACTACTAATTTTTTTGTTTTTGTTTCAACAGACATGCATTGCGAGAATATAATATACATAAAGCACTTGATCATCCCCGAGTCGTAAAATTGTACGATGTATTTGAAATTGATGCCAATTCCTTTTGTACTGTTCTGGAATATTGTGATGGCCATGATTTAGATTTTTACCTCAAACAGGTAAGCGTTTGATCGTTATTTCATGCAAATCTTCCATTTCAATCATAATACATATCTTTTATTATTTCCTAAACATTTCATTGCAGCATAAGACTATACCCGAAAGAGAAGCAAGATCTATTGTTATGCAAGTCGTATCGGCATTAAAGTACCTCAATGAAATAAAACCCCCAGTCATACATTACGATCTGAAGCCAGGTAAATACGAATCTGATCTCATTTATCATTGTGAATGTAATAGGTGATTTCCGAGAAATTTTATAATGAGGACTATTTTTACTATGCAAGTGAGCATGATTTAATTGCTTGTCGCTCCCGCTTTTGCAGGTAACATCCTATTAACCGAAGGCAACGTGTGCGGCGAAATAAAAATCACGGACTTCGGTTTAAGTAAAGTCATGGATGAGGAAAATTATAATCCAGATCACGGAATGGATCTAACGTCCCAAGGAGCGGGTACTTATTGGTATGTTTCCTCTTGAATTATTTCGTCACGTTAATCATTAATTGTTAGTGAAGACGACAAACTTATATTTTTGTACTTGTTATAGGTATCTACCTCCTGAATGCTTCGTCATTGGCAAAAATCCCCCTAAAATATCGTCTAAGGTTGACGTATGGAGCGTAGGAGTTATATTTTATCAATGTCTATACGGTAAAAAGGTACTTATTCGCAATGTATTGTCGGAAAGTTTCGCTCATCGTGAACATATAATGAAATGTGTCTAATGGAAAAAAAAAAAATTATTTTTGCAGCCTTTCGGTCACAATCAATCGCAAGCCACTATTTTAGAGGAGAATACGATACTAAAAGCCACCGAAGTCCAGTTCGCGAATAAACCAACGGTTAGCAACGAAGCAAAGGTAAGGTGTCGTCCGTGAGTTAGGCGATGAGAATGTCGAGATTGTCGAGAAGCCGTTTTACTACAATGTTGACGATTTGCTGTTGCAGAGTTTCATAAGAAGTTGCCTAGCGTATAGGAAGGAGGAGCGTATAGACGTACTGACACTAGCTAGACACGAATACCTGCAACCCCCAGTGCCAAAACATGGCCGCCAAGCGAACAGCCAGCAGCAGCAGCAGCAACAGCAGATCCAGCAGCAGCAGCAGAGCTCGTTTAATATCGGCATGTTTAGTGGTATGAACGCGTCGAGCAGTTCGTAGTGGAGAGGAAGGATTAAGGACAAAATCCTCGATATATACCAATACATGCCAAATCTTGAACGCTCGGACTGTGTACACCATCTCATCTTAGGGAAATAACGATTGCTATAACCAATTGTAAATACTAAAAAAACCGGATACTATCATCGTCACCAACCACCATCACCACTACCACCACCCATCACCCATCACCACCACCACCACAATTATTACCACATCTACCACCGCCATCACCACACCATCACAACTATACTTACAGGATCGACTACATAGGACATTGCAAGAGAGATGCGAGACTGGTCACCCGCAAGTCCAGGAGCTTGCGTCTTTCTACAAGCCACGCCACATTATTCAGCATGACAAGAAACAATGTTGTGTTCGTAAATATTCAATTGTATTATCGTTCCTTGTATCAAACAGTGCGATGACTTGATAATAGTGTTTAAAAGAAACGAGAGAGCGAGAGAGAACGAACGAGCGTGCGAACGAGAAAATAACATGTGATAAGTCATTACGAGATAAAAGTGACGTCTAGAATAAGAGGGGAGGGGGGAAATAGAGCATGTGTGTGAGAGAGAACAAGAGACAGAGCGACAAGTAAAAACAAAAATTAAGCGAAAATGGAAATTCTTTCGGTGGAAGCAAAATAAAAGTTTGTTGGGGTAAAAGAAAGCAACGAAGAATAGGAGAAAAAAGTAGGAAGAAATCGAGAAAAGCAATCGGAGCAAATCGCTTACACGGAGATGATATATGTTTCTCTCTCCTGGCGTTTTAGTGTGCGTGAGCGAACGATAGAAGATTGTTAAAATTAGTGTGAGTGTATATATTTATACTATATATATATAAATATATATATATATATATATATAAAAACTAATAAATTCGACATAATATATATATATATATGGTGTAAAAAGAACGACGATAACAAGCATTGACAGTGGGAAGACAACTGTGGTGGCTCTATCCTCGCATGACCTCCGGCGCCGGTACCGGCATTCCATGAATGCTCGGCCTGTGCATCATGTTACTTTATTCGAATATTAATATTATTACCTGTATCATGACTAAATAACGGTTAACATACACGCGCATCCACGCCCACATACGAAAAAACACGTACACGACACGAGTACACGAAGGCGAATTTGATTGGTTGTTCCTATTCTGAGACGAGAGTGGGCTTTATCTATATAATGCCGGAACGATAGTCCGATAGAGAGCGAAGTGAGAATCGCGTAGAGAAAATGAGAGAGAAGGAGAATGTGTGTGAGTGTGAGTGTGTGTGTGTGAAAGAGAGAGAGAGAGAAAGAGAGTCGCGATGTGCTCCCAAAGTGAATAAAAAAAAGCATCGTAGTCCACCACTATCATCGCCACTTGTAAAAGTTCTCACGCGTGTATAGTTTAAAAAAAAAACCCCGTATCGAGATTCGCTGTGACGAAGCCACGCATTTTACGTTTTTCCTCCTTCACTCTTCCTCCTTTTTTCTTCTCTCTTTTCTCCCCCCTTTTTCTTTAAAGTCAGAGGGACAAAGAAAAAGAGAGCGAGAGAAAGAGAGAGCGGATCCAAAATTTGTGTATAGAGCAAGTTTAAACAAAATGGTTTGATTAAATTTAATCAGACGACAAGAGGGAAAAAATATGACGAGGATAAGGAAGAACGAGCAAATCTTTAAGATAAAGCCGTTGAAACGCTATAAAAACCGACCCAATTATTATTTCTTTACTCGTAATTTGTTTTATATATGTACGTTATATATAGATAATTATGAAATAGAAAACTAAGTTATTTTATCAAGTGCCCTTGCTTTGTATTATAGTCGCGTCCGTCAGCGAGCCGTAGCTTCTGGGAGTTAAAAGGAAGAGAGAAAGGGAGAATATGAGGAGTTAGAGAGAATGCGTCGAGAGAGAGAGCGAGCGTGAGAGAAACTGCGAGCGAGTGCGTGTGTTGTTAAAATGTTGCGTCAGTTATTGATACACTGTGGGCACCGGGGTATTGATGACAATTCAATACCATCAATGTGATTGGCAGAAGTGTGGTGAGAGAGGAGAATACATTACAAGTCTGAACAGAGTCTACTACTTAGATCCGTCGCTTCAATTTTGACAAAAAAAAAAAGAAAGAAAACCGCTCCCGTATCCCGCATCCCATTTTTCGCAAAAAAAAGACGAAGGGCGTTCTTGGTTTTTTTTTTTTTTCATTTCACGAGGCGCGCGATGTCACGCACGTCGTATTCACCAACGATTCCGATTCACGAAGCCAACGCGATTTCAAAATGACATAATTTACGCCGCGAGACGGTTTTTGTTTTCTACGTAAATTTTTTTTTGGTCATGAATTTATGAGAACCTTTTTCATTAATTCGGACAAGAACGGAGGTATTAACGCGATTAATAAATGTAATTGTTATTTGCATCTCGTTTCGTCGTTAAACACTCCGGATTGAGTAGAGCTTTAAAAGTTTACTGCAGCCGGCCTTAAGAAGAAAATTATCCGTAGATGTAATCCGCCGAGCGTTTACGCCCATAGAATCTCTCTCGTGATGAATTCACGCGAGAACGCAATAGGGCTCGTATACTTTGCGACAGGAAGGATATTTTACATTTGTACATATCTATAGAGAATTCTCTGGGAACATAATCGGTGCATGTAAAATAAGAATGAGAAGAGATAAAAGAAAAAAAAACTTTTCGACTACTTTTTTCGTAAAAAAGAGAATAGAGAAATGAAATACCTTCCTATCGACTGCAAGGTATTGCCATGACCTACATACACACTGTTAAATATTCGTAATATATATAAAATACTGTTCTTTTTCTTTTCCAAATCGTCCCTGCATGTCGGCACGGTCATCGATCTTCTTCCTGATAAAAGACAAACAAAAAGGAAAGAAACAGGAATTTCGTCGAGGACGGTGTATGAAAACGTTATAAGCAATAAATTTACGTATTTGTGTATAATTTAAAGTTAGTAAAACTTATTAATTATATATAAATCACGCGCGCATCTCTCACGGTATGCACGATACCCCCGCTGCTTTTCGTTTCACTTTCGTTTTGGCGAACGCTGTTGAACAATGAATTGCCGAGTAGCTAAAAAGTTATAGAACATTTTTATTTATATATTTATATATATATATACGTATTTTTAGTATGTGTGTGTGAATTATATAAAAATGAAAATCGCCGAGGATTACACGAAGTATTGATTAGGCTGGAGGACGCGCGCGCCTTTGGGCCGAGGGCTAATCGACTGGTCTCTATCGAGATATCCGTTTAATAGCAGGTGTAAAATCGTCGCGCCAATTACAATCATAATAATTCTCTTTTAATCTTATCCTACGAGTGAACAGGTATTACGTGTACACAGAACTATTACAATTATAGTCTCGGAGAAGTTAAATTCAATCAACACCAAATATGCCTCCAAGTTAACTTCGTTTCTTCGATCTCCTGTGGATATGTGGAAAGTAAACATGAAAAGCATTTATACGAGAGAAGAGAGAGAGAGAGGAGGAGGAGGAGGAGCACGTAAATTATGAGGGGAACCGATCAATTTTTTGATTCTCATTAACTTCCACCTCTGGATCTTTTCCCACGCCTGTGTTATACATACAGCCCTAGTTATACAATCGTGGCTCTCTCACAATCAGTTACCCGCGGTCACGCCGAGTCTGACTCTCGCTCAGCAGTCTAAAGTCTACAAAACCTTCTTTGTTACCTACAATGAGACACGAGCACGAAGCAAACTTACTTTATTCTACGTGTGGTCAGTATAAAGCTAGAAGTTAAAAAAAGAAAACGACCGACAGCTTCGCTTAAACCGATATCGAGCGCCGCATAAGTCTAAGATCCGTTCTATGTATATATGTATAATAGTTAGTTACCGCTGTATAATTTCTTTAGTCTTTAGACAACTTGAAAAAAAATCCATATTGTGACGTATGTAAAAATATATTTAAAAATTGTGTATATTTCATATTTTTCTTTCTTTTCATTTTACTACAAAACGTCCGTTTTCCGCGATCGACATATGCCTCTCTTTCTCTTTCTCTCTTTTCTGCTTTTTTTCTTTTTCCTCGAGTTTTATCGAATCATATCGTACAAATTATAAAGTTTCAATAGCGAGGAAAATAAAATATGATAACGATTGTGCGATAATTCGAGATCTGGAGAAGTGTTCCCTCGTTTTACGCGGTACTAATTATTAATCTATCTAGCACAGGCGGCGCCGGACATTTTCTTTGCAAGACAGGAGCGTGCCGTATAGTCCCCTCGGGCTTTTGAAAAGAAAAGTAACATGTAAACCGGAACACGTTGAGATTACATATCACAAATATAAACACAATATACATCGTACGTGCTAAAAGAAATTTTTCCGAAGAGACTTGCAATCATGTGACGAGATTTGTGTGAGTATTCCGAGCACACTCGAATACGTCCTGCAGCACTGTCTACAGCATCTTAATTTTACGAAATTTCACTCGTTCGCAACATTATGCTTAACTCGAGGATCAAAATTATGTACAACGTTGTACGGAGCGTTTCAGAAGAACGTGCCAGAGATCGAGCATCCGCGTTGTCCGCGATGTAAAATCTTCGAATGTTACTCAAGTAAAACAGAAAAATACACATTTTTAATTCCAAGTTATTTTCGCTCTCTTAAAATTATTCGCGGGACATTTTCGCATTCTGGCAGATCCTGTTCTGACGAAGCGCACCCCCACATAAAATTACAACTAATGTCACGACCAACAATCGGTGGGGACGAAATCTCCGAAATTCTCCAAATAAATTTGTGTACAACGTCCCTTCGCGATCCGTGAGTTTCGTCATCGCCTGCAGATCCACCATCAAACTGCATGAGTCAACTATAGTTGTCTGTGACATTTTTCAGGGTGCGCGACGATATTCAATCGGAATCGTCGCTGTCGTCCGACTTTAACGCATACGAGACAGGCTTCCGAGCTCTACCGGCAGGCTTCCGGGGCGGCGGCGAACCTTCTATCTCGTCGTCAGAATCTTCTGACTTCTTTTTCTTCTTCTATAAAAAAAAAAAATTAAATTAATGAAAAATTTTCACGATTACTCTTTTAATTATTATGCAAATATATCGACTAAAAAATGTACTTACAAGAGTTTGTTTAGTGGTAAATATGTCGTCCGTGTCAGAATCCTCGGATGATTTTGGTTTCTTCTTCTGCCTCTTCACTCCTTTGCCGCCACCGTTCTCGGCTTTCTTCTTCGCAGGTGCTGTAAACACAAGAGGTAAAACGATGATTACGAAACAGTTTTTTTATTTAGTCATACGAATCAGTTAAGCGCCAATTACCCTTTTTAGGCGGCGTAAATTTCATAGGAGAGTCTTCCCCGGATGAAAATACAGGTTTCTTCTCAGGCGAAGATTGCTGCTTCTCAGGAGAAAAGCCGACTAACGAATCGAAAAGTTCTTCTGAAGTCGCTGCAGGAGGATAAATAAATATTTAATGTCTTCCGTAATGCGCATCATTGTGTTGTTTAATTTAAATATATACCGTGTCTACTTACGTGTCGGTTGAGGCAGTTTCTTGATCGGTTTAATATTGTCGTCGGAATCGCTTAGCGTTACAGTGGGCTTCTTGGATCTAAAGAGGATACAGGATGAGAAACACAGCTCGAAGTAAGTCAATATGATATATATCAATATAGCAATTATACGTACGTTTGTTCCGAATCAGATGGGGGATCGAACACAACGTCACTGTCACTCGATTCCGAGCTCAGGTTATAATTCTTTTTGGCTGTTAAAAAAATTTAACAAATCGTAAAAGATTTCGAAAAACAAGACAGAATGTAATCTATTTAAAAATTTTTTTGGCACGAAAAAAAAAGATAAACAAAAGTTGATACCTGTGGCTCTACGAGACGACCGTTGTGGTAGTGGCGAAATGCTACCGAAATCGATGCGTTCATCGTCACTGTCCTCCGAGTCCTTATCTTTCTTCTTGGCTCCCTTCTTGAGCGGCTTAAATTGTAATGTTGTTTGCTTCATTCCTGCTGCACGAGAGCAAAAGAATTCGTCGTTAAAATATCCGTTGTAACATATGAATTAATTTATGAGGTAATTTACGAATTAAAATTTATCAACCTTTCTTCGTCGTTTTCTTTTCCAATTTTTCGGGAGAATTTCCAAGTCTGTTTTCGAGGGATTTAGCATTAGAATCGACTAAAGTATCGAACTCGTCTTTCTCCTCTATGGAGGCCAGCTCTTTCTTTACCTGATTCAGATGAAAATTGTCATTGATATAATAATGACATAAGTATAAATAAATAACTAAATATACAAATGAATTAGATGGACTTACTCTCGGCTTCTTTATGCCTTCTTTCTTATCCTTCGACACAATGTCAGCCTTTTCGATTTTTTTTTTCAGTTCGACGTCGATGATAGGCACTATTCGACGAGTGTATTCCGTCTTAGAATAGAATCTCGAGGGTGGTTTCTTCTCGGTCTGTTTTGATTTGATCTGTTCTTTTTGCTCCTTTTCTTCCAGCTACACGAAAATCGTAAAACAATTAGAAATCAAGTTAATTTTCTTTCGAAAAGCAAATCTTTATACCTTGTCTAATTCGGTCAACAGATTGTCGAGATCCTCTTTCCATAAAGACAACGGCGTGCGTGCTTGCAATCTCTTCAGCTCCGCTGTCTTCTCGTCCCGTTGACGCAACAGTTCATCCTTCTTTTCCTTCGTCAGGCTCCACATCGTCATTCCAAGAAGGTAGTCGAAATTCTCCTTCTCCATCGCGTTCGCGGTTGGAGTGGACTCCTCATCGTTGTCTGCAGCTTCTTCCTGTTTATTTGCGACAATTATTGGCAAAGTCACACACGTTTGTCGACACGATGGAAAAAAAGGCTTTTTACAAAGGCAACCACAATCCAAAGCTCAAATATATTTAACCGAAAGTTCTGCGCTTACTGTTGTTAAATAGCAAAGAGAGTTTCCGCTAAAAGATTTATCCATTGGAAAATGACCGTTTGTTAAAATACCTTCGTGTTACAGTGTCTACATTGGAAGTTTTACATACTATTTCTTTCTATAATAACTTACTTGATCCTCCTGACGTAGCAGAATAAATAAATTTCAATTAATAACTACGGGATTCTCCTTTGAATTTGCCGAAAATTTTAAAAAGCAAAAACTTGCTTACCAGCACTTGCTCTCTGTTCTGCGACAGTTTCCAAGCCACCACCGGATCGGACTCGTAATTGCTTCTGACCAATTCCGCTATCATGTCCTTCTTCTTCTTGTTCTCTATCACTAGAGTGCCGTCGCACTTCTCGATGATGAAGCGCGCCTGATTCGCCAGCTTTGAAGCTTCCGCTTTCAACACTCCTTCCAGATAATCTTTCCTCTTGTGATACGCGTCAAATCGTACTTTATAGAATCCCTTCAATATCTGCACCACGCTGTCGTATTTGTTCAAGCATTGATTTTCATCAAATGCACACTGCGCAAAAAGATTGCATTAACGAATTTCCGCTTCACTTGCGATTACCGTACTGTATCAATATTTTCTCTGGCATCTTACCATAGACGTTATAGTCATCGTTGTCTGAAGTTTAAACGCTTTATGAAGACCGTCTCTTTCCAGCTCCAATAATTTGTCACGATTCATCATTACTATAAAGTGTACCGCCGTATCTGTGTTGTACTCTTTGTAATCCCTACGATAAAATGAATATTCTTGAAATTGACAGAAAATTTCCATACACACAAAAATCTTATCTATTCGTCAATTATAATACTTACGTAATGATAGCCGGCGTTTTATCACTTCCATGTAACATAGGTTCTAGCACAGTTTCCTTGTAAGTTTGCGTCCACGTACCAATCGGAAGTTCAGTGATCTCCACCTTATCGGGTCCGATCACCGATATCTCCCCGCTTATAACGTAACGGAAATCTCCACAGCTCTCCACGACGCCTTTGAAATTTTTGTAATACGGTATCTAAACAAATTGCAATTACGCGATTATAAAATTTGTAGACAACAATTCGATATTTTCATAAAATATTCTGCATAATTGTGTCAAATATAAAGTATCGATAAAGTTATCAAATTCATTTCCTAGATAATTTAATACCATTGGCTTCGGATCCGCGCCGTCCATCATCCTATGTAAATTCTCGATTATCTCTCGCGGATTGTAGTTCGGTATCTTCGTCATCCATCCGGTACCGATACCGTCGGCACCGTTCACCAATACCATGGGAATCACGGGTATGTAGAAGACAGGTTCAATTCTCTGATTGTCGTCGTACTCGTGTTTCAGCAGGGGATCGTCATGTTTGTGAAATATATACCTTGCCAGAGGACTATGAAAAAAAAAGGAGACAGTCATGCAGAAAAATGTATACAACTTCTTCTTCTGTAGATATCTATATTGTAGTAAAATGGCAAAATACCTGAGCATCGTGAAAATGTATCTCGGACTGGCGGCGTCCTTTCCGCCAGAAAGTCTTGTACCGAACTGACCGATGGGCTGCAACAGATTAATGTTGTTGCTGCCCACGAAATTCTGCGCGAGATTGATTATGGTCGCCATCAGGGACGTCTCGCCGTGATGGTAAGCCGAATGCTCGGCGACCGAGCCCGCCAACTGTGCGACCTTCACCTCGCGTTTGTCGTTGCGCTTCAAACAGGTGAACATTACTTTCCTCTGTCCCGGCTTGAAGCCGTCCATCATGTTCGGGATGGATCTCACGTTATCGTAATTGCTGTACAGCACCAGTTCGACGTTGATAAAATCCGAGAAGGAGACGGTGCGCGTGTCCTTCTCGTAGAGATAACGCTCGCCGAGGCCAATCTCCTTTCGCCTCTTTGTTTCGTTCATGTGATTCGTCAGCCAGTCTTTACGCTGGTCAACGCATTTCTTGCTGAACGCCATGATGATGTTCTGATCGTCCTGGTCGCCCTCGTATCGGAAGCGTATCCTGTGTCTGGCCATATTCTCGAAGTACTCCTTCGCCTCCTTGGCGGTCGAAGTACCCAAACCTATGTAAATCCGTAAAAAAAGATCTCGTTAAATGAATCTTTTATGAATATTGTAATCCATAAAAGGCGGGAAATAGATTTCTAAGTAAACACCTTTGTAGTATTTGATCTTATACGTGTGAAAGTTTTCCGTTTCCTTCTTCCACGCATCGAATTCCGGCAGAGAAAAGAAAGATAAAACTTGGCTGCCCTTAGAGGCCTTCACGATAGGCGTAATAAATTCCTCCACGAAGTTCAGCTTCAACAACGACGGCCAGTTGTGGTGAATGAAATTGATCAACAGACCTTTGATATGTGAACCGTCCTAAATCAAAATTTAATCAAAAATAATTATTATAAATATATAATATGCAATTATATATATATATATATATATATATAGTCTATGCAAAAAATCTAACCTGATCCTGATCAGTCATGATCATCATCTTTCCGTAGCGCAACGTCTTCAAATCGTCTCGAGTCTCGTATTTCTTCTTATATTGAAGACCAAGGATTTTTATCAAATTATTGATTTCAGCATTCTCCAAGATCTGCTTGTGGGTAGCTTCCCGTACGTTTAACATTTTACCTACGATCAAATCACGATTGATTAGTATTCATCGTCGCATTAAAAATCTAGCTATTTTCCTCAGTAAAACAAATTCACCTCTCAATGGAAATATGCCATATTTATCTCTGCCTATGGAAGCGATACCGGACACAGCCATTGTTTTGGCTGAGTCTCCCTCAGTCAATATGAGCGTACATTCCAGCGATTTTGCAGTTCCCGCGTCATTGGCGTCCTCTAACTTGGGTATACCGTGAAGCTTCCTTTGCTTTGATTTGGGACCCAACTTCTCGAGTTGACTGTCAGCTTTGAACTTCGCCCAGGATAATACTGCTTCCACAACACCGATTTTCGTGATCTGCAAATCGAGCATTGAAAAGAATGGTCAAACGCGCACACGAAGACAAACGAACTTTGATATAAATATTTCTACTTACCGAGGTGATAAACTTATCAGTTAGTGTACATTTAGAGCCGAAGCTTTTCGGCTGCAGAGTCATATTCTCCTTGGTTTGCGAGTCGAAGGAGGGATTGTTGATGAGACAGTTGACGAATATCCACAAGTGATTCTTAATTTGAAACGGTTTAATGGCCATTCCGGATTTATTCTTCTTCTTCAACGTTTCAATCAATTGCTTGACTATTAATTCTGTCACGTGATCGACGTGTCTGCCGCCCTATTGACATTCAGCGAATTTAAATATTTAGAGAAATCTTTTATACTTTGTAGGAAATTAGCTGCCCACAGCTGATCATCTTACCTTCGTCGTCGCGATACTATTTACAAAGGACATTTGCTGATATCCTTTATCAGACAAAGTGAGGGCCACTTCCCAACGTGGACCACAACACTCGTACACGACTTTCAACGGATTACCGACGTCGTCTTCCTTCCCTTTGATGTAGAAGTCAACGTAATCCTTAAAATTCTTCACTGGTACGCGAGTGCCATTCAGATAAACTTTAACGCCCTTCGAGGAGGCGGCTACGTCGTACGCTCTTCGAGTCATTAGAGAAACAATATCCTCATCGAGAGATTGCATTTTGAACTTTGTCAAGTCCGGGGAAAATGTAACCTTTGTGAAATCATCCCCGAAATACTCTTTAATTCTAGGCTCACTGGCCTTTCCCATATTATTGCCCCATGTCTGTAAAAGAGAAAATTATAATATATAATAGAAAATTATAACCAAGAGAGATAGAATCACAGATTGATATCAATGTACTCACTTGTTTTAAGCATTTCTTGTATTCCTTCGTCGCTGTCTCGACGGTAAAACGGTGACTGAAAATGTTACACAACTTGGCACCGTAACCATTTCTACCACCGGTCACTTTCTCCTCTTCGTCGTCGTAATTCGACGACGTTAAAAGGTGACCGAATATCATGGTAGGTACATACATGTTTTCTTCCTTGTGTATTACCACAGGGATGCCTTTGCCATTGTTCCATACAGAAATGGTGTTGTTCTCCCTATAATAGTATAGTATTTAATTAACGACTGTACAATTTACTGCAAATTTCTTGAGAATTTTGAAATGCATTTTTTTTAAATTACTCACGAATCGATGTCGATCTTGATCGCATCCATCTTCGGATCACGTTGCTTGTTATCGGCGGCGTTCACCAGGATCTCATCAAAAATTTTATACAATCCTGGAACGTATTTTATATCCCTCTGCACCATCATATCCTTCTCCTTATCAAAGACCCACATCATTTCCGTTATCGGCTCCACAGATCCGATGTAGGTATCGGGTCGGAGCAGAATGTGCTCCAATTGCGACTTCTTTTGATAGACGGCCTCAATGGTCTTCTGCTTGGCCGACTTGCCCTCGCCGGCCCCATTTTCCATGCCCGCACTCATTTTGGGACGATGTGGTTTTAAATATCTATAGATCAACAAAATAGATGTTACACGCATAGAGAGATACAAACGCCTAATACGAGAATATAGAATAAAAAAAAAGGGCATTGTAAACAGCCCTGCTTCTGCGAAAACCGTCACAGACTCTATCCGTGTCTTAACTGTTTTAATTCGCGAGATCCGATCTAGACACGCGGACGCCTAGCTCCGGGGGAGGGGGAGAGTATTTTCCTTCCGTCCAGGACGGAAGCTATTACCGCAGGTGCAGGCGTCCACGTTGCAGGGAGTTTTGAAAACTATGGCGGGAAAGGGCAGTCATCTAATTGGCGCGATTTCGAGGGAGACCGACGAGGCCAGTCGTTTGTCTCGGGGATGGGAACACCTGTCCTCCACCTTCGCCACCCGTTACGCGCGGTGGGTCGTCGCGGACTGCCGCGGACCCGGCGCGAGCGGCCCGCGCGGGCGTGCGTCGCGTACCTTCAGTGATCGCGCCTCGGCGTCGTCGTGAATGCGTCGCTGGTCGGTTTGGCGTCGGTTGCTTCTAGAACCGCAGCACCTCCATTCGCGGGGCCGCAAGCGCCAATTATTGGCATATCACACTCAGGCGCGCGAAGCGGCCGTCTTCGCCTCGGACGCGCGTCGTGCCGATCGATTCGGCCGTTACTCGCGAGGGGAACTCGTCAATCGTATACACCACACTCCGCACCTACGCGTCTATACACCGCGTCGGTCCCACGTTCCGCTGCTGCTCGTGCTCGCTTCGCGCTACTCGGCTAACGGCTTGCTTCTGAAGACAGTGCTGCTAACCACGCCGCCGACCGCGCGCGCGCGCCGTAACCTTCTGCCCGGCCCACAGCGCCGCGGTTGCACGTCGGAGTCGTCCGTCCGGACAAGTCGGAAGATCTCCGAGGTCTCTAGGGGCTTTCGTGGGGAAATCAGAGAATACTCACCGTCGGTAAACGGCCAATGCATGCTCATCTACGCAGGGTCGACTCAACGATCAATTTTATATGTACTTGAAATCAAAAGTCGGAGTACCAGAGAATTATTTTTGTTCCGCAAAGGATCTGAAGATTGTTTTCTGCCACTATGCAACGAAAATTTTTGCGAACATTCGTACCAGAGAATTATTTTTCCAGAGAAGGATCTGAAGATTGTTTTCTGCCACTATGCAACGAAAATTTTTGCGAACATTCGTGAGACGAAAAATTCCAAGTTAATTCAAAGACCGAATATTAAATTTCTAAACTCAATTGCTTAATATAAAGTAAAAATTCGCTTCTAATTCGTTAAATTATTTATCGTACAACGAAAAGTTAGTAAGTTTTGTCTTCGTGTATTGATAAAATACTGCAAAAAAATATCATTCAAGTCAATCGCAAATAGAGTTAAAATTGTTTATCGTCGATCGCCTTACCCAATCTCTAATCTCTAAGTATAACGGGGACGAGATATTATTAGATATTATATAGGACAGGATTAGGTATTCAAATTAATGGGAATAATTCTGGATGCGCAATTCCTCAATAACGACGCATTTTTCTCACGAGGCACGTGTTTTGTCGTGCTTACATTGTATCTTTATACAACTATTCTTATTCCATTATCTATCATACGGCATTACTTTTTTTTTCTTGCAAGATTGTTATACTGTTGGATACTTCACTGCTTTGTTCGGTATTACATTCAAAAATCTGTCGATGGTTTTTATATGCTTGCTTTTCTACCGAAGAAAACGCACTATTAAAAAGGAGAGAGAGAAATGAGACACAAGCTCCATTACTACAAACGGCAGAAAGGAAAGCATATAGACGCGGGATAATAAATCGGAGGTTAAATACAAAAATGAAATCACTACTGCTGTTCTTCGGTCTCGTGGTTTTTTTTTTCGGTGATTGGATTTTTCGTAGCAGCAGCTGTCCACAATGTTGAAAAATTGTCGAAATTCTTGCTAGGGGAGGGGGGCGCGGCTTAATGGAATGATGATTGGACGAATGAAGAGATCGGTAGTAGTGAGGAAGAGTACCTGTGAAAAAAAATCAAGTAGTCCTAAGTGTGTTGTGCATGTGTATATGCGTGCCGTGTATTTGTAATTTACATATCATGTTGTAAAATATATTCATTGGATGGCTGTCAAATTGAATTAACAAAAGAAAAAAAAATGAAAACCGGAACTCTTGATTTAAATTATAACGTTGCGCTTCCACAAAGAGATAATATAGATACATTAATGATGATAATTAACAAATGAACAAAAAAAAAGATATTCAAAGAGATTGCCGCTACATGTTTCTTGAGTCAAAAACGACGCGAGAATGACCGCGAGTTTCAATTGTGGGCGGCAACTCACCAGCGGTTACAACGCGAATTGCACTGCGTTCGCGAGTGAGGATTTTCGTTAGTACGGCTGGTGCCTCTGATTTTGACGACCACCACCACCACCACCTCCTCTCTGCTTGCCGCCGTAGCCTGAGCCACCTGCAACAACGCCGAACACTGTACCGTTAGTCTTATTTCATCTCTCTACGAGCGCAAGTCTGCAGCTACAATTATACAAATATAATTACACGAGATAATGAACGTATAGAAATAGATTGATTACTCTTATGACGTAACGCACGCACATGTTCGGTAAAGAATACACTACGCTACTAACAACAACCAAGTACTACGGAAGAGGATATCTACTGATAATAAATGTAAGAACAAAGAGGCTACAGGCTGAGGTAGTAAGCTGCATACTATTCGGATTCCATGTCTCTTCCTTTTGATACGCATCTCTCTGGGATTCTAGTAATTCTCTCCTCGGTTTCTCTTATTGTTATTACAACAACATGATTAAGCAACATGAATTTGTAAGCAAAAAAATGACAAAAGCAAGACAAATAAAATTTCCCTTTATTTTTAACGGATATTTCTACAGCCAAGATTAATCGAAATTTACGTCGAGATTATATTTTATCAGACTGTAAGTCTAGGAGGTTAAGTTTGCTCTCGTTGCAATCAATGGGTTACAAGGATGGGTGCAATTCTAGCGGTGGCAAAAGCTAAATATAACAGAGAGAAAAAGAGAGCAAAATACAAAATGATGGGTAGTAAAAGTATATCAAGGAACGCTGTAATGCGTACCTTTACCGCGTACACCACCGCGACCGCCCGCGTAGCCACCTTCGTAATTACCACCGCCATAGCCATAGCCATCTGCGTTTCATGAAACACATGGTACAATGGAGTCAGTATCCGCACGTATCATCGAGATTTCAATGCATTGCATGTATTAAAAAAAATAAAAAAAAATAAACATCGCGACTGTGTAAAAAAAAACCGGCCAATTCGAAGAGCGAAATTTTGGAAAAAAAAAATGCAAGGATACTCTCCGAAGATCGCCAGGATACTGACCATTTTTCATGACAGAAAAAAAGTACCTCACCCATTGAGACATTGCTTAAAATTCACAAATTCGATTTACTATATCGGCTATATATGGTAAAAAGAGAAACAAAGGATAATCACCACCATATCCGCTGTAATCATAACCACCGTAACCGCCGTAACCGCCGCCGTAGTAATCGTATCCACCGTAACCGTCGTACCCACCGCCGTAGCCGCCTTGTCCGTAGCCACCGCCATAACCGCCTCCGTAGCCCTGTCCCCAACCACCTTGTCCGCCGAATCCGCGACCCCGACCGCCACGGGCACCTCTACCTCGGCCCATCATCCCGCCACGCATACCGCCCATCCCATCCAATTTAGGCGTCGCCTTCTTTACATCCACCTGTCAAACAAACAAAAAATCCGAAATCGATAAGAACGATTGCATTCGTTGATTCATGAATTTTGTAGGAGTTGAAACTTTGTAAGTTTAATAACTCCTCTCGTTGATCTAGACGAAAGACCGACGAAACTTACAGCTTTTCCATTGATAGTCTGTTTGGGCGTCTTGAGAAGTTCGTTGACCACTTGCTCGGATTCAAACGTAATGAAGCAGAAACCTTTCCTTTGGTTCTTTGTCTTATCAAACGGCATCTCTACCTCGACGATCTGGAAGTGAAATTATACGATGACTCCTCTTTCCTTCAATTCATTTCTCTTTGTATCCGTTCCCATATTTACATTTCCAAATTGTGAAAAAAACTTCTTGATATCGTCGTCGGAAAGTTCCGTCGAGAGGCCACCGACGAAGATCTTTCCGTGCCTGGCTTTCGCTTTCTTAGGATCGACTTTTTTGTTGTTGATAACATGATCACCGGCTGACATGATCTGCAAGAAATCATTGGATCCGTTTCACAGCGCGCTTTAAACTTTTCGCTTTAATAATTACCGATTAAAGGGAAAGGAAGAAATTACCTTGTCGAGAGCTTCTGCCTTGGCAAAGACAATGAAGGCGAAACCTCTCGATCTTCCTGTGTTAGGATCTGTTTTGACATTAATACTCTCAATGTCGCCATATGTGCTAAAGTGTTCTCGTAATTCCTCTGAAACAGATTGAAATAAAGATCCATGATTTCCGGAATGCAACTTATTGACGATTGCAAATCACTAAGAGTAAAATCAAGGGTACTCACTGTCAGTAGTTTCCCAGCTCAAGCCACCGACAAATAATTTCCTGTAAACAATAAGCAGAAATAAAATTTTTAAGTAAATGTAATGGAGAATAACGCGTTTTGCCGCCCTAACTTTCCAACCGCTATCGCGGTGCTATACTATAAAACTGCGGTAGTATTACTTGAAATTTTATAGGCACACAACGTTATTAAAAGATAAACGAAAGAGAGAAATAGAAATTGAGTGTGCCTATCAATCATAGAGTCCTGATTACTTCCGGTCAACCTGCAAAGCAATGGAACTAATTTATTTTACCAAAGAAAGAACAGAGAGATCTTTTTATAGATGTTAAATTAAATTAATTGCTTCTACATGAATTTAATGTCGATTTATTAATGTCATTCCTGTGCAAATCAAAGTCGTAACTACAATTTAACAGAGTGCAATTGATGATCCATGACGCTATCTGGAAAAGGCACTGCAAAAAGTTACGTGGTATTTATTTATTATTATTTAAACAAGCACACGACAACCGCTCGTGTTTCCAAATGCAGGAAATAGGAATTCCAATTGCAGCGACACACACACACACACAATGTAGGTGTTGCCCTACATTGTAAGATTTGGAAAAATAAACACGTTCCTTGCGTCTGAGACTGAACAAGGCTTGTTATTACTTGAACAAGAGAGAGATTAAAAAAGTTTACAAGATAATACCATCCCTAGAACAAATGAACTTTTTATCAAGTTAAAATGTATTATTGTTATTGTACAAATTACATACGCAGTTGCTACGCGAGATAGCGTAGTAAAATTGAAGTTACGGAGAGACGGCGATATTGCGCACCACGTAGGTCAACTCGGATTTGAACACCATATACAACAAGAGTTTCGTGAAAAAAAATATTAAAGGAAAAGTTTTAGAAAAAAAAAAGTACATATGCATATGTGTATATATGTGTGTGAGTGTAGTAGAAAAAAAACGCATTCAAAGAAAGCAAAGTACTCTGTTTACAACGATGATCCAAATAAGCTACACGACTCCAGTTGAGATACGGCTGCCCCTAAAGAAAATACAAACAAACTTCTCTACAGTTACAAAAAATCCCGATTATTAATTGGCCCAAAATTAGTGGCATGTGGTAGATCGTACTGCAACTCTATATTGGAAAAGCTAAAAATTAATTTCCACATTACAACATTATTAACATTATTTGGTCATTGCACGATTTTGCTTTTATTTTTGCTCTTATCACTCTCATTCTTTGCTTTTTTTTTTATTGGACTTCTTTTTAAACAACATTATTGTGCATTACATCAGACACTCGTACGCATACATATATATTATATTATATAGATATTTTATCTTACAGTTTCGTCAAGAAGGCTTACACATTACATACGATACTTGTCTCGAGTCTCGAGAGAGGATGCACTTTTTCATAGACTTTTTTTTTTCATATTCAAATAACAAGCTGCAATATGTACACATTTTTGCTGTTTTTCTATCTTTTCCTTAAAACCTTGCTTTTTTTTTATCCGGCGGATGTAAAGTCTGTACTTAGATACGTTTATATATGTCGTTTTCATATATCATCTATTGTTGATGATAAATACCATGGGTACCAGTCTCTCGCCGGTATCTGTTGTCAGGTCAGGTCACAGTTAGCCGGTTGCAAGCAGCCCGCCATAATCGCACTGGGACGTTTTGCCACCTGCAGACCAAGTCACAGAAACTGCGTTAATGGCGTTCCGGAGCCTACTGGAGATGTTTTGCATTGACCCTAGTGTCTCTGTGCATTTTGCTCATGCCCAAATAATCCAAATATATCACACTCGAATCAGCGGAAATTACTCTAACTCTGTAAACACTTTATGCAGCAGGTAAAGTACGCTCGCGTGTCGCCTGGCGACACACGTTTTATTTTTCGATCTCAAGTTAAACATTTAACTCGACTTGACTCCAGCACTTTTTTTTTCGTATGTCGTGACGTAACATGGATGGAACTTGAGAACTCGATGCTCGATCGCTCACAATAATTTCGGACCCCAAATAGCTCGCATTTCACGAAGCGTCTCACTTTTTCAATTCGGACAGATCCCAGACAATTGCGCATTTGCGGACGGATTTGTCAATCGTTTCGAGGCAAATGACTTAAATCATGAATTTTTGACCGTAAACTGTACTGTGAATAAGAAAAGGTTGAGACTCGTAACTCGACTCACAAACGTGGATTTCAAAATTATACTCTATAAAAAAAAATATAAGAAATACAGTTACAAGTGTTATTTCTTACAGAATATATATATATATATAAGTAGATCTACATATACATACAAACTCTTTTATCAATGATGAATTGTGACTGCCCTCCGTTAATTATAGGACTAGAAGAAAGTTAATCGGCTAAGTGAGAACAGAAAGAAGAGAATTTTTTTTACAAAAAAAAGTTAGAAAGCTTGAAAAAAAAGATGGACACATACCTCATAATAAGTAATACAACACATGTGTAATTGTAATCACAGCAGTAATGAGTATATAATTATATATTTACCTTATTTTTACATTCGTGTAAACGAGCGATACAAAGAATAAATATTATATGTCTCAAACAGGATTTACTACGAGTGCATATCGGTATGGACGCAGTAAAAAATTGTACAACTCACATTTGTTTATATCTTTGCATATAAAAATAATCTAACTTGTAAACATTCGTGCGATAACACAGGGGGGTAACCGAGCTCCGAAAAGTGACGTCAGATCTGTCGTGCCCCGCGTATTCTTTCTCTCTCTCTCTCTTTGCGCTCCTAAACGACGCGCGAGCATGAACGACGTTATCGCAACGGGAAGAAACGAGCGGGGGTGGGGGGGAGGAGTCAAGGGGTGGCGGGAGGGAAATAAATAAAGCGGCAAAAAATCGAACGTGAGCGTGGGAACAACGTGCGAAACACGCGACGCGAGCAATCTCTTCGCCGAAAACGGGGAGGAGGGGAGGCGCGGCGGCGGCGGCGTGAGAGAAAGAAAAGGAGAGAAAAAAAAAGACGCGTCCAAGCTGCGGCACAACAATAACGTAACTCCGCGTACGTGTATACATACGCGGGGCCGCGGCCGGCCGGGCGACGAAAAAAGAAGCGTACCGGCGAGCGCGTCGCGGCCGAGCGACGCGGGACGGTCGCGCGGGCGGGCGATCGGCCGCCGGAGCGCGGCCGATGCGCGCGGATTACGTTTTCGGCGGCCGCGAATCGGCGGCCCATCGGCCATTTTGTCGCCGAGCTCCGTGTCGGCGCAGCGAGACCGCCGCCGCGCGAGGGACGCCGAACGATTTCGCGGGAAAACGCCTCGGCCGGGTCGCGATCGCGGATTCCCCGGCCGATTCGCTGGCCGGGATGCGTCGGGCGCCGCGCGGGCCGTGCCCGTGGCCCGCGGGCAGGGTCGCCGGGCAAGAGCGGCCTCGAGGGGCCGGGGTGGGCGCGAACGGAGAGAGAGCCTTACCTGTCCTCCTGCGAGTCCTGGCCATTCTCCACGGCGTCCCCGCCGCCACCGCCGGTACCGCCGCTCTCGGCCTCGCCGTTCTTCTCGAAATTTTGCTCCGCCACGTCGTCACTGAAGTCCTTGTTTTCTTGCTGATCCGCCATTGTTTACAGCCGCAGTTTACCGCGCACTCGCCGCGTCAACGATATACGAGGGAAGATCGGGAAGATAGAAAATAATCACAATCGCACTTATATCGGTGGACGACTACGGCGAGACGGATCCGCACGGCAAGAGGGAGGGAGAGTCGACCGAGCGGAACGTCCACGTCGGGTTCTTCTGAGAACGCCGGACCGACCCGCTCCCTGCCGGGGAGAACGCGGAAACTGCGTTGGACCAATTGGACGCGCTCGACCAATCGGTACCGAGAATCCTTCGCGGACAGATTTCCTCTCGTCCCGCGTGTCTCTCGGTGAATTTTGAGCGCGATCGAAGAGCTGAACTCCGATTAATCTAATCGACGATTAACTTATCGAGCCTGTATTATTTCATTAAATTCCACCGATGTATATATTAACCTCGATTAAACCGAAAAAATTGATTTTCGCCGTTTAATACGTGGGAAGAAAACTTAGATTACGGACAACAAATTACACAGCTGGGAATTTTGAGATAAAACAAAGAGCTTGCACTTGAGTAAAACAATTAATTATATATATATCGTTTACGTATAATTATCGCACGTTGATATGCCCTTGACAAAATGACTGATCCGCCGATACGCGACATCGGTCGCACGGCACGACACTTCCGCGGCGCGTCGTCAGATGACGCTACCTGCGACGCTACGTCGCGAATTCATCGACGACGACGCCGTGACAAAGGTTTGCTGGCCCCCCTGTGGTCAGCGTCTGGTCGGGGCCTCGCGCGATGATTAGATTAATTAGCTCGTACGGTTAGGATCGTCTAGTTTGTAAGAATCGACTGAGTTACAAATTCGTTATTATGGCTTCCTTGGTCGCGGATTACGGGACCTCCTCCGGTTCGGATGGCGAGACCGACGATGACGTTTCGGATATTAATGCGTAAGTTTTGGCCATTGCGTACAAAACCGCCCTCCGATCGCTTCTCTGTGCCCTAGTTTCCCCTCTTTTTTTTTCTTCTTCGCGCTCCGCGAACGCGCGATTCCGCTCCAGTTTTAATCTTCCGTGAAACGCACACACGGATGCTCGTAAATATTTCCACCTCACGGAGCTCGCGCATCTGTTAATATAAAACGAGTAGAGACATCCGAGTTTGACAGATCGTGCGAACGCGTGATTCCGCTCCAGTTTTAATCCTCCGTGAAACGCGCACCCGGTGCTCGTAAATATTTTCACCTAACGGACTAACGGAGCTCGCATCTGTCAAATTAAATTGTACAACAAGAGACATCAGAGTTTGACAGATCCATGATTCATGCTTGCATCATGGAACGCGCGAGATTTGTTACATTAAGGATTAAGGAATGCAGTCGCAAGTTCCCTCAATACTATAATGACAGTATATATTATAAATTTGAAAGATGTATTTTGCTAAGCATCTATTTTAAGTTCAGCAATCGGTATATATACGTACAGAATACGGCTTGTTCTTTGTAATCTGATATTGCCTCACCGTTAGCTTTAAGGGTGAGGAGAAGGTGGAGTCGGAGGACAGGGAGGAGGATGAGGAAGAGGGGTTTAATAAGGAGGATAATAACACGGCTAACGGTGGACACATGAGAGTAAACGAAACAGCAGCTTCCAAAGAAAAGCTTCCATTGCCCACGCCGGATTTCAACGGCGCGTCCACGTTGACGAGGACCTCGGTATTCCTTAACCCGTTCGTCGAGGCGGAGCGGGCGAAAAGCGCGATCCTGGAGAAGCACGTGAAGATGACGCCCACGCTGGACGACACGAAGATGATAAACGGCCGCAAGATCTGCTGGAACTATCGGAAGGGCCGCTGCCGCTTCGGCCACAATTGCACCTTCGCCCACGACTCGGATCTGCATCGCAGCGCGGCCGAATTGGAGGCCTTGCGAACGCCACAGGAGACGCTAGTCTGTCAAACTCGGTATAACGGGCAGCAGCAGCAACAGCAACAGCAACAGCAGCAGCAGCAGCAGCAGCAGCAGCTGCTGCTGCTGCAGCAGATACCGCCGCCCGCAAACGACGACGAGAACGAAGTGGATCAGGAAAATAATCAGACAGCGAACAGAAAGCGTAAGAAAAGGCCCGGCCTGTGCCAATTGTTGCTTCCGAGTAAGAAAGTCTATAAGCAGTTCAAAGCGCAACAACAGCAGCAGCAGCAACAAACCAAAACTAGATGAATACTATTTCTTCGTTTGGCAGTAGGAGTTTAGTAGTAGGAGAGAATTAAATTGTCTTCTAGCCGAGTCGTACTTTTTGGCAAATCGGCAAGTACGCGCAATTTTCCCGCAGCATAATACTAAACAGATCGTACAGATGAACCTTTTGATGAAAATGATAAAGAAAAGGGATTAAAAAAATAATAATAATTCGAAAGAAATTTCAAAAGGTAGAAATTATGACGAAGTAAATCAAAATTAAGGAGAAAGAAAAAAGATCATTATGTGAATAATTTTAAATTCGCTCTAGTATTACGCTTTCAAGAATCGAAGTTTTTTTTATCAAAGAGGAATCCGTAAGCCGATGAGAGACTCGCGTATCTCGTCTAAGATTTAGATTAATTGAAACGATTGCGTGAACAAAATCGACATAGATGTATTATAAAGGAAAAAGGAGGGATTTCAACTTATGCTTCCATTGTGAACAAACGTATGATGTGTAGAGTAGGAACTTTATTTGAGAAACTTTTGTTCTCATTGAAAAAATTCTCGCACAAAAGACGATGCATGCGGGCGCGTGTGCAACCTTCGTGAGATTCTTCGTCTTTTGTGAACGCTACGAACGCGTAGGACATGTCTTCTCGTTATCTTGTTTTCCCATGTTTCATTATTGGAGCTCCAGTTATTTGCTAAATACTTACTAATACTGTTCGTGAGAATACCAAAAATAACGTTCCACATAATAGAATCCGTACACGGAATATATATTGTAATAACACGCGAAGATATTACGACGAATTTGGAGTACGTTCCCCCCCTCTCCTCCCCGATTCCGTATTTCTTCATTTCCACGTACGAAGAAACATCCTATATATACCTGACCTGACAACAATACTTCCATTTTCTGTGAATTTAGGATTAATCCAGTTATTTAATTACATCCCTCTTTTTTATAAGATATAAATTGTTTGTTTTACATTTCCTTATATACTGCGATCGATACGAGACAAATTCGGTACTCTAAGTCAGATGTAATTACAATATCTGTAGATACGATGGAAAAGTCATTTACTAATACATTAATCTTTCTAACGAGGAAGTATAATTACGATGATAGATCGTTACGATAATGGATAGAAACGAAATAGAAGGATCATTGACAAACTAGATGTTTACCCAACTTTATCCACCTCTAGTGGTTAAACAGTGGTTGAACAGTGTTTTACTAACACGTTAATTGTCTGTTGAAGAAGAAGAAAATAAAAGCAATTATAATAGATCAAAATAGAAGCAGTGAAAAACAAGGATTTATGTAAACTGATTTATGTAACTCAAAAAAAAAGAGGCTCCTCGTTTCCGAGGATTTCTAACAGGTTGCCAATAAATGATTCAGCTGTGCTGAAACAATGCCTTGCTTAATTTGTATTTTCCTCTATAGCCAGTATACTAATAAAATATATGTAATAAAAAAAGCACGTATAAATTTTAGAAGACTGCCATAGTTTAAAAAAAGCAAATATTTCAAGTTTATTTAATTAATTACAAAAAAAATAGAAAAATATAGAAATACGAATACAAAGATATAGAAATTAATAAAAATACATTTTTTTAATTTTTCACATTTAAACTTATTTTTCGAAACATCTGGAAACCTTCCTAAATGAAATTTTATCCAGAAATTAATTATTAAATAAGAGAAGTAATCGATAAGGTAATAGGGAAATAAATTTTCTAGAAAAAGATAAATCTCTTGAACCGTCTTGGATAAATTTAACACACGGTATATAGAAGATATATAAAACATGATAGGCACGTGACATTGTTTTATTAGACGCATATGGGTACAATGTTCTGTCCTTCAGATCCATTATCTATACGTAAACTGAGTGCGCGTTGATAACTCACTGTTGCATCATCGAATGAAAATATAGACTTTCATGTTTCTTTTTATACATATATATATTTATATATATATATATACATATATATTTCTTTCTCTTTATTTTCGCGAATGAATGTTTCACAGGCACTTCGTCTCTAAACAGTGGCAAAAATTTGTGAATGATGTAGTTTGGCGTGTAGAAAATGCGAAAGCGACACGTGTGGATAAGCGTCATCGCAGAATTCATCACCAAGTTTTTCAGGGTCACGAGCAAAATATACGGGGATCTCGTAAATCGCCTCTCTAAATCGTCATCCCTTTCTTTCTCTCTCCGGTAAATCTCTCGTCCCGCTATCTGTGAGATCTCTCGCGGTTACATCGACAACACATATTACAATTAATCACAGAAATGGTAAATTCGACAAAAATAATAGCGCCACATTATATACAATTAACTTAACTCTATAGGCAAGCACCTATTTAAGTACTGATATATTCGATCGTTAAGAATTCGCCACGATTGCAACAACAGGCTGTTCTACGCCATTGCCATATTTTTCGAGTGAGTTATCAGATTAAAATTTCTCGAAATCTAAAAGATTCGAAATTCCTACAGACTAAAAAATACATATATATATTTACAAATCTTAAAAAGCTTGAGAATACTCTATAAAAAGGGAAAAAGCTTTGGTTTGCCCGACGATAAAAGAGAATTAATTACTCGAAAGTATTTCGAATAACAGCCTCGTGTGTATCTTCAATTCTCAAAATCAGAAAACAAAAAACTATTCTGTAACCGAGCAGATTTTAATTTAAATATTTCTAAAAAATTTACAACTTTCTTTCCTAATTAAAAGATTGCATTGTCCACGAGCAACTTGTTAAAGTTGTCGCGAGTGCCGACTTCGTGCTTCAAGGATTTTGCAAGATATCTTAATCGATTTCTTTTTAATATATGTAAAAATTTGTACAAGTGCTGATGTAAAGATCTGATAGCTCACTTTAAAACCTGCAACTTCGATATTGCATTAATGGTATCACCTACGTATCATAAAATGCTACTACATCACTCATCGGAACATAAATTTTTAACATCTTTTGTGACTTTCTTTTTTTCTGACATTAAATACGTTACACGAGATATTTAAACACATTTGAATTCCTATATATTCCAAAAGATACGACAGTCCCAAGAGAATTTTCTAATTATTTCGTAGGATATGTGACCCGATAGCATTGCTGTCTCAAATACTCGATATTTCTCTTTCTTAAGATTCGCGTTTCCGCACAAACGCTAATCTCTTTTTCTTTTTTGTAATACGATACGCACATTTCTCTCTATCACAATCGTTCTTCCGAGCTTTCAAAAGTTGTTAGACAATACTTGAGGCAATATTGAAGAGTAAACTTGAATAAAGTAAAGCGAAGTACAAATACTTGGTGCGTTAATGTACATCGCTCGTCTCAGTGCAGCTGTATCGAAAACTTAGCTAGGACCTCGTTTCATCAATGTCGCGTAACTTCAACTTTTGCTCAGTCCACATCTCCTACTCTTCCTCGGCTCATTCCTTATCTCCTCTTTCTTATGAAAATTCAAAAAGAAACGATGTGTGAATTATGGAGAAACTTATGAAATATCACGCGAGAGAGGGACGAAAGTGACAACTTTAATCGACATTTCCCTCCAAATATATTTTTTTTATCTGGAATTTTTAAGAAATTTTTTTTAAAATTGTAAGAAATGTTAGAGAGAATGAAAAATTTATCATTTAAAAATCTGAAATATCTTGAGATTTTTTTCGTGCAAATCTCGTCAATATTTTCGATAGATTTAACGCTGGATCCTGATTCTGATCCAAGTTTAATCGACGTTGACGAAACTGGCCGTAAGACCTTCCACGAAAATTCCTTAAGTACGACACGCAAGTTTGATTAAAAAATAGATATTATCTGTGTGAAATTTTAGAAGTCTATCGCGCTAGTAGTTGTTGGTTACTCAATATTAATTCAGACAATTCGCGCCGATACTGATAACAAGTCCCCGCATCAGTTCGGAATTATTAGCGAATTGCTTGTTTATTAAGAGACTTTATTGTTTTGTTAGCTTTCCGCAAACGTCCCTCCATTAGAGACTGTTGCCAAATCCGTTCTCCCGCGGTTTGTCGACCTTTAATTTTCGCAAACTCTTCTCGTGCCTTATGGTCGAATCGCCATTGCGAATTTCCGGCTCTTGGTCGTCGCCGTTAATGTTACATCGCTCGTCGAGCGTTGCTTTACCGTTCGTCAGACCGTTTTGTGCGCCATTAACGCTCTTGTTCACGATCGTCTGTTGATGATTCGTAATCGAATTCGATGCCTTGCCGGGTTTGCAATCGAGTCCATTGCTTTGTATTTCGGTCGCCAAACTCTTCTTATCTTGATTATCTGCCAATTGCACGGTGCCTGCAAAATAAAATGTGTCAAGCGCTGTTTTGCGTTCAGACACAGCCAATTCTAGTTAGTTAAATTCCGATAATCGCTATTATTTAGCACGATTGAAGTACACGAAGCTCGAATGGCCGAAAAAGTTTTAAATCATCGAGCCGTCTTTCTACGTTTAGTACCAAAATCCTTCTAGAGTATAATTGATACGGAAAAATATGAGACAAATATGCTTATATAACAAAAATATAAAATAGCGCTTATATAACAAAAAATATAAGGTAGTGCTTATGCAAGAAAAATATAAAGTAGCGCTTATGTAACAACAAATATCCCAGTTATAGGATTTAAATACAATACCATGCATGTTGTGGCAATATTTATTGGTGCTGTTCCATTCTTCGCGTAAGCTGAGGTTGAACATGCTGTAGTCCGGATTGCCGGTGACTTCCTTCTCAATCGTCAGAAAATGAGGCAGAGTGTTTTTCAACTCCTCACCCGTCAACGCCGTGTACGTCTCGAGTAACATCAAGCCTCGACATCTGTGCACAAAATTACATCATTCAGAATAATAATACGATGTCTCTTTTTCTATCTCAATCTTTTGAGATGCAGAGAGTCTGTTTTAATATTTAATTAATCCGAGAAATCTTGAATTTAATTATAACCGAGCTATATTTATACGAAGTATTTCTCGCTATTGGCAAGCATAGAGAGGCCAGTCATACGTTGTCCTGGACTAAGTTTATATTTTATCGATTTTCCGATAAATAGATATAGAACTGATTTTTTTCATCGAAGATAGATAGAATTTCAGTTCACAACGTTTTAGTTCATTCAACCGTGGGGAATATTGAGCTATTACCTGGGATGCGCCGGTTCTCTGTATATGTCTAACTGGAAATACTGATTGTTGATGAGAAAGCAACGGCGACGCTTGAAGATAGTAAAATGCGAATCGTCGCGCTGGGCCAACATGTTCAGGTAGTCTCGGTGCGTCAGTTGGGTCTTCACCTCGATCACTTGGCCGCACATTTTCGGTCGGCGAATCGTGTGAATGTACGACCAGTGGCCTTGAAGAATAGAAAAATTCAAATTGTATTTTCATCGCCTGAATCGAGCATGATGAGGACCGTGGAGGGGTCGTTAAATGAATAAAATAAATAATTGGGTCGGGAAGAAGGACGAGAGCTTGTGTCGCACGGTGATTCACCTTTCTGGCCGCGCTTGCGTAAACGAGCCTGCATCTTGGGATTGTTGCTCTGGAGGTAATTATGCACGACGTCGAAGTCCTGGAATGGCGGGAACTCGCTCTCCGCCGGCAGCGGCGCCGTCACGAGGAACTTGACCTTGCGGCTGCTGGCGAGCAATCGGTCGCCGGTGTCGATGCCCAGTTTCTGGCACACGCACTCGATCATCCGGCAAATTTTAGTCTCGAAATCCTGCGAGTTGTCGATGACGTCGAAGTACGGATGACCGACCCAGGAGGCCGCGGCCTTGTAGTCGAGCTCGCGCGCGAGCTCGACGCCCTCAGAGCGACACGCGTGCTCCTCCGTGGAGTAGAACTCCTCGGCACCGTTCGCTGCCGAAACCATGTGGATGATCTGGTTGTACCTGGTCAATAGAGGGAAGACAAAACAGAATGCCTTTATTGCAGAGAATAAAATATGACGCAAACAGAGAATCTGCAATATTATTAAAAAGTTATTTAAAAATATGAAAAATATTATTTTGTCAATGTTCAAATCGGATCTTTCGAAGGCAAGGGACGAGTGTCGAATTTACGAATTTTCTTGTACGCTTAATTTTAATATACCTGTTGTCCCTTAGCTCGACGTTGTTCCATCCGTTCGAGGCCATCATAAGCTCCCACTTATCCTTCGAAATGACTGCAAAATGTCTCTCATTAATCTTTCGTTACTGGGGCCGGGAGGAGGGGAAAGTCGCAATTAATTCAATTATTTTCGAAGATCTGTACTAACAGGCGGAGGCGTCCATCGCACCGCGATCGCAGATGATCAGGCAATTCCTCGAACAGCTCTCACCCAGTTGAAAGAACGTATTCTCGATTTGTATCATCGTGCGCAAAAGATTTTCCTGAAACTTGAATGCTGCAACACACGTACGAAAGAAAATGCGATATTATACGAAGAACGTTCTCCCACGAATTGTTATTGTGGACAGGACGATCTGCACGTGGACGCCTCGGCGATACTTGAAGCCGGCTAGCCTGAATAATCGCGTCATCTAACTCGATAAAGGCGGCCCGAAGCTCTAAGGAAGAAAGCCCTAGAAATGCTTAAGCACAATAAACTTCCTCGGTGTTATTTGAAAATTATAGCGAGTATACTAATCGAGTTGTCTCTTGAAAAGACAACTCTTGAGTTAGGCCTTGTTGATACTTGAGTCCTTTTCAAGCGAGATTCTAGCGAGACGGGCGGACGATCCTCGTTCGTTCAAAGAAAAAAAAACGAAATTAGCGAATTTTTTTCGATTTTTATTTGATATACAAATATCTTTATTATCTATACATTCAATAGGTCGTTAATTTTGTCTGTATTATCTGGCTAATTTTGAAGAATGCAGGGAAAGATATATCTTGGATAATTCTATAATTAACTGATGAAGAGATTTGATTTATTCCGGGATAGAGAAGCAAGGATTCGTCTCTCGTCGTGAGTTTCTAGAGTGCCTTGCGTTCCAAGGCCGAGACACAATGAAGTGTAAAAATAAAAGAAATGTAAGAAATAAAGTAAATAAAATATATAATATTGCCAACGCGCACAAAACGGGACTGCGAGAAGCGATCGATAATAACAGGAAGATGCGGCTACGGGATAAAATAAGCTCCTACGTCTACTGGACGGCATGAAAAAGTGTATATCGATGTTACAATCGACTTGTTAATTAGTAAATTGGAAAGATATTAATAGAGAAATTAATTTTACAAAATTCTGATCGTAGATTGAAAGTTTCGTTAATTTTACTTTAACTCTAACAATCTTAATTTTAAAATTTTACTCTTTATCCTATAATTCCTCAAAAAAAAACCTAAATCGTTAATTTTTTTAAAAAGAATCAAGAATAATATATTATATTAAAATAAATATGTATTATAATATATATTTATATTATAATAAATTCGACGCCGATTTATATTATAATATATTAGACGCTGAAGACAATCAGAATTAAGAAATATTTTTTTAAGCGACACGCCGCGGTGAAAAATCGATGGAAAATAGAGAAATCGATAAAAAAGAGAGCTCAAATATTTTCAAAGCAATCATCAACTTCCTTGTTGTGTGTCTTACACCTACGTTTCATCGTGTCTCAGGCCACACTCTAGCGCGATTACTCGGACTCACCCACGCCAGAGTCGACCTCCAGGATCTCCGGCCATCTCGCCTCGCTCCTACGACCTAGACGCGGAAATCTCGCGTACGAGGGATACGGAGTCTCCGCTAGAATCAACCTTGATCTTGGCCTCACGTCGTCATTGGGGACCCGGAGACTCGAGTTTGCAAAGAATATCACGCCTTCTCGCCTTTGCACGCCCGACGATCGAATCGCGAGGGAAATATAGACAGAGTTGAAAGGAAACTGATGAAAGGAGTCTCTCTCGCTAGATACGAGGACACGAATTTAACTTCAGCGACCGACGTCAGAGTTTGGAATTCCTCGACTGTTCTCTATATTCTTTGTCACGTTGTTCTCAATCTTCTCTTTAACTAAATGAAACTTCTTCTCGCTTGGACAAAAACAACTGACTAATGTCGAGGATCTAATATCGTCGACAATGAGTAAAGGAAACACGCGGGTGTCGCGTTACCGCACTCGAGTTTCACGAACATCATCGGTTTCATTTTTGTTTTCTTCTCCTTTTCCAACTGACGAATGTTCTCCCTCGCGAAAGAATCGCGGAATGACAAACGGTGAGAAATAGAGGCGATGATAATTCAACGTTTTTTTAGTTTTTCGAGGCTCGTCGCAAACATCGTCAAACGCAAAAAAAAAAAAAGAAACGTCAGTTCAATTAACTACGGTCCGCGAGGAATCAAACGCTGAGCTGAGTTGAAAAATTTAAGCTTTTAGAACTTCAAGAAGTGCTAATCCATTGTGACGAAATTTAAGGTGCGAATGCAAGCAGCGTAGACTAAGGTTTTCTAAATTTATCTCTTTTTCTTTTATGCTTCCGCAAATTTACCGTCGACTCGAGAAATCGCGAACGTTTTGCAAGCGCTGTCACACGTACGCGTCTCTGGTGAAAGAATCGCGCCACTTTAACACGGCAAAATGTATCGTGTAAATTATCTCGTGCTCAATTATGGAACGGTTTTACTTCGTAAAGGAAAAAAAAAAACATTCTAGCTCTTATCAAAACTGTATACAAGAGACGCGCAACGCAGTAGGTATATTTGATATATACGACGTGATAAAATGTATATGCATAAATCGCAAGCGGGGGAAGCCTGACATACGTGCCGGTTCGTTTCCGTTCAAGGGCGAGCTGATTAAAGTCGCACGAAGTCGTCTTACGTAAGGGCGAGCGAACATTTCAATCGCGGACGCGACCACCGGCGTAGCGCAAATTTATTATCTTATCTGCCGACGTTAACGCAAAAACCTTTCAGTCCTCCCCGGCGGAGAGGTAGGACGTTTTAAGTATTTAAAAAAAAAAGGAGAGAGAAGCGCACCGCCGACAGCTCGATCGAGCGCACACAATACGCTCTGCGCCCGAGGTAACGAAGTTATTCGCGGGAGAAATAATGGTGCAAGAGATTAAAAATAGAACGGTGAGGGATCGAAAGGTGTCGACCAATTGACACACGATTGCGGGAGGCGGACGGATGGCAATATAATGAAATTTCACGTAATCGCGGACAAATATAATGAAATTTCACGTAATCGCGGACAAAGTCCCTCGCGTCCATCGTCGAGAGGCGCGGGGAAGGCCAAGTTTAGCGTAAGCCAAGAATTTCGCACGTTATGCAATTCGGGCTCGGGCTGCCCGTTGTCGCGAGCGAGAGATGAGCTTAGAGCTCGCGCGGCGATCCGCGCTCGTCAAACGCGACGACGTTTAGCGCGGCACCGCTCCGCGCGTCTCGTTTCTCGCGGGAGGAGATCCGCGTGCGGCGAAGCTTTCGGGCGTCCGACGTTTCCATACGCGACACAACCTGGTCGAACTGGTTTCCTTTATCTTTCTTTGTTTTTTTTTTGCCGTAGTTCAAGACGCGGAGTCTTTTTCTCCTCCTCCCTCTCTTCCTCTCTCGGCCCGCGCCGTCTGCTGAAGCTTGGGATTTTTCCGTCCGCGTTTGTCCTCACGTCGCGATTGCGATGGTTGACGCAATCCGTTACCGTATTACCGGGGTATGTAATATGTCTACAAGTTGCGATTTCCCTGCAAGGTTGAGGCGAGAAATAACGCCTCGCATTAAAAACGCATCCGTCCTCTCACGCTCGTTTATTTTCATAAAATCGCGGGAAAAAAATAAAAGAAACGGATCGACAGTTAATCCGTTAAAATCCGTATGCGATTATCGACTCTGACCGGATGGACGAATCCCAGAACTGTCAAGTCAGTTAGCTCTCTCTCTCTCTCTCTCGATCCTTCCTTAATTAATTATCAATCACTGCACAGCTACAGCCTCGAGAATTCGCGTCATGCGATCGAAAATCATTTCTATATGCTAATTTCCGCACGTCTATACGTTACTGGAGATATTACGTTTCGGATTTTGGAATTATATACGTCGAAGAGCCGAAGAGGATCACGCGAGTGTAAAGAGGAAAGAAAAGAGGATTGCGTAAAAGCGATGTAATCAGCAGACTTACCCTCCTCCGCGTTCAGGTCTGAAAACTTGATGCCGCCACTGAAATGGAAAGAAAGCAGACAGCAGATATGAGACAATTGTGTATAGACACACGCGCGCAGCAACGCGCGAGCGTTCATTAATTGAGTTTAATCGAACGTTTGCAACGCAATTGCGACGCTACGTGGACGGTCTTAAATATCTCGCAGCTGCAACCGGCAGCGGTAATTGAGAGGCGCTCGTCATTACGCGCTCTGAAAAGACTATCTCTGAAAAGGCGCCTCTCTAAAGGAAAAAAAAAAAAAAAAAAAAACCCGTCTTTCTACACCACCAATGCTCTATTTCTCTCGAAATTGAAACAACGTGCAAACTCGTATAAGTAAGCTCTCTATATAGAGACTCCCGTTGAGTGATCTTGAAGTTTCTGCGCAGCTTTTCGAGAGACGCAGACGCAAATTGCTTCACTCTAACATTTACTCGCCGGAGCATGTCCCGCGATATATATATTTTTTTTTTCATCACGATACAATCGATACTTGACTCGAACGAGAGCGAGGGCGAACGGCTTTATTTCGGTCTTCGAAAACTCCTTTTAACCCTGCAATGTGTGAAGCATTCACACACACATACACACACACACATACACACACACGCACGCACGCAAAAACGCACGCACGCAGGGATTTGCGAGACTTGATAGCGTTTTATGTGTATCTTTGTTCATAGTACTCTCCCTGTAATTTCGACAAATTTTCAAATTAATCCCAGACTATTTTTCCGCAACGTGTAATTTCAATCTTCCGAAATTATCCCTCTGTCTATTTCGGTTCTTGATACGCTTCATTCGTGAGGGCACATTCCAGGGTTAATTCGAAAGAAAACCGTAATCGTCTCCGAGAGGGTCGACTCTCGTTCCAACTTCTTTCTTTTTCTCATTCTCGTTTTTTGTTTTTTTATTTATTTTTTTTTGTAAACTTGTGATCGTGTAATTGCATACCTGAGCAGCACGGTCGCTGTCTCGGGGACACGGAACACCTGAAAAAGAAGACAACCACCGCTCTATCGAATCCAAAACGAAGGGTAAGATCCCCCGAAGCTAAATCGCGTTTTTTTTTATTTTTCTCTTTGAAATCTCTTTTCAGACTTACAATGTTGAATTCAATTCGTGAGAAATTAATTTATCATCGTTCAATTAGAGCTCAAAGACCATTGCTGTCACGATATCTTTTTTTTTCCTTATATTTTTCCTTCTCTTTAAGAGAGACTCAACGTTAAATCGATCAAAAGTAAGTATACGTTCCATAAAGCTCGACGAGCTAATATTTTAGTATCAACCTCTACACGCAGTTACGGCTCACTGTGCGGCAAGGTACCATCTCGCTCCGGAGAAAGAGACGGAGACGAGCTATGGAAAAAAAGGCTACATTATGCCGTAATGCATTATCCTTGACTCGAATATTATCGTACAGCACGCGACAGTCGAACGATTTCTGGAAGGTACATTGTATACGATAGAGACTCTATATACAGAATAATAATCATCCCCTTCTCGGCTATATCATCAATAACGAACAACCCTGTGTGTATGTACGTTAAGGTACTGTACGGCATCTGTCGATTGTTGAATCTAACGTGGAATCGAGCGAGCGTCGCTCGGAGAGAGCAAAAGCAAAAAAGTCAGTTAGGGGGGAAAACTCGCAATCGGAGATCTCTGTGTTTTATTTTCTTTTTTTTTCTTTTCTTTCTTTCTCTCGCGAAAACTTGATTTTTAAAGCCTCGAAGAGGGTTCTACCTACCTTCCAGCCCATGTTCTCGAAGAAGGTGCACAGCCTGGTCTGCCCGGTTGTCTTGCCACCACATGGTCCTGCAATTGCAGACACGTGTTAGATAGACTGTGCTGCGCGAAATCTTGAAAAAATTTTCGTCGATCGCGATATATGCGCGCGCGCGTGAATTCTTCAAATAATACTTTACGACATTACCGTCTCCTTCTTCCTTTCGTTACGTAAAATAAACGACGAGCGTATGAAAAGGCAGACGCCAATAAAAGACAAATTGAACGTAATTGGCGCGCGCGCTCGGCACGGCTATTAACTCGTCGCGACGTTATGCATCACGCTCGTTATGCATCGGGATGAATTTGTGGCGAATTTGAACCCTCCCTCCTCCCCGAGTCACCATACCGATCCGATCCGAAAATAAACCGCGCGCGAGCTCAGCGATCTTCAAAAAATTCCAGGCATTTCCCAGACTTCTTTCCCATAAGAGATATTCAATCTGATCTAATATCACCCTTATCTCAAAACTAAACAGAACGGAATTCCTTAGTCTTCTACGCACGTCTCGTAAAAAATACAACAGAATTTTCCCTTTTGAACTTTGAACTTATTTTTGAGAAAACTAACTTCCCTTTTGTAAGATTTTTTGCTGTAATTTATTTTTCATTCAGATGACGAGGATTGTTACGCAGGAAATTTTCATTCGAGTTGTGTATTAGTTAGTGTCTAAAAGTATCTCATTTGCCTCCGATTTTGGGACACATTATTGTGTCACCCTCGCATGAAATTTAAATTTCTGACAAGATAAAAAGGAGCACGTGGCGCAAGTTTATTTTAAAAGATTCCCCTATATATACCTACATATGTTGCTATTCATATATACCAAAACAGCTTAAATTTCGAGTTTTGTCGAAGTTTTGTTAAGTTATATTGCGTCTTACAATTCTCGCTATGTCATGTGGTAGAGCGTATAGGCTTTTTCAGCCAGATAACTCTTGGCTACCAAAAAGATAACGCGTCGTCAACGATAAAACCGCAAATCCAACACAAGGCTATCGAGTCGTTTCGCGCTATCGTTCGCTTCCGGTTTTTATCCGCTGAAATGAGATAAACGTAAGAAATATCGTTCGTCCGAGGCCGAGGAAAAATATAATCGTGACTCATACAGGCGGCGGGAACGTCTGAGAGATGTCTGAAAAGCGTGTACGTCCCGGTCACGGTACTCAGGGGATCCGTGTCACATTCACCATCGGTTATCGCCAGTAAACAATGAGTAATGCCGACCGCCTGAGTCTCATCGACGCGGCATGCCTCCTTTTATGTTTTCTTTCCATTCTTCCCAAGTCCGGAGGGCTCTTTCTTTCCAACCGAAGTGCTCTCTCTCAAGAATCGATTCCGAGCAATGTCTCATTCTGTTGAAAGGTATACAATCCCCGACCTTGCAATTGAAATTATCGCTTACTTTCGTAATAAGAGTAAAATGAGACTTTCGCTGTGCGGTACAATATAACGCGAAACAATCAATAAATTAACGCGAGCGACGCGAATAACCAATTAAAAAAAAAAAATCGAATGAAAACCGAGTGAGGGATAAAGTTTTACCCTTTGGATTAGACGAAAATTTATGCAAACGGAGCCCCGCTCCCTTGGCGAGACCCTTTTCCCGGGTCACCCGGTACAGTTGTGACCGCGTGTCCCTGCGTGGCGCGTGGAATCGATCGGCATCCGCGCGTGGCTACGATAACGAAACGTTTCAAAACGTTACATGGGAGACGGCAAGAGACAGTGCGGCGCGACGCCACAGCCGCACGTAACGGCGAGATGAGCCCGGGAGTCGGTACCGAAATTTCGATAAACGGAAAGATTTTACGACACTATATATACTTGCATTTCTTTCGCCGTATGAAAAAAACAATAAGGGATCTGAAAATGACGGGATGTCTCCTTTATGTTTTTTGTTGTACGAAAATTCTTTCCACCCTAATCCGGAGTTCCTTTCTCTCAATTGAGACTTTTTTTTTTTCAAGAATTTCGAACAATATTTCATTCTGTCGAACAGGAATACAGGATTCTGGACCTTGCATTGAAATTATCCGTCCACTAATTCATTTTCGTAACAATAAGAGCAACGGCACTTCGCATCTACTTTCAGATTTCTCCGTTTCTTTGCGTCTCCTCGCCAGAACTTTTTTTGGGGGAGGACCGGGAGCGCTATAGAATTCGCTACTGGAAAAACGCCAGAACTTCGTTACATTGAAATTCAATTTTAGAGAATTATATTGAATTATATTTCTATTGTATCGATAAACGAGGCCGTGCGATTCCGCGCACGGACGAAAAGTTCGCGCTTTCGTGCCGGCAATTACCACGCTTCCCTCCGTTTCCCTCTTCTCTTTCTCGACTTTCTGGGCTTCCGACTACCTATATGCTCGTTATACTTGATCCAAGTAACAAGCGCAAGAGAAACCGCCGAGCGGTTTCGCACCACGTGCGCCCGTCGTCACGCGCCGGCCGGGGAAAAACCGTCTCTCCGAGAAAATCCCTCTCGCGCGTGAAATAAACTTCTCACGTGCAGTGTGTTCTATTCTCGTGTGTCTGTTGCGAGTATAGGAAATTACACGAGGCGAGCGATCGTGTCGGAGCAAAGGATTTTAAAAGAAAAAAAGGAAAAAAAACCAGGAGGACACATGCGCCACAGTGCTTCACGTTCGAAGGCGAAGACTACCTGAAGAACGTGGCAAGGAAGGGAAACGACGACTGGGAATATCTTTAATATCTTCAAAGAGCCAAGCACACGTGCTTCGCTCTCGTAAACTCTAGATTTTTCCATTGTACTTTGAGATCTCTCGTTCCCGTGTGCTACAAGATTTTTTTATTTTATTTCATCGTTCCTTATCTTTTTTCAGACTTTTCATTTTATTTTTTTTAAATTGCGTCTCGATTAATACCCCGTCCCCTCCTGACTTGGCAAACTTCGAGATTTCACTCGGAAGAACGATTCTTAATTAGAGCACTTTTTCTTTCGTGTCCGTCGAGCTAGCAGGAATGCTTGAGAGACACGTGAATATGCATACATATTGCGAAATAATAGAAGCCGGAAGTTTTCGTGGAAATTGACGGATTAATCGAAAACGCGAGGCGAGTGAGACGTAAGGAACGGAGGCATTTGCAAGTCACTTGTTAGTCCAAGTCTAAAGTTTGTATGCGAGGTGTTGAAAATAGACCGAGGGGTAAATATGCGGCATGTAAATATGTAAAATAGACCAAGGTAAATATGTGGCGGTGCCATTGTGCGAGTTTTAACTGTAACTATCTCGATCGGGGTACACATTTGTATTCGCAAAAGATTTTCTAAAATTATCTGATGAAAGACCTCAGTGACGGAGAGGGAGAGAGAGAGAGATAGAGAGAGAGAGAGCGCGACATTTTGCCAGTACACAAAATATGCAAATGCCAAGGAAAAAAATCAATGGGAGGCACTCCGCACCGCATGCTTTACTCCCGCAGACTCGTTCTCGCTCTCCGAATGTCCCGATGATTTAGCGAGATTCAATCAGGGCAGATTCGAGAACGTATGTACATGCATGCTCGACGAGGAGTATCAATCCGTGCCTAATCTACTCCAGCTCGGTGGAGTCGCACGCACCAGGGAGGAGGAGGGGGAGGGGGGAGGGCGGAGGGGAAGAGGTGAAGGGGAGAGACGCGATTGTACCCCCCTTGTTACGTACCTCCCGTCAGCACTAACTTGTACACGCGTTTCTGATCCATCGCAGCGGTTCCACTTCCGACCAGGAATCGCGTGTGTTCCTCTTCTCTCCTGCTCGCTCCTCTCTCGCCTTCTCACCCTCGCCGCTCGACGACGACGACGACGACGACGACGATGACGAGTCTTCTCGCCGGGGTGGTTGTTTCCTCCTCACCGACGTGACGGAGGGGCGGGGGAAGGGGGAGGATTGCCGAGGGTGGCGGGTGTGCGACGCTCGAAGGCGGCGGTGGTCGGTACTACATAAATACCTGGTGGCGCATCTCGGGTCGGCGCGTGCTCGACCGCGTGCTCGGGCGACGCATGGGAAGATCGGGCGACGGGAGGGAAGGGTGGACGGAGGAGGGGGGGCGGAGCTGACGGCGACGATGCTTCCCTCGAGGCGCGGAGCTCGTTCGACGTCGGTCAACCGGCGATTTTCTCGCGACGAGTCTCACCTCTCACCGCGAGTACCCTGTTCTCCCGTGCAGAGAGGAGGGTGCGAGGGAAAAAAATACGGCACACCGCGAGTCTCGCGCTCGGCACAACAAACGCGCGCGTGTCCGCCTCGTTCCACAGCTCGGAGGCATCTGAAGTGAGTCCGGAGTCGCGCAGCTGGTCGCGCGAAGTCACGCGCGCTCCACCGGAGCCGGAAGCCGCCGCGCGCGCGGCGCCGACCGACGAGTGTCCCCACCGGAAGCGGAAGCGACGGCGGACTTCCGCGCCAAATTCAAGCTCCGACTTCCACGCTTTCCACCGCGCTCGTCGATTTAATCGTTGCGACTTGAAAGATCGAGGGCTTCGGCGTAAAAATTCAAAGCTGTCCGATTCCCCGTATGTCACTTTATGTCCATGAAATTAGGTTTAACAAAAAAGTTTTGTCTTCAAGACATTAATTTACATTTTTTGTTTTTTTTTTCTTGTAAAACAAGACGTTCTATTAATGTTTTTATCGATACAGAATTATTTTAAATCTGTTGTAGATATATTGGAATATATTCTAATTGGAAAAATCGACAAATTAAAATTCTGTTTACAGCTATGATTTATTGCCCTTCTTCGCGATACGGAGACTATAAATAACTTACCGAAATTGTTTTCGATTTAGAAAACGGAAATACCTTTGCGTTAACGAGTCCCTCTCGCAGAAGATCTACCTGTGACCGTCTTTATATACATCCCCACTCCGCAACCGTTTAGACTTTGGAAAATACCTCGTTGGAGGAAAAAAGGTAATGAGCGCTTCTTTATCGCCTTCGTTCACGCAACCGCAATAAAAATAATGTCCTTGGTACAGATAGCACGCTCCGCTGAATTTTGCCCATTTTGTCCTCCTCCCGAACAATGCGAGAGCACATAGATCTAAGAGATACGTAAAAACATCTCTTTGCACGGTTTTTCCCGCCTCCGGTTTACAAAAGTCACATTTCGCATTTTTAAACATTAATATCTTAATATCATAAAATGAAAACTATCTATGTACAATTTTTAAATATTTTTACTGTTTCCTATTCTACAAATATATATATATTTTTACTTACAATCGACGAAAATAAAGTCACAGCGATTTTATTTTAAAAAGAAAGATTTTATTTTGATCCATTGCCATTAATTTGAAAACTTAAAGAACAGATACAGTCATTTGAAAGTCTCGAATATCTTCTTTCTCTGGTTTGATTATTATTTGATTTTTCCTGAAATCAATGCTTTCTTTACAAGGTTCAGTTATGGTTTCAATTATTTTCAATTAGATATAATCAATTAATATTTTTCTTGAAATCAATGCTTTCCTTACAAGTTCCTTCAGTTATGATTTCAATTATATTACTTCATAATATGGATTTGTGAAATAAAATCGCCTAAATCGGAAGATTCGATTCTTCTATATTCCTCTCATCTATATTTTTGTATTTACAATCTCTTTCTCTTTCTATTAATGGGTATCAGCTAATATACAAGTATAATCTTAAGTAAACAGCACCGGGAATCTATTGCGTCATTACGATGTGCGGATACTCTGCTCACAATCAGAATAATTAGAGGGTCATGAAATTGAATCCTATATTCGTAATTAAGATCTAAAATCACATATCAGAGCAATGACATTTATTCCAAAAGGAATAGAATTCAGAGAAAAAAAAGCGATATCAAGAACGAAAAAGTGCATAGACGTTTATTTGAAAGATCGAAAATCCAAAGTGTAGAATATTTCGGATATCCACATGGAAAAAAAGATTAAAATCTATAATAAATAAAACAATCAAACCGATTAAATTCATTGTTGTAGATGCATAAAAAGCAAAAGATTCTTACACTGCAATTTTGCTTAAAACACATTTCTCTTTAATGTAAAATACACACATGAAGGAAAAGAGTAAGGAAAATTCTTTAAGCCACAGCCAAGAGACAACCTTTTTGATTCGTCGAACGAGCAGTTTGATGAGCATCACTTTAATTAATTGTATAGGCACTGCGGGCAGTTAAACGTTTAACAAATCTCTTTGAAACAAAACACACACAATTAGTAATGCCATTCCTCGATATTACTTGCACTTGTTATATTTAAATATTCGGAAATATCTCATCATCACGTAGCGAGTCAATCATCTCCATTTAGTTACATACAACATTCTTAAAGAAACAGAAATATAAGTAAATATATCATATATACAGCATTATAATGAAGGCAGAATGAATAGACTGTACATAATATTAAATATGTTAATAATGAACTATATCCTTAGACGTACCTAACTCTTTACATATATTAATTTTTTTTAACCATATATTTTTTTACATATATCATTTTTTTTGTATTTGTACAGTTTTTCTTTAGAGTTGACAGATGTGTCAACTATTAACCCTTTGGTGCTACTGTATGGCAATATCCAACTCCTTTTATACGCTAGAACTTTTCCATCACCTAATAAAGATACATATACATATACATTTAATCATTAACTTCTAACGTTTCGATTAAAAAGAAATGTTATATGCTAATATTTATGCGACATTTTTACACCCAGTGTGTTGTTGCTCCCGTGACAAAACGTGTAGTGTGACACCAAAGGATTAATATTAAGAAAATAGCATATCCAGTAATTTAATGTTATAACTGTCAGATTGAATCGTAAATGTGAGAAAGAGGAAAAGTCTATTATTTTGCCAACAGCATTATTAAGTCACAGATGTAATAAATATATGCGATTGTGAAATTACTTTACCATTACTACGTAAAAAAATCGCGCTGAGAGTTATGAGTCAAAATATCGAATGGTCGAAGCGTGTGGCCAAATGTTTTTTTAGAGTGCTTACAGCGCAAAAAACATTTGATTCGAAAGTTCGGAGATGTCAAGGAACAGGAACCTAACTCGTTCATCTATCGTAGGAGTCGAGTCTTTGTACGAATTTCAATGGTATCCCCATGCTAAGCAACTTGTCCGGTGAAGCGTTCCTCAAGTCCCTATAATAGTAATTCAACGCCTGCCAGCAGATCTCGGACAATTTGGGAATTGTTATCCAAGCGGAGTAAATCGCGTTTGTTCTTTTCACCTGTAACAATGAAAATACTTCGAATTATCACGATTTTTTATATTTATAACATTATTAATATTTTAAAAAATCTCTATTATAATTGATTCCTTACTGTCTTAAAAATTTAAATAACCTTTATTACTCCAATTTTTAATTATTATCAAACATAAATAAACTTTTAAATAAAATCTTTTTTAAACTAAAATTACTAAATATATCATTGAATAAATGATAGACATTGAATAAAACGCATTTATGGAATGTGAATCGCGCCACAGTGCGATAATAACCTTGTTATTCGTTTTGACTATACCGCCGAATAAGTACATGCGACCCTCCGGGGTCAGCGCAGCCGAATGGAAGTACACCGGACTTGGTAGGACACATTTTCGCATGCGTGTCCACTGCAGCGTGCTGAGATCAAGCCGCCAAACGTCAGAAAACACCCGATCGCCATTGTAACCGCCCGATATGACGACCGAGGTAACGCCAGTCTTCTCGTCCGTGTACTGAACGGAACCGTGACAACGTCGTGGCGCCGGTACCCTAGTCTTATCAGTATCACCATGCGTATACAAAATCGTCCAACGGTTGGTCCTCAAGTCAAACGCCGGTATTTCCTGACAGAATTTATTGTAAATATTACATAAAGAAATTGCAATTGTTGCGTATTTTTGTATATACTTTTACAGAAAACTCATTATATTAATATATTTAGTGTATATCATCTCAATACCTTATAATAATATAATTTCTTATTATATAAATATCTCATAACATGTTAATATAATAATATGTACAGGGTTGCCACAAATTCTTCATTCTAAAATTTCATGACTTTTTCCTGACAAAATTTCATGATTTTCCCTGACTTTCAATAAAATTAAAAAATTTTTTTGTATGTTCGTTTTTGGAATCTATTTGGAAACCGTTAAATATTTTATTGAGAGAGCAATTTAACATAGCAATATAAATTACTATTACTGTTGTTGACATTGCTTGCACTCAATTGTTGAGTTATTAGTAATTCTTTATCTTTTTCTTTTATATATATGCGCACAATTCTTTTCCTCTGCTTAGAATACAAGGAACATATGTAAATATAATTTCTTTTTAATAAAAACTAAATCCTGCAGTTTATTGAAATCTTTAACTTGCTATTATATAAAGGTTTACAGACTTTAGGTTTTTACAGACTTTAAAGAAAAATTACAAAATATAAAGTTAATTTTATTAATGTGTTCACAAATGACACAAGAAACAAGTTAAAAAAAAGTTTAAATAAATTTAAAATTCTAACAAAAAGTAAACAAGTTAAAAATTTTAATGCTCTTAGAGAAACATTTTAAAAAGTCTCTCTCTGTGCCTCTATTAAAAAGAGAATTAACATTAGCTAACAAAACTGTATAGGTGTAATATATATTATATGATGCATATTAAACTTCTTTAAAGCCAAGAATTTTAATTTTCCAAAAAATTTTGTAAAATTCCCTGATTTCCAGTTTTGTGGCTACCTTGTATGTATATATTATACGTATAAGGGTAGTTACGTTATTTGTTTTTTTAAATAGAATTTTTATGCATTTGTTTACTCACTGAAAAGCCATAGGCCTCTATCGAAGTGCCGCCACCCAAGACGTAGATCTTATTGCCGTCAAAGGCAAGCTCATGCCTGTACCTTCCGTACGGTTCAAACTCGTCTCTGCCCGAGCAAATGTATACCACCTCCCAGACGCCTGTTCTTAGATCGAACCGGTGAATATCGCAGGTATATTCGTAACCGGTAGTGCCGCCGACTGTGTAGAGATAGGGGCCATGGCATACTAGCGCCTGTAAAAATAAATAATGATAAATATATACAACAGCAAACAAGCTCATGTACATTATAATTTTTGGTGTAACTATATTCTAAAGAAATAAAGAAAAAAAAGGTGATGCAGTCTTGAAATTTTTAACACAAAATTGTATATCAAGATTCTCGTTTAATCATCGATTGATCCTTCTTCATTGTTTTAATTTTTAATGAAAACAATATTATATCCTATTATGAAAGGAACAAGGAACCACAAATCTCAGGATGGCATGGCAAATGAATCTTAACAATGTGCCAACTATTAACCCTTTGGTGCTACTGTATGGCATATCCAACTCCTTTCATACGCTAGAACTTTTTCATCACCTAATAAAGATAGATATACATTTAATCATTAAATTCTAATGTTTCGATTACAAAGAAATTATTTATATGCTAATATTTATGGGACATTTTTACACCCAGGGTGTTACTCCCGTGATGACAAAATATGTATAGTGTGACACCAAAGGATTAACATCAAGAAAATAGCATATCTCAACAATGCTGCCTTTTGGAAGATAGAAATTCAAATAATAAAGACAAGAACTGATTCCGTACCTGTCCGTACTGAGGTAAAGGCAGCTCGCCGATGGCCGGCACGACCTGTATCGCGCCGTCGTCCACGTTGCAGATGTACAGCTGATTGCTGCAGCTCTCGCCGAAGGGCACGCCGGTGCCGCCGTACACCATGAGCGCGTTGCCGCACAGTATCACCGCGTTCGACGCCAGCTCGTTCGGCATGTTCTCCTGGCCGGGCAGCCGCTTCCAGCGCTTGGTGACCAGGTTGTAGCGCCACAGCTCCTTGAACAGCGGCTTGCTGGCGATCCACGTCTGGTCGTCGCGCATGTCCGGGTCATTGTCGGATATGCACGGATTGAAGCCGCCGTACGAGTACAGGTTCCGATGGTCGCACGCGATCCGGTGGCCGCTCCGCGCCTTCGGCCGCTCCGGCCCGTTCACGCTGTGCTTGGTGAACACGAACGGCTTGAACGTGTACGTCGCGCTCATGCTTCCGCCTCCGTCCGTCATCCGCCTGGCGGGTGTACCTGGGGCGTCGCGACGAAAGGCGATTACGAAAAAGCGATATCGGAGGACTCTCAGCGGACCGCTGCGAGGCTCTCCCTCTCGGTGGGAGCTCCGCCACGCGCCGCGGTCATTCCTAACCCCAAAATTCCCGCCCGAGAAGACCGCCGACTGCTATACTCCGCTCCCCCCTTTCCTATCCGCGAGCGATCGCAGTTACTCACCTGCCTGCGTCTGTCTGTCTATCCCAAGCGAGATTTGCCCTTTCGAGAGCTCTCGTCTTTGCGACACGGATATACTCGCGAACGGGTGTATCTCGGAGTTAGACTGCCGGTCATTTCGACCGAGGGAGTAGATCACGCTCCTCTCTCTCTCTCTCTCTCTCTCTCTGTCGTGCACGACACTCGGCCGGAGTTTCTTCGTAACACGCAGATCAAGTGGAAATCAAAGTGGAAGTCGCGCTTTTCCGCTGTCGTGACCGCGATCGTCTTGCGATGAACGTCGATCACTCTCTCCAGTAACAGCGACCGATGTACCAAGGGTACTCGGAGTACAGCTAGTCGAGCTAGTACACAGGAGTGTTTTGGACGTGTTTTTTCCCTCGCCGTTCACATCTGCGCGACACGCGTCACCATCGTATGTCCGTCTCGTCGCGGGAGATTCAATGTGATTCACCGGGCGGGGGGAACTCAGACCTAATAAGGGGATCCGTGTTTACTTTCGGGCGCAAAACAATCCGCGCTACCGGACCGACGTCCCGCGCAATGTTCCGCGACATCGCGACGCTTCCGGAAAATCTGGAATTCGATAGAAATCGAGGAAGTCGAAACACAATCGTAATGAGTACCTTTTAGACTTTAAAGCGTGATGTATGAGTTAGTCTTCAGAAAATTCCAAACACCCAGTCCCACCAGTCGCAGCTGCGAGTGGACGTTGTCAACAGTTGCCGATCGCGATTCTGTCCACTTCGAGATTTGGTATCTTTAGCTGAACCTCGGAAGTTTTAGCTGAAAGAAAAGAAGAAGTTTTCAGCTGTTCTTCTTGCACGGTTCATCTTTCCTCTTTTTCTCGCCAATGTGGAGAGTAAAAGAGGAAAAGATAAACAGTGCGAGAAGAACAGCTGAAAACTTCTTTTGTGGGACCTACCCTCAGGCGGCGAGGCTTAATGTGGCCCAAAAATCACACGGTGGAGAGGGGGATACTATAATACGCCGCGAAAATTTTAGATACTCACTGAATCACTCGGCCACGGTACGAATATCCACATCAGTTCGTGGCTCGCGCACAAAACCAACTGAATTTCAACAGCTAAAAACAACAGACACTCGGGCTGCGTTCGGTTTGGCGCTTACAACGCTTATAAGGACATCCTTGTTTAACATTTGATAAACAACAAGGACAAAACGATGTTGTAAGCGCCAGGGCGAACTCAGCCCGAGGAGGGCGCCTCTCCCGTCATCTGTCGGTGCGACGCCGAACCGGTTTGCAGTGTTTACAACATCGTTAACGCCATCTCTCGCAGAAGGCGGTAAATTAAAAAATTTCCAACCAAAAAATTGCCTCGCAACATGACATGTGTACGGATTGTTTATACTGTTTGTAGGTTATCGCCGCAAACAAATTTCGAACTGCGAGCCATTTGTCGCGCGTAAAATCGCGAATTTCAGTACAGAGTTGTAAATAAAATTTGTCAACGATGAAGGAGACTCCTCTTACAAACTGCGAACGAAATTTTACAAATAAATGTATAGAGGAGGAAACGGTAAATACTCGTACTTTTCTTATAAATTTCTTCGACAATATTTCTATATTAAAAAAACAATTTGCATTGTGATTATTGTTATAATTTATTTGTTATTTAGAGATTTTGTAACGATTTTGAAGTTGCATGATACGCAATGGCAAAATTTATAATGAATCTACTATATTTCAGAGATTAGACGGTCGAAAATTATTGGAGCCACGTCCGGTGAAGATCTACTTTGGCTCCAGTTGGGGATGTTGTATGGTGTCTCTTGGACACACGAGGTAAATTTCATTTACACGACGTGTATACAGATTATTTTTAACAAATATATAAAACACTGAGACGAGAAGTCCCGTTGCAGAGCGGTAGCGCAAGTGTCGTGCGATATACAGCAGCCGAAAGCGTCTCGTCCCAACGAAGGTATGATACGCATAAACGTCGAGCTCACGCCGTTAGCGGCGCAACACTTCGAGAGCGGTAGACAGTCCGAGGCGGCTATACTGATCAGCAGGCAGCTGGAGAAATGTTTCAAGGATTCGAAGTGCGTGGACCTGGAGTCCCTCTGTATTGTAGCGGATAAGAAGGTTACTAGTATGCGCTTGACGTTGTCGAGTATTGTACGGTAACATTCATATTCACGTTGCGACTCATGCGTTCCTTCCATTCAGGTGTGGAATCTGAGGATCGACGTTAACATCATAAATCACGATGGCAATCTGGTGGATTGTGCCTCCATAGCGACACTCGCCGCTCTCATGCACTTCCACAGGCCGGACGTCACGTCCACCGGCGAGGAGGTCATCATACATCCGGCTTCCGAGAAAGATTTTCTGCCGTTGACGTTATTTCACTATCCGGTCTGCATATCTTTCATAACTTTCAAGAGGTGAGTCAGGGGGGTAGAAATTATTGATTTGCCTGTCGAATTTTTGGAAATAAGATGGGGAAAAGGTTCCTTGTTGCTTGAAAAAAATTCAATGATAAAATTTAACAGTTTCTATACGCGCGAATAATATGAAATCTGTAAATTTCACAGCGGCAACACTATAATGGATCCCACTTACACGGAAGAAAGGGTTGGTGTCGCTGAACTTACTCTCGGCGTGAACTCTTACAGAGAACTTTGCAGCCTGCACTTCGATTATTTAACGAAGACTCTGACGGTCGAAGACGTCATATCCGCTGTTTCTAGTCACGCGGCCAATTACGCGACGAAATTGGTGCAGCAGATCAAGGAGGCGGTGATCAAGGATGTGCAGTCACGGTACGATTTTACGTTGCTCTCGAAATATCCTTATTTATATTGTATATAATTTAATTTTTAAATAATGTTTATTAATGTAAAATGTACCGTAAATAATCTAAATTTTATATATTCATGGACAACCTCTTTATATCAAATGTATGTAGAGACAATGATTTTTTTTTAATCGCGTACGATTTAATCTGAAATGTTAATCAGAGAAACAACCCTAATTATTTCGAAAAATAAGAAAGAAAATTTAGAATTAATGTTCACATTCTGTAGGTACAAAAAAGATGACAGGGACGTATCTAGATTTAAAGAGAGCATTGAAGTGAATAAGCTTACAACAACACTCGGCGATCACATTAGTATTAAATTACGTAAATGGGTTGCAACTATAGCCGAAGGTATATATTTCATCCAGTTTTCTTTTTAATATGTACACATTAAGATTAATCTTATTACATTACAAATTGAAGTTCTAACTAAATATATTAACAATTAAAGATCAATTTAATTTTAATTATTTACAAATATAAAATACAATAAACAATGTAATTTTATAGACGATTCTATGGAAGTAGAGGATGAGAACAAGAGCCGTATCATAAAATACGAAGAAGGATCTGCCGAATTAATATCCGACGTAAGTACAAAGAGAGAATGTATTTAGTACTGCGGTAATTTCTTCACTGTCTTCGAGTTTTCTCAAATTGGTTAACTAATCGTAATTATTTAATATTCTTGCAGGAATCGTTATTTAAGAAAGAAGAAAATCTTAGTACATCTGACTCTGATTCGGACGAAGATATTTTTGTCAAATCGCCATCTCCATCGGACAGAAAAGAAGCAGACTTAGTAGACTTAGTGGACAGCGACTAAATTCATTAAAAAATATATCTCGAATTTGGAAGCTTAATTAAGATCAGCCTGATTTTTATTCCACGATCTCTGTACACTTCTCCAAAATCACGCACCAATTGCCCTGATCGTAGTACATCTGCCTGATCGAGGCCGATGGTATTTCTGTGCACAATTTCGCGAGCTCGCCCTCCCGAAACACGTGATAATACCTCAGGAAATGTTCGCCGCTCTTCTTCTTCCAGGGAACCAGCATGTCGCTGTGAGAGAAGTTCGTTCTGTTTTCGTGAATCGGTAACGTTAGATGATACTCGGAGATCCTCTGCAATTGAGTCTGGCGATTGACTCCGCTCTGGTTGACCGTCCCGGACTCCTTGCTCTTCTTGCCGTACCTCAGATATTGCGAGTCCGCGGAATCCTTGCGTTGCTCCATCGCCCACACGTAGATCAGGCATCTCCCCCCCGGTTTCAGCACTCGAACCATCTCGGAAATGGCGCGCCGTCTTCGCTCCCGCGTGGACAGATGATGAATAACGGCAATGCTGACCGCCGCGTCTACGGAATCGTCTCTGTACGGCAGGTACAGGCAGTCGCACTGAAGAACCTCGAAGCCACGCTTGCGGCATATGTCCATTAGCCCGGAGCTGCGATCGCATCCCAACTGTGATAAAGTCGGGATTAGTAACATCTCGGCTTTAAAAGGTTTATACCGTGATATTTTTAATTACATGTATATTATTTGAATATCTCCTATATGCTTTATATAAGTGGTAGAAAATACCTTATATACATTCCGATTTCCGCAAAGATATTTGCCATTCCCGCAACCCACGTCCAAGAGCAATGTGCCTTCTTGCAAATTTTCGAGGAATTTAGTCACATTGGGCCATCGTTTATGTCGCGTCTCGCTAAAGTGATTAGATATCTCCTCGTAAACCTGTGACAGCGCGATTTCGGTGATGATAAGAAACAAAACATTCAACACACGCGTGTAATCATTAATATACGCACCTTATGTACATACGAACTTTCTAATCCCGACGCCGCCTTGGCGTCGATAAAAGTATCGCGTTTCGCAGTATCACAGTAGTCCTTGAAGTCGCAGCGGCACTCGCCTCGTCGCACTTTCCTGAAGGTGAAGGACACCCTGGTACCACGTTCCCGCGTCGTAGTCCCGTTCTCCGTCTCGATTACATCACTGTGACGGGGACCGATGCCGTGCGTCCACGCGTACCTCGCTTCTCCAGTCATGATCAACAAAGATCTTGCTGGTAGGAGGACATCGATCTTCCGATCTTCCTTCTTGAAAATCATAACGCACGCGGATCCCAGTGACAGAGATAATATAGTGTCCTCGAAGACGCTATGCGTGTCGATGTGCGATGGTATACCTTGAGAATAACATCATTAAAAATATAATTACTATCTAATTTATTATTAATGCGTTGGTATCTAACTACGATCAAAATATGTTGAATTTATATAATTTACATAATTGTAAATATCAATATATAATTAAGAAACTAAAGTATGTAATCTCAACAAAACGTCATTTATCCAGATTTAAATTTTTTTAAAAATAATTATTAAAAAAAAACAAATTTTTTAACATTTTATAAAATTTTTAATATTTCTATAGAGATATGCATGCTGAGGCTACCTTGTCCAGACAGATACTTGTTGATGGTCAACTGATCGTAAGCGTATTTGTGACCGTGCTTGTCAAACAGAGCCTGCAGAAATTTGTAGTCCTGGGGAATCGGCGCGATTGGCTTGTTGGGATCCACTATATTCGTGCCATATTCAAACTCATATCCAAAATGTTTTACTTGTCTGTGTTTCAGTTGCGACGAGACGGATTCTGAAACGTTCATTTGAAAAAAAAAAAAAAAAACGTAAACACTCTTCTTTAAGTCGTCTCCTTGATTATATCACTGAATTATAATGCAAATCTATTTTACCACAATCATCCCAATCGAGCGCACCCAACAGAGTCCCCTCTTGCTCTTCCGTTATGAAATTCTCTATTAACGTAAGACCAGGGGGAAATGCAGAGTCGGACGCAACGCAATCCATAGTGGATACTAAAAGAAAGAATCACGTCGTTACACGAGCAATTCTAAATTACGACTGGCATTAGGTAGTTCTATTACAACAGTACACCTGCTTCGGTGTAGCATACATATAACGGGCCGTTCTGGCCCGGGAGCTTAATGCGTCCGTGAATGTAATTGTACACGCACGTTGCGTCCTCCCTCGAGTTGCACGTCACGAAACAGTACGACTTGCCCGCCGGCATTGTCAGCGTATACTTGGAGATCAGGGCGTCCAGCACGCACTGCAACGTCTCTCTCTTGATCCCGGTGACCAGACCACCGTTGCATATCATCAGGTGCTGAGAAAAAAAAAAAGTAAGAATATCAAGCTTAATCTTCGTTCAAAAAACAAAACTCCACATTTCATTTCCAATATATATCAGGCGTTTACCTGCGTAGGCTGCTCGGTACACTTGATGTTCATGTCTCGGAGCAATCTGTGATGGGCACGTCTCTGCTTGCGTACGCTCTTTCTGTCGTTCCTCTCCTCGATCGTTACACTCGTCTCGTCACTCAGATGCATAATTCTTAACGTTCAAATGCTTCAAGAATAAAGGGGTTCCGTCACAATCTTGCCGCTTCATCGGCTCCGTGAAAAAGGGGCAGTCGATTATTCTATTTATAAATAAAGATTATAAAGATTATTTATAAATAGAGTTATAAATAAATTATTGATAACTCTCTCTCTCTCTCTCTCTCTCTCTCTCTCTCTCTCTCTCTCTCTCTCTCTCTCTCTTGAATATTTTTTTCATTAATTTATCAGTTCTCCGTTCCCATATGCGGAATAACTTAATAAGCAGAAAAATAGCCTGAAAATGAAAATTTTTTTGTACGTACCATATCACTCTGTAATTATCTGTTTAGATAGTCTTTCTTTGGTTCAACATAACCTAGGAGGTAATCGTTCGAAACATAACCTATACGAATTGTAGCATGGAATACGTAAGCGAGAGAGAAAAAAAATAAACCCCGAAACGTGATTCCAATGTTCACAAATCCTACGAACTGCGGCCTGCCCCCTCCCAGCCCCGCAATCCAACCCCACAATCGAGTTCGACCTAACCTAACCCGACTCGCGAGTCTCGCGACGCTGGTGAAAAAATTGGATAAGTTTGCGAACGGCACACGACCGTTAACGAGTCCTTCGCTCGCTGAGCCTCGCTCCCCGGCGCACCGAGAAGCGAATAGACTGTGAAACTGACAAAAGCACGGCGCCATATTGCGTGCTTGGTGTTTGGTTAACATTTCGGGCGCGTGGTGAAGAAGAGTTTGTTAATCTTAATTAATAACGATGTCCGACAATCAGGTAAGGCCAGCCCCGATTCACGCGCGTAATCGGCGCACCCGGCGGGGGCCCCGCCGCGTCGCGTCGCGGCCGCGGCGGCCGCGGTCGCGGACCGGCGACAGATCCGAGAGGCATCCCCGCCGGGATGCCCCGCGCGCACCGCCGCATCCTCCGCCGTGAGTTTTGAACGTTAGCGTTTTCTAACCTTGCCGTGTGTGTTGCCTCTACTAGGAACAGAAACCCGAAGCCGGCCCGGGTGACGCAAACTCCGAGTACATCAAGCTGAAAGTCGTCGGAAACGTAAGCGTAATTGCATGCTCAAAAGAACGCCAATTACATGTCGCGTTACGCGCGCGCGCGCGCGCGCAAGAGGCACATGAGCTCCGCTTTTTTTTTTCTTCCAGGATAGCAACGAAATTCACTTTAGGGTAAAGATGACCACTCAGATGGGCAAGCTGAAGAAGTCCTATAGCGATCGCGTGGTAGGTCCCCCCCTCCCTCATTTATTATCTATCGCTTTTTATGCACGTCCTATCTCGTCCGGTCACGTGCCGCACGTGGAGTTTCGTAAAAGTTTAACGTAGTAAGGACGTGGACTAATAAAAACAAAAAGGACATCTTGTTTCGCACTTGATACTTGTTCACCAATGTTTACGAAAACATCTTCACGCCGTAAGTTGTAATGCCAGAGTCCGATCCCGAATCTCGAAGACTTGATGATCCTTATTTGATGATAGTATTCCTTTTTGCAATTTTCAAATGTTATATATGTTTGGAAAACTATTGTTACAGCTCGTAAATTTTGTTGCGAAATTTCATGTACTACAACGTAAAACGTTAAAACGTATTTTCTGACGTTCCTCCAAATACAGTATTATTCACACGATTCTAATTCTGTTTAGGGTGTACCTATGACATCGCTTAGGTTTCTCTTTGATGGTAAAAGAATCAACGACGATGAAACACCAAAGCAGGTAATTAATTTTTACGATTGGAATTGATTGACGAATACATTAAATTTTTCAAAGTAAAGATCTTAATTTCTCCATTCAGTTACAAGTCAATAATGCTTATGAATATATACTTTTGTTAAATAAGATGTTTCAAAAGATGGATTTAAAGTTAGTCAAAATGATACTAATTGTGAAACGTCAATTAGACGAATAATTAATTATATATATAATTTTGTATCGAAGGTATTAATTTTTAAGCAGTACATTGAAGATATTTTTAATAAGTCCTGCATTAATTTCAGCTGGAAATGGAAAATGATGATGTCATTGAAGTATATCAAGAGCAAACAGGTGGTCGTTAACTAAGCTAGGAAGAGGAGGATCATTTCGTTCTAATATTTTATAAAGTGAAAGTGAAACTATTGTAAACAAAAAAAGGACAAATTTCTAAGTATGCATATACACATATACACATATACACTCACACATACATAAACATACAACACATATACAAACGTTACACATACATATATGATTAAATAAGAGGCAATTTCTTGATTTCACGTACGATATTGTAAAATGTGTTGTCTTACATTCCTGTACCGAGGCGAATCGTCATCCGAGGAGATTAGACAACAAATCCCCGGATCGGATTTTGTAAAACACGTGTGCGGGCAGTCGCATCTCAATATTGCATACTGTGTATCCGTTTTCGTGTGTCGTCAGGGCAATTCTCAGAAATAGATTAATTGATTTGTGCGCCATTATAAATGCGTTTCACATTCGCTAGCTCCTTGCCCATTCAAACTTGTCCCCTGGAAATCTCATGTTTTTTTTTTACTTTTCCTTTTTCTCTTCGCCTTTCTATATTCGAATACAGGAAAACGATGTGTATATGATATGACAAAATCGTTATGTTTAAGGTAATAGTAATAGTAAAACTTCCTTCGAATAGAAATTTACACCGCGCTTAAAACCTCGGGAGCATTTAGAATTGGCATAATTCATCATTTTATTCTCTTAGAGTTACGCTAATACTTAAATTCTACTAATCTTAGTACGTGCACTTTTCATATAAATATAATCATAAATACTTTTCATATAAAACTAATCATAAATACAAATGCTCCCCAGAGAAATTCATCTTCTGACAGTTTTTCCCGCAACCGAAATGTTACTCATCTTTGCAATGAAATACCAAATTTGTATGTATAAACGTATGATATAAAAACCATGTATCTGAAATTTATAAAATAAATAGCGAGAAAAAATTGTGTAATAATTTTAAAAAAATTAAAATATAGAACACAAAAATGGCCATCTCTTTCTCTCTGTCTCTCTATGAGATCAATGCATGCTATTGTTGATATTTTTCTTCCACATTAAAAATGTCCAGGAAGTAAATATATATATAGAAACACATTCTGGATAGAATCGCTTTTATTTATACACTGATCATATTCGACAGTTATATAATTCATTAGCTTTCGGGTTTTTTTTTCTTTTAAATCGTATATATTTTATCATAGACTCTTACATTATAAGCACAATCCTAAAAATAATCATAGTTATATACAAATCATTTTATTTTCGAGCATTGACTAATAATGCAATATGTTGCGAGCTATGTTATTATTACATATGTACAGTACGAAAATGCGGGAGAAATTTTCTCTACAAGAAAGAAATTTCATTTCGCAAACATGTTCAAAATAGTAATGTCTCTGCCTGTAATATGGTAAAAAATTCGGAGCTATATCATGAAGTCTAGACGTATATACAGAATAATCCACAATTTGCGATCTCGAATTTAACGATAAATTTTTCTAATTTTTAATTGGTGTTTTTAGTTTATAATATACAACAGTTTTTCGTAGTTTTCGCAAAATTAAATTCATAAATGTAAAAAAGTCAATTCTCAAAAATTATCAATTCCCAAATTATTAAAATTTTAAAAATAAAAAAATGAAGTACAAATATGTTTTATATATTTAATATTGAAGCTAACTGAAAAATTTTTATATATTTATACAGTTTAATTCTATTTAGAATTTAATTTCTATTTTCAATTCATCGTATCCATTTAGCGTCTCGAATATTTAATCCACCAAAGCTAAAGATACTATTGTTCATTAAAAATTAACTCGAAATTCATCAGAAGTTCTCCGTCATTAAAATTAAAGGCGCGCAAGAGTGGAATACTGTATATATACTATTGTTCTCCAAAAATATCCGATATACAAATTGCTCCTTCGCACCAAGCGATGCCGCAAATCAACCATTTGCATTCAACTATATACGCAATTTATATAATAAAAACAAGAGATCATCATTCATAGATGACGCTATAAATGTCCAAATTGAAAATCGATATATATGTTCGATTTCCCCGATGCTATAGATTATAAATTATATAAGTAAATATTTTTACGTCTATATGTAATAAATTTAACAACACTTTTAAGTAATAAACTTGGATAACATTTTTATACAATATTAAAAATTTAATTAAGAATTTTAATATGTCCTATAATTTAATAATTAATAACAAATTTATACTTGTATTTATATTTTTCACTAATTTATATTAATTATAAACGAATTTAATAATTAATTTCATTAAAATGTATCAAAGTTTGAACAGAATGTTAGGTCTTTGCCTATAAATGGAAAATTATGTGGTACATGATTACATATTTATAATCATTAATATAATCCGTGGAAATAACATGTCTATAATATATATATATAGATATTAATAAACATGATTATTATATATTTTACATGTCTATGGCATCGGATAATCCAGACTCGTAATACTCTACGTAGTTCCGTATAGTCCTACGTAGTATGATTTTTTAAGAACCATTTTTCTAATTTTGCAATGGATCAGTTTTGCACTGTGTGCATTCTGAAACGAGAAGCTATTAATTTATCTGTCATGTCATGATTGCTGTCATGTCCTGATCGACATTAATGCTCTTGACGCATCTTTTGTTTTCAACTTCGCCGTTTTTTTTTGAAAGAATTAAAAATTTACGTTTGTAAATATTCTGCGAAGTATCTAGCAAAACAAAAAAAAACAAATCTTGAAATTATTTGCTTTCAAAATAAATGGTTTTTTTCCGCTCGAAGCAATACACAAGTTTTCTCTCACCTGTCTTTCCGATTATTATTATCGTCCTTTCCTAGAAGATACAAACACTACATACTAGATAAGTACTCCTTTTTTGTTATTACGATGTAATTTTTATGCTTATAAGCATATATTATATATGTTATGTTATGTATATATACAAGATATCTCTCGTTTCAATTTTTCCCTACAACGATCTCCGAGATCGTGGCTATTGTACAAAAGATCTAGGATCAAAATTACTCAATTTTTTTTTCCGTGTAAGCGGAACAATTTGAAAGAAAAATGTGTAACTTCGATCTGAAATATTCCTTCTTCCAACGACCATTAATTTTGGAGACAATTATACGGAAAAGTTAAAATGACGGCTCTGTGTATATACTTAAATAAAATGTACAGGTTTTCAATTTGAGAGCATACACAATTTCTACAGAATCTAGTACATATTACCCAAGTCGTTTACGCGTCAGCTATATAAAAAAAAATCTATCCTCTCCAAACGAGCGTTCTTTTTCTTAATACTTTCATTCATCTTTTTTTTTTTAATATCTACTACTTACTCGCGATTGCATAATAAATATATAATATCCGTTAAGGACGATCTATCTCCCTTAGTCTCTAAAGCGCGCGGACATTACTGCGAAAGGGCGAGGCATTTTGTGTGTGTGTGTGGGATGGGGAGGGATAAATTGTGGGAGTTGCGGGAGTGAGATAGAGAGAGAAAGAGAGGCAGGGAGGGAGTCTTTTGCAATTAGGAGCGACGAGCGACATGAGACAACATCGTGATGGGTCACAGAGCGTCGCGATGCCATACCCATGTTTTCTTCGTATGGTCGAATCTGTGTGCCAGCCATTGCTGCTCCAGAAGCTGATACCTATCCTGGCTGAGGTATAGGGGCTTGCCGCGTCTACAAGATTATTTGTAATAGTGAACAACAGAACATTAAATAATAGTATCAAATTTGAAGAAGTTATTATTTCTTCTTTAAAAAATTAACTTGTAATTCGTCGTAAAAGAAATTTTAATTTTAATAAAGTTTGAATTAAAATGTATCTTCGTTTTTTAACACGAAGATTAAAATGGTAAACGCTTAATTGTATTACTGTTCCATATATCTCGCAATAAATCGTACTCACTTTAGATCCCTATCTTCTTCCTCAAAGTCGTCGAGATACAGAGATCCCCATAAACACGCTCGCCGACCGCGTATCACGATAATATAAGTCGAGGTCACTACGAGGTAGATGCCAGTCCCGCCCCCACAGTCGATCGAATGCTGAATGTACAAAAATACGAAAAAAAAAAAAAAATGTTAACAAGTCCAATATACGCGGAAGATACCCCACATTTTCTCATGCGTATGTAAATTGTGCTCACCTGAATAGCTTCGCACACGTTCATCTGTTTACAACAGTTTTGTTTGAGGCAGACAATAGTGCCGCACAACAAACAGATGCTGATCTCCTGCGGTACAGATTCACACGTACTGCACTGCCGTTCGTGGTAATACTGGAAAAAAAATTAATAATTAATGTATATACTTACGAGGGGGATAAGAAAATATGTGAGTAAAAATAATACGAATAATACGCAACGGTACAAAACACATAATACATACGAAAACATTCTGATTTATAGAATGCAGATATTAAATGTATTAAAAAATAAATTAATATAAAATTATTGATAAATTGAAAGATAAGAATAAAAAAAAATTATTGGGCCATGTCTTATACTTTATCATCTATAACTATTTTCCTTTCCATTTTTTTTTATTGCTCGACTTAATGATCTTTAAACGCAACAACCGTGACGCATTCTAATTGCTAGATCTTACCGTGAAGATCTTCTCGTACTCCCTTGGAAGACTAAGTAGTTTCGGCATATGCCACGATATGTGCTGCTTCATTATCAGGTTCCGGACCGACTGGTGGCCTCCCGAGAGCTCACCGGTATTGGCGAGAAACGCGATCAACTGATCGCACCAGAAGAGAGGCACCGAGACGCTCGCCTCCGGCTCCTGCCAGTTTAGCGCTACCGTTGAGTCGAAGCTGTCCCAGCTCATGCCTTCCGTGACTAGCTCCAGATAATACACCAGTCTGACAAACTCGCTCTGCTGCGTTCTGATCACTGGCAGCGGCTGTTCGTACAGATGATAACGCAACAATGCGGCCACTCGCAGAAAGGGCAAGCACAATGTCTGGATCTGGACCGATCAAATAGAAATAATGTACTAATAATAAAAACACTGTTATATTCTGTTAAAAAACCAAATTAGGCCGAAATTTAAGAGTTTTTAATATAATAAAATTCCTTATTAAAATAATAATCAATTTGCGTTTACGTCAAGCGATACGGATATTTTATCTTTTTCCAAGATACGTTATTATCACTTAAACATTGTACAGGCATATATGGCGCGATAAATTACTTCGTAAAAAATTAATTTTAGAAGCACACGTCTAGATGTATTCTATTTATAAAACGTACTTGTTGCTCGATGTAATGCGACTTCACCCTGACGTAAGTGGGAGAGGTCGAAGTGGACGGCTTGTCGTCGTCCGTGCCGGAATAGAGTCCGCTCTCGCTGAAATACTCAATGATTTCGGCCAGTATGGTCGAGGGCGTGGTGGCGCAGCTGCATTTCTTCTTTAGAATCGTGTTCCGCTCTGTTCGCGACGAGTTACAGCTTATCTGTAGTATTACTTGATAGTACAGCAAGTTGTAGAGGACCTTTACCACGCCGGAAAAGTACGCTGTGGAGAAAGGGAAATTATTGGTTCGCTTGTTACTCGTGTTACAATCAAATATGCGTCTCATTGTCAGTTAAGGCCCGTCTACATAAGTCGCAAAACGCAAAACACAATTCGCAAATGCAGAAAAAAAAAAAAAGAAAATGTCAAAAAAATGTCATCTTGCGTCCGCGTTTGCGAATTGCGTTTTGCGACTTATTGCGCCACATAATTTATTTTGACGTTAAAGTCAACGAAACAAAATAAAAATCTTTGCAACGTGCGTACTTTGGTCCAAGTGCAACGGCAACAGCAGTATGAATTGAATGAGCATGGCGGTCGGGTCTCGCAGAAGCAAAGGAACCTGTCGCTCGCGTGTCGCCAAGGCGAGCGTGGACGCCGATTCTTCAATCAGCGATATGCCGGACAGCTGTTGCCATACGTGGTGCACTGGCCACGTGGTCAGTACCCGAGCGTGCATCGCCAATACGTGAAGAAGCGCGACTGAAAGAAGAGAACACATATTTCTTTTTATCTCCATATCTACAGATTAATATTACAAACATACTGTTACGTACTGCGTACAATAAACAAATAACAATAAAAAAAAGAAGGTAAAGGAGCCGATATCGATTAAACATACCTATGCAATCGCGTTTAGGCGTCAGGGGTGTCGCCGTAGGTGGTGGAACGCACAACGAACCGCCGCGTTGTACAAGTTCAATCTCAAAATTAGTTCGAGCTACCGAAGTTACAAAAAGGAACAAGCTTTCGTGACTAGGTTTACAGTCCTTTTGCTTATACTTTAGATACGTGCAACTCGTCATATCTTCCATGGCCTTTCCCATCGCCACAGCCAGATTCGAGGAGACCTGGAAACGACAGATAAATTCATCAAATTAGCTATAATTTTCAAACGCTAATAAAAACTAACGTTACATGTAAAAACAATAAATACTGAAATAAATAATTTGAAACTGTAGTAAATAAATAAAAAATTGCTAAAAAGAAAGACGGGAGAAGTTACTACTGCTACACGTACAGGATTTCGTTGTATCTCCTTGAGAAAAGTGTTCAGATCCGCATAAATGGTCTCTGTGGAAGCGTGACGAGATCGCACCACCGCCGAGCATTCGCCCAATTGCGGTGACAGCGGCAGAACAGAGTTGGCTAATTGCCGGCACAGCGGACACAGATACTCGCCCCGTTCCACCGCTAGACTCTGCTGCCGTTGCTGACTACGAAGGGACTCGAGATAGGATTTCAAACAGTCCAGATGCAAATGATGACCACATGTTTGCACATGGACACCACCGTCCCAGCCGAGATTAATCGAGAGCAGCCAAGAAAACTGCAAAATAAAAATGTATAATATTATTCAATGTTAAGACATCGTATGCCTATTTTTTCATCTGTACGTGAAAAACACGTACCATGGGGATAATAAAAAAAAAAGGAAAAATCAAAGAAAATATGTACAGCCGTGGACAGATCGGTTGCGACACTTTTTTTTTATAGGTTTCTAATATATATTTAATATACATAATATATACATAATATATACATAATATACATAATATATTTTATAGATAACTAATATTTTGCAAATGCAAACCACGATGTACTATCTTTAGTCTAGAGACAGTACAACACCAATCGTGGTCCGGATTTGCAAAATATTAGTGCGTTTTGAAACCTATAAAAAAGAAAATGTCGCAACCGATGTATCCATGACTGTAGAAAGAACACAGCAAAAACATATATTTGCATATATTCGCTTACCGTGTCGAATAATTCAGCCATTTCCTCCAGTTTGCGGTCAAAATGGGCGCCTCGAGTATCTTCCTCGGGTATAGGTGGATCATCGTCGGACGTGGGAAGAGCTAGCCTCTCCGATTGTTGTCGTTCGAGGCCAATAACGCTAGTTGCCTGTACCGGGAGAGCGCGAATATATAGGTATATGTATATAAAACATGCAAAAAAAGTTTTTCATGCGGTAAAAGATAAAATTCATTACTTGAACTAATACAACGAGTCCCATCGGTTTGTCTTCACTGCTGGGAGTGGTTTGATTACATATCACACAGTGGTACTCCTTTTTACTAGTCATTTTAGTCTCATTCTCCTCCTGATCCCACTCCATCCTAGATGCACCTGCTTCCTCTGTAATAACAATAAAAAAATGCATCACATATAACTGATTGATAAGTGATCACAGATTTCTGTTCGCACTTCTGTTGTAAAGTAAAATATTACAAACTGAAATGCTACAGCTTTTATAAATAATTGTAATAATATTTATATATACGTACGCAAAACAGATAATTTACCGGTTTTCATCGCTTTCTCCATAAACTGCTTCTGCTTGTTAGCAAACTCCGCCATCAGTTTTTGCTGTCTCTCCTTCGCTCTCTTTCGTCGTTCCTCCCGCTCGCGGTTCTCCTTTTCGCGCTGCTCGTCTTCCTCGCACTCCTGCATACGGGGCCACAATTTGTTCCTAGTCTCGATGATCGTCTGTTTGCACATAGGATCTAAATCTGCTATTTTCCTAAGTAGCTGCGATATGAAGAATGGCCCATCGCCGATTCGTGATTCACTGGGCAATGATGATGTGGAAGAGCCACTGCTACTGCTGCTGCTGCTGCAGCAGCTACTGGCTTCGTTGTCCATTGCATTTTGTTCGGGATTGTAGCTGTCTGGTGCGCCCGATAGTTGCGAATGCAGCTTTAACAGCAAGGAGATTATACTCTCTCCCACTTTTACGGATTGCGGTTGCATTGGTCCACCCTGGAAGATATACGAATATTTCATAACAATAAGCTAAACCGAGCTGCAAATATATTAAGATGTACACAATGAGAAATGCGAAGAATGTAAAATACTGTGTGTTAGAAGTAGCGTATATATATATTACTTGTGGCTCTCTCCTCTTAAAATGTTTGTGAGGATTCGACGTGGATGGAACGATTTCTGTAGCCCTATAGTTAACTGGTTGTGCTGGAACTATTTCATTTCCGGCCATAACCGCCGGGCGTTGCGGAGCAGGTGGTAATGCTGGCTGGTCGTCGACTACATCTAATTATTATTGAGAACAAAATTAAATAAATTAGAATACGCATACACATAACATTTGATATACATCTAAATTTAACAGAATAAAGTATAGAAATAAAAATTTCAAAGAAATAAAAATAAAAATTGATATCGAGAAGGTATTTCAATGAGTATGACTCTTTTCAAAAACCACCTTCGTTAAATCAGTAATAAAAACTCAGTGATAGAAAAATTATGAGTTGGAAATTTAAAAAAACGTACTATTTGGTGAAGGAGGCGTTTCGATAGCTAGAGCCATGGATTCTTCCCCGGATGGTGGTAGAGCTCTTTGCAAAGGTATCGTTAAGTCATCCTCACTGTTACTACGAGCTATGGCGACGATTCCGTCTTCAGGTACAATTGCCACATCATATTCTACTGTAATGTTACAGAATATAACATTATTATATTTCGTATAAATTATTTGTAAGAAAAATGAGCAACGTTAAAAAATAATTTTAAAAAAATGTATGAATGATTTAAAAAATATATATGTACATATTACCAACGTTGCAATATATACAATCTACATAAAAATTTTGCTAACCGCTTGTTGATGGTAATGCTGGCACCAGAGATGTAGCATTCTCGACTGACGGTAGTAAAGGCAGCGATGTATTAACATTCGACACACCGCTGTCATCTCTAACGGTGTCTACAGAAAATCCCAACAGTTCGAAGGAGACTTCCTCTGCGCCGTCATCCGCACCGTCATTTAACATCAAGGATGTCGCCACCTCGTTCATCTCTCCTTGGATCATCTCCCACTCGAATTCGCCTAAGCATTATTAAGTACATTATCAAACGTGTTAAATGCATACTAAATATATTAGCTAAATATATTAGCACTTATTACTAAATATATTAGCACACTAAATTAGCGTCACTAAATTATTATTATGTATCGATTTTGTCATTTCATATTATTACATTGTGTTATATTTTGCTTTCGTGTTATCAGAATTTTCAAATTAAATCAAGCAATTATATTAAAAAAAAAATCAGACAATAGAAATTCGACGAATAACGTATTATACTCACTGTCTGGGCTGCTAGGCTCTGACTCTTGGACTAGAATCACTCGAGGTATCACTGTCCTCAGATTTTCGGACAAGCTATCGCTTTCGTACCATCCAGACAAATCCATGTCCTTTATCATACGAGAGGTGCCACCGGTGTATTGACATAAAGGGCTCACCTGAAAATGATTACATTACTATGTAAAATAGTGGAATAAAATAGATTTAAGAAACTGTAAAAGAACTACAATCAAAACAAACAAGATAAAATGCGCCACCAAAATAAATACGCCGTCATAAATCATTTACTTTCTTATTTACTATGCTAAAGTAACAAGTTACATATGAGAAAAAGAATAAACTGATCAAGGCAATTTAACGAGAAAATTTAAATCAATGATTTTGTCAAAAAGAATTACTTACGGATTTATCCGGCGGTTCCGCAGTAATAACCGCCATCTCTAGGAGATAAATAGTCAGTGCCATAACATGCTCCGATATGTTATGCCCGTTCACAGCCTTATAGAGTATTATCAGGATCATAGTATGAAAAACTCTGGAACGTAGGACTATACGAGGGTCATCGTAGTCCGACGAGACCGGAGCCGGTTGCCTAAATGGCGGCCAGAGAGTTGCACTGTTCTTTAGCTTGCCCGATTGCTTCACGCTGCAATAGAAAAATAATATAATATTTGTGAAAAATGAAACGCTTCAATATAGATGTATTTTTACCGATAAATCTGATACGTACTATTCTGTGAAACGATCCATAGACACTTGAAAGTCTCTTCTATGGACTGCTCTCAGCAATACGTGTAAAGGATCAAACAACTCGTCCCACACGCGAGCCTTTGGTCCGTACATACCCTGTTGCATATTGCCACTTGCCTCGAGATTCGGGGCCCTGTATTGCGCTACCTACAAACATATTATGTCATTAAGTAAAAGAGAAGCACATTTAAAATTTATTTATATATGGGTACATATATTTAAAATTTATTTATATATGAGTACATATATTTAATACAAAGAGAGAGAGAGAGAGAGAGAGAGAGAGAGAGAGAAAATTGTATATAATTGTAATTAAGAAGTTATTAAGTAAAATTTATATAAAAATAAAAATTAGAAGTCAAAATAATTTTTTCAGATATACGTGAACGTACATCAGCCAGAACAGATTCAAAGTCCCTGTTCTGAGTAGTTCCACAGCGTTCCGGCATTAGTTCCATCAATTGGCTATGCGTCTTATCACCCATACACAATAATGTCACCATTTCAAGACGAGACATTTCAGGATCTGATAAACCTGTGCAAGAAAAACATAAACATCTTAATGGATGTACGATATGGATTATATGCTTGCTTTAATAATTCTTTCTCAGATTATAAAATTTATTGTTACGAAAAAAAGGTAAGAGATTTCTAAAATTGCATTAGAATCGACTCACCGAGATTTGTTCTGACGTTAACTAATGTAGCCAAAAATGTCAGGCAACTTTCCAACATCGGGGTATCATACTCGCCCTCGAGATATTCATTTTGTGGAGCATGATACAGGCACAAACTCATCCATTCTCTCACGTGAAATCTGTAATTTTTTTTTTTAATTAGAACGTTTGCTTATTAATTCGATGTAAAGAGAAAATAAAACGAGGTAGAGGATATTACTTTTCGATGACGGTTTTCAGAAAGACATCCGGCATTAGCTTCGTGGCGCAGATTTGCAGCAAGTACAGATCGGCGTCCACCATGGAATTGCAGAAATTGCACTGTATGTAGGTCATTGCTTGGCCCTTTATTTGCAATCCATTGCGGACCCACAATCCATTCAAAATCTCATAGAAGGCCACCTGAAATCGAAAGAAAAAGTTATTTATTATATTACATAAACGTGATCAACGAATGATAAAATATTATCTTGCACTGAATTCTGTAATTATTTAAAATTAAAAAAAAATAATTAAAAATTAATAAAAGTTGTAAGATAGGAAAACGCCAACGCGGTCAAAGTGGATCTTGGTGCTCGATAATATTCTAATGTGAATGTTACAATTTTCGGTTCAAAAATAAAATTTTATTGTTATAACTATAGTGTGACTTGTAGCGACTGTAACACTGCGATTATTATAAACATCCTCATAAAACTGTCGTGCAAAATATCTAGTTGGCCTTCATTCATCTCTGATGCATCATCATTTAAATTGAGCTCGCGGAACACATTTTTTCGATGAAAGATATAAATTTAATCTTTTCATATCTCGGGTAACATACAGCATTTAAGCCAACCGCACACAAACTTACATAACAGTAGCGTGTCTCATTCTTATGTAAACATTTGAAATAAATTTTCAAACTCGTTTCATAGTAGACCGACTAACTTGTGTTTGACAAAGTAACTCGTAAATCACGCTGACAATTCTTTCCTTCTGATCTCTTTTATATCTGTTATCAATATCATTGAATTAATTTTTAACAGTACATTGGATGTTATGATCAAAGTTCCTGCGTTATTTGAATTTAAATATTTGCACGTGCAACCTCTTGTTTTCTTCTTGGCACGACTGCACTTCTTATACATTCCATTCTTCCTACTCTTCTTGCGTGAATAGTACGTGAATAGTGAAGATACTTTTTCATGCTTATATTCATTTTTAGAGTCAAAGCAGATCACATGATCAAAATTGACACACGATATTCAATTTTGATCACGTAATCTGTTGAAATGGTACTTCTCGAGACAGGCAACCAAATTCGCTAAAAAATAAAAAAAGGTTCATTCTTCGTACTTTTCGCGTACTTCTCGTCCCTCCTGTCTCTCCCGCCGATAGTTCGTAGTGTAAATGCGAACAAAGGCTACATGTGTATTCGCACCGCGTTGAAAAGAGGCGCAAGCTGAAACCGAACAGACCAGCTCCATTCATATCTCGTGGCCGCGGGTGCAATACCCCCTACCAATCCCCTACCGTCCACTTCGTCCGTTGTCGTCCTCGGCCCATAACGGCTCGTCCCGAACCGAGTGAACGGCAGGCAGTCGTAGTTACTAGTCTCGGCGTGTTAACGTCGCAGACGGCCAGTGGCGTGTGTGCGGCACGCGTGATTTTTCCTTCCGACATCTTGATCTTCGTCGCTCCTCGAGCTCGCGCTCCTTCGAAATGGCCAGGTACCGTCGGGGGATGGCCCTGCTCCTGGTCGTCCTCGCGAGCGCCTCCTTCGGCTGCGTCTCCAGCGTCAGCCTGAATGACGCGATCGATCTGATCAGGCTGGGTCGCCAGACCGCGATGGAGCTGCTGGAATCCTGGGAGATGATCGCTCCGCGTCTTCCCTCCGACAAGATCAAGTCCGGCGAAGATCTCGTGCTGATGAAGGCGATAGAGCGCGAGCTGCTCAGGCGGATGGACCAGATCTCCAGAAATATCGACGAATACCAGGAGCGCACGGAGAACAAAGTCGACACGATCCTGTCGCAGCTGCTGTTGCAACTTCCTATGCAACGCAGACTCGACGACGCCCTGAGGGAGCTGGATCATTACATCGGCCAAGTGGACGGGCTGTACAGATCCTTCGAGATGTACGCGAACAATTCGGACAAGTTCGAGAAGTTCACGATATTGCGGTTCGCCAAGACCTGCGTGTCGCCGAGATTGGGGGAGCTGCCGGACGTTCTCAAGTCGATACACAGGCTCGTGGTGCCGTCCGAGCAACAGGTGTACAACAGGAGCATCCTCGTGCTCCTGGCTGATCAAATGAAGGTGGGTATTTGGCGCCCGAGAACGGTTTCTAAGAACGTGATTGAAGAAACGAATGGATGGTCTAGGCTGATATTAGACAGCTTGGATGAGAACAAATTGTTTCTAATGAAGGATCTTTCCCTTCAACGTATGGCGTTAATCTGTTGATTCAAGGCATTCTTTTGTCTCACGCGAGAGAGAATGTCATTGATGTGGATTAAAAATGATACGTCTTTTAAAAAGAAATTATCTTCTTTAAAGAGTAGCTCCGATTTTGCATGAATATTTTTCAAAAGTATTTTATCTTTAATATTAACACTACAATGATCTAAATAAATATCTACACACGTGACTTAAAAGTAACTGTGTTTCCTGGAAAGAATTAACGTGATTCACTCGTTTGCTTTGTTTCATTCTTCGAGGGACGACTACATTTTTTTGTCGCTGTTTAATATTTCATTTCTACGAATTTGTGAAAATTTAAAGTATTTCAGCACATAAACGATCAGAAGTAAAATATGTATCGAACGGATTCAAACTTTTCCCGAAAGCAAATTGATTTAACAAGATGTTATGCGTTTACATATTTCCAAACGATCGTTTATGGCGCTGCAGCCAAGCCTGAATACCTTGAGATACAAGGAAAAAATATTCTCTCAACTGTGTGTAAAATGTGCATATTAATAAACAAATAAATACTGTTTCTCGGTTACTAGAAGTATCGCAGATATACGTATGAATCATTCTAAATAAGTAAAAAATGTCTTCCGCTTCATCATGCGTGTTGCTACATCTATCACATTACACACTATTATTTCATTAATATATTTATTAATTATTTATTGTTGAATTTGTTATATAAATTTAACAATAAATAATTAATCTCCTAATTTCTTTGGAATTGGCTTTATACTCTACATTGTTTGCAGAGTTTATATTTTTTACATATATTTTTATTATTTATTGTACAATTTATTTAATAATAAATAATAAAAATTTAGAATTTATTTTATTATTACGTTCATTGTATAGTGCTTTCTTTTATCTTTATTGCTTATTTTATTATTGTTTATGCAGCGATAAAGGGTGATATGACAATCATTTATGCTTTAGGCATGTGTGTGAATAATAATATGCTCACGCTCGCAGAGTGTCTATAAAGAACAGCAGGATAACACGACAAACAGGAAGGACTCTCATCTGTCTGCGTGATCTTGCGCCGGTTTAGAGTAGTCACGTCATACAGCTGTAATATAGAAATTAGTCACGAGTGCACGAGCCGCCCTTTCTCCTCACCGCGGCGGTAAAACCGCGCGGAATTTTAGATTTCAGACGACAAAGCGTAGAAAGTGTAAAGCGCACGTGATACGCTGTAATCGACGCCCCGGGGATCCCGTGTTGAACGAGTCGTGGTCCGATAACATAATTGTAACGAGAACCCCGCTGTATCAATTAAGCGCGGGTAGTGGGTATTAGGTACTGAGAAGCGGTATCGCACTATGGATCAAGTGACCGCTGCGCCGGCCGCCTCCGCTGCGGCTTTTTACTTCGCTACGTTTATTATCCGCGGAAAGAAAAGGGAAATCTGCGTCGACGGAAATTCGTCATTTACTCGATACTCGCCGGATACGCGCCGTGGCAAATGACACGAATCAGCGAAACGGCGCCGAGTCACCTGATTGAAGCTTTCGCGCATTAATTGATGCGCCAGAAACGTAACGAATTGCAATTTAGCACTCATTTCCAAATCGTCGTTCGTACGTCGGACACGCTAGATTCGTCTCGCAACAGAAGAGGGAAGATTACAGATATGAGCTCAACCGTGATTTTATATTAAAGCTCTCGCGTGGCTCTTTGTAATTTTCATTTTTGGAAATAGCGGACTCGATATACGGCTTGATGCACGTTCTCCAGACTAGAATTAAGGTTCCCTGAAACGCGAAGACATTGAGTAACAAACGATTGGATGTAAACAGCTTCCTGCAAGCTGAGCTTCATGAATGAACAATCAAACAGAACTGTCTCCATTCATGATGGGAATATAATACGAGTTTTAATCGCAAAGATATACGTATAGAAAAGTTGAGGCGATAAGTCAAAAGACAATCTTTCTATATGCAATTAACTTTTCTACACAGAGAGGATTTTATTTTTAAATTTATCCTGAAAATCATGTTAATCGTGCCACAACACAGTATTTCGACGAATTTTATATAATTTTTATTATTTTATTTTTTTAATATACTACACCAAATTTATTAATTTATTAGCACAGTAAAAAAAAACAAAGAAAATTACATAAAATTTGTCAAAATACTATGTTGTCCTACGATTAATATGATTTTCAGGGTAAATTTTAAAAGGAAATTCTCTCCGTGTATGAATTTATACCTAATTGTTTTCATATAATCTATAAAAGTGCCTCTTCATCTATTTTGATATTTTCCTATTTAAATTCTCCATGCAACTATCACAAGAGTGATTTCCGTGCGAGTGTGTCTCGCATCTGCCACATCTCCTCTTCGCCAAGTGCAAATGTACCGGGTGATATGAGAGACGAGAGCAGGGCGTATGGAACACATGCGCATGGAGATACACAACAGTGAGTCTGGTGGATAACGTGGGGGACTCGTGGAGGCCAGAGGTGGGCAAGATACGTTGTGGCGCATAATGTGAAACCCAGTCGAGCGCGGTCGGCCACACGGTAGCGTTGCTCTTACTCACTCGGTTCCGAAACAGTAATATATAATACGGCGGGGGGGAGGACTTGTTACCCGCATTCCGGGTGGGATACGCGAGCTACGTGCAACTGTGTCACACGGAAGAAAGGTGCTTCGTTGGCGAATTTTACCAAGTGAAATTTCTTCATCCCTCTCTTTCGCGGCGAAAATTGAAAAACGCCGAGCGTTAAAGAAAAGGAATTAGAATGGAAAATTGAATGTGAACGCGCGCTCTAAATGCGGTCGCTTTAACGCGTATGTTATCAAGGGATTATCGTGTGAACTTTAAGAAACGCTTGAGAAATATCTAAAAAATATTTGAAATACCGAAGAAGTCTCTAATGATGTTTTTGTTTTTTATGGGTTTTATTTTGGTTTTTATCTTTTGAAGCTGAGTTTTGGAATTTATTTTTGATTAGATAGATGTTAAAAGCAGCTGAAAGTTTTTCAGATTGTTGTATTTTTCAGAATTCTTGTTGTCTGGTACTTTTTTACTAATTTCCAATCTGGCTTAGTAATCTTAAACATAATTTCCTCAATAAATACAATAAATACCATAATATTATATTTGTTATTATATAAGTTTGGTCTCCTCAACTTTACGAAGCATTTTAATCTTCAATTCTCAATTCGCATTAATTCGCAATAGTTTTCAATTTCCAGAATTAGATTAATACTAAATGTAGATTAGTGCTATTTACTCGCGATCATTGTCCGATAATACAAGCCTCGCGGCTTCCTGAAACTTAGAAGTGAGCGGAAGCTTTGAAGGACGAAGAGAGACGGAAAAAGAGCTTTGCGTTACTGCTCGTGAAATATTCCACGACGCTGTTGTGGCTAACAGGAGTGGTTATTTAACCGTTTGTGGGAGAAAAACAGCGTCACCGAGTAGCTCGTAGCCGCTCTAGATCATGTATTAACACGTCATTAACAGCCTCCGCCGCCTCCCTCCTCTCTTGTGTCACGACCCCCCCCATGATTGTATACATCTTCCCGTTCCATTGATGATGAGCTCGTTGACGCGAAAAGGTCGTTCGATTTTATCTCTCGCGGATGTCGTCGAGAATTAAAAATACAGATAATAATAACACATACACCGATAAATGATAAAAATTAGTAGATAATAACGAAATAAATAAATTCACGCATTAATAATAGCAGTAACAAAAAAAAAGTTTACAGTGCGATTGCATCGTTACCATTTTCGTCTTTTTTCGATTTTTTCGTCTTCGTGTCTTCAGGCCAAGAAACTTGCAGCGAGAAGATAAAGAAAAAGAAGAACTCTGAAGAAATTCTGCTGAGCGGACTGTAAGCAAAGTGAGTGACTCATCCGGCGAAGGTTCGACTACAAGAATGAGATACTTCACATGCTCGCTGGCACTGGGAGTGCTGGCTATGGCAACCCTCGCCGCGATCAAGAATGACGCGTCGTCGATCGACAAGGTCAGAGAGGCTTTGCTACACCTGGAGACGGATCTCCGAAAAGATCTGGCGAACGAACAGAAATGGGCGCACGTCGAGGATCGCGAGAAGTACCTGCATCTTATCAGGGCGTACAAAAGATTCGGCAATCAGGTGGACGAGCAATTCCCACTGGATCGGGAGGACTACCTGAACGCCTTGAACTCCATGTGGCTCTGGGCCCGCGCGAAGAACGAGATTAAGGGCATCGTCGGCCTGTACGGGCTGTTCCGGCAGATGCAGCGCGAGATCGTCGATCTGAATGCACCGGTCAACGCGAAACAGCTGGCGAACTTCGCCGAGACGATCCTGCGGGATCCGAACGCCGCGATCCCGTTGGCGCTCGACCGTATCGCGACTCTGATCGTCAACGAAAAGTTGTTCATCGCGGCTTTTCAGGTATCTAACAGACGGCCGCGATTCCGCAAAGACTGCATCCTCACCGACGAATTTTCGTTAGGAGAGAATTTTTTTTTCTTCGAGATATGGCCTTCTCTCAGAACGAGATAGACATTAGTTTACAGCAAGCAGATGTAATAGTATAGCTTTTAAGTTGAGAATTAATTCATTTTTAAATGGACTCGCGCGCACAGTCCAAAAAGATTCGTCGGCACTCTTTGCCGGGAATCAAATATCACAGAGCGACGCGTGTTCATTCTCGAACGCACAACATCAGCAATAAAAATATTATACGTCTTCGAAACATTTGCAAAAGTATATTATGTTCCTTTGTGTGCAGGAAGCGTCGGACCAAATGTGCAATGAGATGCAATCGCCGCAGCAACTGCTGTACAATTTGTATAATGCCGTGGCGCTGACGGAGATCAAGGGTTACACTATGATTCAATTCTCATATATGCTATTACGTCTGTACAACGAAGGTACGTGGTACCGACGGGCACGTTTAAATATACACACGTCCTACATACAGCATTTTCGACGTCGCGCGATCTGGACGGATCAATTAAGACCAATCATTTTTTTTTTCGCGAGCTTAAATGAAAGAGACGCGTAGATGTCGCGCGAATTTAAAAACTTGAAGCTAAATCTAGCAATTTATATAAAAACGCTCTCGATATTAAAGATTCGAAGTCTAGGGATTACAACAAGTTAACGTTAATGCTTATATAGTTATATACGTTTACGTATCTAATTTTTATAAATCCTTTGACATACAGGCGATAACTTTAGCGAGGAGATACAGACGCTGAAGCATCAATACGCGATACGAACGTCCGAGACGTTGAGAGCCGTGAAAACCGCAATGGCATTCGCCCCGAGAAGTCTTTGGCGATGCGATCCGGGTGTGCACAAGTTAGGTAAAGCCCCTCCGAATAAAAATAATTAAGCTATACAGACGTACACCGCGATGATGTTGCAATTTATACGATTTATAACTGGATATGTGTATAATTTAAAGATACGCGATTTTTTCCGTTTAGATGAAACCTATACCGAATTGACGGAACTATTCCAAGGATATATTGTAAACGAAGTGGATTTAAACGGTGACGGTACATGCAAGGAGAACTGTGGTTATTATGGATACAGTAGGGTGCACGGTTGCTTCGCTAATCAGTTTTGCTCGACACAACGTCAATGTACTGGCAAGATATTGCAGTGCGAGTACATTGATTCTGACATGTGGATCTGCCCCACGGTATTTCTTAACCTTGGACACATTTCGTATATATGAAAATATAATTAAAAAGTTAAAATTACATCTATAAAATTGGAATGTCGAAAGTAAAAAAATAATTTCTTTGAAAATAGAAAAAAAATGAATAAATTACGGATTTAAGAAATCGGTCTTGCAATTTAAAAAAAAAAAATGTAACGTAGCAGTCTCCCAATCACTAATTCAAATTTTTTGCATTTAGGCAAACAAAAGCCATAGTAGGCGGTACGAATATATCGAGTATGAAAATGGTCTTCATTATGGAAATGCAAAGACGTGTCCTAGTCAAACAATTAAAGTCGACAGCTGGTGGCGGTGGCTTTTCTGGCATTGCAGCTATTGCTTTTGCTATTGCGACGATCAAAATTCGAGTACCCATCGATATTTCAGTCTCCGATCCGTGATGTCTGACATCTCGAACAACCGGTAAGAACGGCCAATAACTTGAATTGATGAAGATCAACAGAACGAATGAAATTGAACAAAATTAATGGAATTAATAAAATTTAATAGAACGTAATAGAATCTATACGAAAGATAGCTGAAGATATAACACTTATTTGTAGCGTCATAACAGGAGTAAGATTGAAGATGATAAACCGAATTATTCATATACAAATCCAAGAGGGTCAGCTACTTCCAAGTGGGGAGATTAATACAGCCACGATCCAATGGCAACCGATCGATGCCTTTTCAATCAAGGATCCCGACATTAAACCTGACGTTGACTACCATACAATGACATGGGAAAAACGCGCTTTGGATCTCGATGATCTGTCAATGAAAGATCATCTGTTGACAGGTAACTGATCTCGGTTAACATATAAATCTTATGCGGGCATGTCTTTGTGTAAAATAAAGCGTTATTTTAAAAAATATAACGCACTACAATATGCGAAATCCGATTTAGGCCTTCGATTCCGAATGGTTGGCAGCCGTTTAAATTTGGAAATAAGGGTGACTCCGTTCAACTTTACATCCGGATCTATGATTCAACCTGAGGAAAAGAGCTTCTGGCACAGCAATGACGTTACTAGCAGGTGAGATTTTCTCTCTATTTTTTTAGAATGGCTAAAGAGTTACCTAATCCTTTTCTGATAATGCTGCCTATTGACCGCATTTTTTTTATTTTTAGAACCGAGCTGAAATACAACGAACCCGACGTACCGATTCGCAGTTCCCTGCCGAACGTACCGGATTCCGGGGAAAATCAATACTTGAACTTCGCGCCGAGCGATCGACGGAAGGACGCCGCGCAGAGCACAATTCCCTTCCTCGACGTTCAACCGCTCACTCCGAATCCGCCGGTGCCGCTCTCGGGCGCCGGTATCTTTCACAAGGGCCGAACGGGCTCGGGCGGATTCGTCGCCCTAAAACTGATCACCTACGACTACGCGCCGCATCTGCAAGCCGATCTGCCACCAGCACCGCCGGTCCTCGGGACGGCCCCGAACGAGATAAAAGCCGCGTAGAATCCTTTATACCTTTCAATACTTTATAGAAATTACCGATTAAAGAACCTGTGATTTTCCGAGGACCTCAATATACGTATCGAGGTAAAAGCAAAGATGTGTATCGAGTTCTTGCATACGAAATGTTGACCTACAAATGTTTCAGCTTTAAAGAAAAACCGAAATTTTTTAATAAAGCACGAAGCGAGAAAAATAGACGTTGGAACATTCGGTGTACGAAACATAAAAGTATGTTCTTTATCTTTAACCCCTTCCCATTTTTAGATTCTGTTCACATTCAATCAAAATTGCGATTACGAGAGAGATTTCTAATTTCGAAAAACGTGGAAAATATAATCTTTTTCAACTACTTTGTTTCCCCTTGGAAATTATTTAATTAAAATCTTCTACATAAGACCGACATTTCCTATGCAATTAATAGTGATCATATTTAAATCTTATACTAATTACGTATAGATTTTTTTTTATTAAATCCGTTATACTCATTATTAATAAAGCCATCGTTTACCGGTGTATCGTTTACCAAATTAATTAGTTAATTAATAACTTAGATCGTTAAATCTTAAACTCAAAAGATTTTATGTAAAACGATCAATTTAGAGCGAAATAATTTAAAACGCAAATGGCTACAGTCTTTTTGCTGCAGTTTAATTCGGTTACCGGGTTAAACAAAAAAAATATATATATCAGATTTAAGAGATTTCAAAAGATTATAACATAATAAAATATTTCATTTTAGTATTAGGATTAGAAGAGTATTGTACGATTTTTTTACCACATCTTCATATGTAAACTTTCTTCCAGATTAGATTTATAATTTCTTAACGAACGTTATTTAGAATCTTTATAGCTGAATTTGTAATATTTTTGTAATATTGTATGTAATTAATTTTTTTTTCTTTAAATTTCTCTATGTGACTATATAAATGTGTATGTCTTTTTCAAAATAAATTATTATAATGACGAAGTCTATATTTGCATACGTGCAAGTAATATCATAAATCGTCGAGAAATCCCTCATTCATCTTAAGATTGTTAATCCTTAGCGGATCAAAATATTTCTATTAATCTAATTATTTAAATAATCTAATCGAATACAATCACAACGTTTATTGATGCAAAAGGTCTATAAAGGGATCTTTACATTTAAAAACAAATTTAAAAACCTTCAATTTAAATAAAATTTAAAGAGTTGTTTTTTCTTTAGAGACAAATTATAATTGTGCGTCCGCGAAGGATTAATTAAGGAAAAAATACGAGAAGAAAAATGTCTACTCACCTGCACTCGCAGCGGATGCATCATGAGAAGGTGCAGCATATCCGTGGGCGGCAATAATTCACGCAGAGTTGCTCCCTGCTGTCTGATCGCCTGACACATGAACACCGCGAGGTATCGATGAAGCGGTAGATGAAACGACACTTGCAAACTATCGCTCTGAAAGAGGACGGTGAGAAAAAACGTATAAATTACAAATGCACTGGAATGTAATATATAAGATAGGGCTCTCCATTTGATGACACAAGTCGACGCAAATGTCGTTTTGCTCTTTTTGATATTCAATGAGTAAACATAGACACAACGACTTGTGTAGACTTTTGTCACTAAATGGAAAGCATCCATAGTATGACAATAAATCGCCCACTCACCACATTCGGATGCGTGTAGTTCACGGCGTCGAGCCAATCCTGCAGAGCTGTAAGGCAGAAGGTGAGCACCTGCCGACTTAAGGCCGCACTCTCGGGTCCACGGAGATGCGACACCAGAGCCCACATCGGATATGCGCTGGCCTCCAGCTCGGCGCTGAACGCAGCATAATACGTGTTGGGCTCGAACTCGACGTGCTGACTTAGCTCCCTCTGATTGACGTTCATGCCTTGAAACATAGACAGGAAGTCGAACCACATTTCCAGAAGAGTATTATCGCTCATGAATCGGACAGCGACTGGCTTGTGCGAGAGCACGTTGTTCAAGTCGGAAACCAGTGGCCAGTAACAGTGCTCCTTCATCACTTGACGACCGCAGTCCACAACATAGTGAAAGTTTTTATCCGGATCTGAAAAATGCAAATCCTCCTTTTAATCTTCCTGTTCCTTTCGCATTCTGACTCTGTCTTTATTTTATCTTAAAAAAAAAAAAAAACTTATACGTACCATGCAAGGTGTTTTGAATGAGTATTTTGCTCATCATGTATTTCAAGCTAATAACCATAACGTGTAGTAACTTCAATTGATCAACCATCCTTAGTGCTAGCTTCTCGTTACTAAACAGCTGAAAAGTATAAAAGTTCGAGTTATAATATGTTATAAAAAATATAAAGAGACTGCAAATTTATATTTGCGCGCGCGCGTGTTATGATATTTACTGAGAGTTAATAAAAAAGATAAATACCTGTACGCTTACGTGGACCACCCTATTGCTCAACGTGTCGGGATCGGTGGATCGTTCGAGCATCATCGAGATTCTGCTGTAGTGTAGGACAAAGGCGCGAGTTAAAGCTTCCTTGTAATCGGGATCCGGCAACATGTTCAAAAGCAGACAGACTAATTTCTGCGGAAACTCGTAAGCGACCGTCCAGAACATCAGTTCTTCTAAAAATGTGGTGTGTTCCAAGTGCTCTTGAAGCGACACACATTCTAAAAAGGCGAATCGTATCGTGTTATTAAGTCGCTTATGCAAATTTTTTTTGTCGTAAAAATCATTATTACTGATTGAAATGTTAATAAAATTATCGCGAAATTGTCCTGTAATAATTTTATCACTCACCTTTATATTCGTCTGGAGGCTCGGGATTTGGTAGCGATTTCACAGCATGCTGATATATTTTATTGCTATCTTGACAATAGCTGTCGTACTCCGTTTGACCCGTTAAGACAGAGGGATCCATGAGACCTCGGTACTTTTGCGGATTCGTGAGAGCTGACGTCATGACGTGCCTCATTAATGCGCCCATGTTGTTCAAGTCGAGCAACATGGTCAGGTATGAGTCTGCCTCGTGTATAGCACCTCTGTGATCCGGCACTCCCATTTTACTAAAATAAAAGAACCAAAATCAATCATTAGATTGATTTTATTGACACATTACAATTTTGTTCCAATGTATAAAATAGTGTTCCTCTTTAAATTAAACATCTTCAAGAATAATTAAAAAATAAAACGTATTTACGTTTCAAACAATTTACAAGCGCATTCTACATCTCGGAGAATTAAAAATCCTAATGAACAAATAGATCGAAAAACATTTCATTTCTGAGATACATCCACTTTGACTCTAAAGTCTAGAAGCAACACGAGTTATGCAATTTCGAGAAACACATACTGAAATATGTATATCAGTTTGCATCATGTGGCAAAAGGTCAGAAAGGATATAATTTCTTTGCATTTTAATAATTCAGACGTATTTAAAGTACAGCTGAAAGGCCTATTTTCTACTACATATTCATCAAGAGGTCATAATAACGGCGATGATAACTTTCGTCCGAGTACAATGTTCGACATACCTGTTTTCACGTAAATGTTGTATAAGTCGAAGAATAATTCTGGGCATCATCGCCTCGGCTACGCACATCAGATCACTCGGCGCAACTGATTTATTTACAGCAGCGTTTGGCCCGTGCCTATCACAAAATCTGTAAAGCAAAGAAAAACGACATCAGCAATATTGTAGAGAAAAATTATTCAAGAATGTGTTCGACAAATCACAACATGAAATTTGCGGAAATATGCAAGGTATTTAGCTGAGAAATCATAATATTTCCCCAAGGTACATCCCGCAAAAGAGAAAAAGGAAGAGAAAACGAGAGAATTAGTTTTAGAAAAATTAAAATATTTCCCAAGTCAAGATGATTACAGTAAACCCCGCAGATTTCTATTGTACAGAATGTGCTTAATTGTCTTACCCAGTCTCCTTCATCACAGATGTATCGCCACAGTCGCATGCACCACCAGCTTGACTGAGGAACATGTTGAAGTCGTGGCGATAATGATTTCCTTTCTTGAAACACTCTGTGCACAAGGACATACAGGGAGATATGCCGCATGTACGACAGCGATACGCCACGAAGTTTGGTGTCCATACCAGACCGCAGGTGGTAGCGTTATCATAAGTGCGTACTAGAAACAAGAATTTGATTGGTAAACAAAAGGATTCTAGTTTACTTCCATAATACAATTATCGCTTTCGAATGTGATTTTATACATTAATAATTTAGATAATATACATTTCTGTAATTATTATCAAGTTTCTATGCTTTTTATTATTTTATTCAAGTGTATTAATAAAATTAATAATCTGTGAAAACTATCATAAAAACGAAAATATCTTGCTTCCTCGGAGCATTCTCTTCATCGGAGGTATAAAATGTTTAGAGAGAGAGAGAGAGAGAGAGAGAGAGAGAGAGATAGCAGTTGTTTCGGAGTCAACGACTTCTTTAAAAATAATAAAACCGACAAGAATAAGATTTTGTTAATACATCATTAATTTTTATCTTTAAAAAGATTAAATTCTTAAACATAAAAAAAAATCTAAAAATAAAATGAAAAATAAAAAAAATAAAATTCTTTTTAATATACGTACACAACATATAAATGGCAACAAGTAATCTAGATAATATTGTGTAATTATGTTACTTAACACGTGTCATATTATTTATAACATATATTTATATAAATTAATATCTGCAGAAAACTGCCCTTACATAACATTTAAAACAGCAACTCAATGTAATTTTTGTACCATGAGTTAAGCTAACGTCATCGACTATAGCTGCAATTCTATACTTGTCTTCACATGACTATATGTTTATCTGAAAAATTAGCGCTGCCAAATACGCAAATTCAGATATATTTATATCTGTGTGCAATTTATAAAATTGCAACATTGCAAATAAGGCGTTCAGAGCAAAGTAAATATTTATTGTAATAAGGAATGCAAGCATATCTACAACTCGATAATAATTCTTAAAATTTGTATAATTTTGTCATAAGATCTATTATTTAACTGCAAAACTAGCTCCATTTAAGTTTTTATATCTGAATGCTGAGCATTTTGTAACACTTCAGATAAAACATTAATATTTAAAAAATTATTATATAATAGTTATGAATATTTCTATTGAATACAAAGCGTCTTGAAAGAGTGGGAATAAATATATGGGATGTCAAGATAATCTAACGAATAATAAAGATTTTAAAATTTTTGTAATATTCAGGAATATAATCCTTTTAAAGATAAAAAATTAATGATTTATTAGCAAACTTTTATTCTCGTCGATTTTATTTTCTTTAAAGAAGTTCCGTTGATTCCGAAATAACTGCTCTCTCTCTCTTTTTCTCTTTAAATATTTTATACATTTCACAACTTTCATACCATTTTAATTTTATATATTTAATTTTATAATTTATCAGTATTATTCATTCTGATATATATGATCTTTGTTTCCAATATGACTTCAGACTTCTTATTATAATGGACATTTATTGTACATTTATTGAATAATTTAAATCAAATATCATGAATAAAATGCCTATGTAAGCCACCGCAATTGTATAGGTATGTGAATCAATAAAACATTTTGCAATGAGCAAAGAGTATCCTTGCTTAACAATACAGAACACATTTTGTCTTATTTGTGATATTTGATTGCATTCTGTATGAATTGTTAAGCAAGTACACTCTTTGCTCATTGTAAAATGTTTTGTTGATTTATACACCTACAAGTGCGGCCGCTCATATAGGCATTTTATTCATGATATTTGATTTATTCTTGAAGCCTTTGTAATTATTTTCTAATTTATTAATTGAATAAATTAAATTTATAAAGAGTAGTATAAGCAATAACTGACATTTATTCCTGAGTCAGTGACGAAGTTATCCAAGGATTTATGAAATCAATAATTTATTTAATAAACATCATTGAAATGCTTGATTTCTTTCTAGCTCCTGCTATTTTCCATATTTAATTTAACCATATTAATGCATCATATAAATTTAGCCTTAACTTTTTTGTACGCTCCATACTGGATGTTGTAAATTAAATATGTATTTGCAATGTTTGCTGTTACAAAAATTAAATACTAAAGTGCTGTTTGCACAATTTTATCGTTTCACAAATTCCCTGATATTATTGATAAATTTTAAATAAGGTATTGATCAAATCCTAATTATAACAATATACATATGTATATCATATTTCTCAAGGTCGACAGATTTCTCAAATGAGTACAATTTGTCCCAAATTGCAAGAAAATATTTAGTACAAAAACAATCCTGTTTCATCTACTAAATTAAAAATTCATTAAGACATAAACACAACGTTTATAAGTAATGACAACAAACGGAAATTTTCTACAAAACGTTGCAAATTTTTTTTAACAGGATTACATCATCCTGCATTGGTAAATTACCTGTGTTAACTGTATCGACAATTCACGTTACTTATTTAATAATGAAAATATTCCACCGCGTGATTATTAATTTTATCTCACGAGCCATCCTATTATCGCGCAGGATCATCTTTCATATCTCTCTTATCGCGGATATCCACCTGTACTGGCGAACTCGTCGGGTGTCTGGCCACGAGCCATGAGCCACTTGCACCAGTCGATGGTCTCCCAGTCGTCGATGGGTTTGCTGGGGTTCAGCAGGACGTCCAGCAGCTCGTTGAGATACGGTGGAGAGCTGCCGTACGTGTCCCGACCGGTAGCCAAGCTAATGTAGGCCGCCGCACCGCGCTTGCCCTTGCCCATCAGCACCTGGACGTCGGGCGACGTGCTGCTGGAAGTCGAGGCCATCGTGAGGCCTGAGGTCGTCTACCTTGGAGGAGGACGTCGTCGTCGTCGTCGTTCGATCGTCGCTTTCGTCGAATTCACGATCAACCCTTGCAACCGCGAGGGAGCCGAAGTCTCTCTCTTTCACTCTCTCTCTCTCTCTCTCTGGAGACTTTTATTTACTTTCGAAGCAGGGAGGACCCGTGGAGGACCAGAACCAGAAGCGCTCGGTCAGTGGCCCCATATCAGCAGCAGCAGGAGACGGCGTCTCCTGCCGACCCGGGGAGCGCCGTCGTCGCCGTCGCCGTCGTCGTCGTCGTAGCGGTGACCGACGGCATGACGAGGTCGGCGCGACTCCGAGCACGGCTCTCCCCCCCCTCCCGCCGCCGGCGGCGTTAACGTTAATTGACGTTAATGTTTCAACGGCGCGGCGATGCTCCCGTGTGCGCCCACGGCCGTAGGCCCGTCGTCGTCACGGGTTTCCAAAACGCTCGACGGCGGCCTCTTCTTCTGGGGCAACTCCTCGGGGGAAGCGCGACAATTATCCCCGTGCGGACGGAGCGCGCCCAGCGAGCGAGCGAGCGAGCGAGCGCTCGTGCGACGACGATACGGGAGGACGGAACACGACACGACACGATACACGAGATGAGACGAGACGATACGACACGGACACGAACACGGACACGGACGTGGGGTTTACCACGCGAGAACGGACCGCGGATACACGGCGGAGGGTCGAACGATCAACGATCGCGAATGTCCAACAACCGATCGACCGTCTCGCCGAGGAGAGGATCAGAGGCAGGCCGAGGAAAACCGACGAACGAAAGCGATGTGTGTGCGCGACCAGTCAGCCCCACTGGCGCGTCCACTCGATTTACTGTTCGCTCGGCGATCGCTGACCGGTCTTCCTTATCGACGTGGTGAGGTGATGCGAGTTGATGCGAGTTTGAGTGAGTGAAGTCCACGCACACACATGGTGCGTTTCTCGGCGTTTAAAGGCCCGTCGCGCAACGGTGGCGCACACGCGAGTCGACCAATCACGGATCGAGGGATTCGGACACGGCAGCCAAGACATTCCCTCGACTGTGATTGGTCAGTTCGCTTCCTGATTTTAACGTCCGCTGACGATTTTCAACGCGGCCTTTAGAATAATTCCGATCAACAAAATAAAATGTCGATTGTAAATCAATAATAAATAAAATAATAGTAATAATAATAATAATAAATTGGATATTAATAATAAATATGGTAATTATAGAACACCACTTCCGATTTTAATGGAATCACAGCTCACAGGCTTATTCGACGGTTTTACGCATAAAATAAAACAGAAGAAAAGGCAAAAGAAAGATGTTTTCCTGCCTTGTGAAGTGAGATATTAGAAATTTCGCGTTTGTCGTTTGAAAACGGAACTTTTCGCAGTAGTCGCGTTTTCCATTTTCAAGTTGGCAGCAATCCGGTTACGCGCATGCGCATAAAAATCCGATCCTCTAGCCTCCAGCGACGCTGGCTCGCTTCCTTTTCACGTTCACGTGTAATCGGGCGCGCACGGTGCCGCGGTGAATAAATTGCGGATCGCAGGTAATCTTACGCGATAGGATTCATCGATTTCGCGTCAATGCGGCGAGCAGCGCGTTAAATCCGTTCGCATATCCCGGCGAGCGTATTTGACACTCGGGACGAAGCGTTCGCGAGATATTTGGAGTACGAAACGAACCGGTGCTAAACCGTTCCCGTCGCCTCTGACCGCAGCTGTTTTTCCATTAAATCGCAAAAAATGTGCCCTACGTGAACATGAGCGCCACACTTTTAACTGAAGAGTCATATTAAATTCACTTCTTTTTTTTTTACGTGTTGTGTGACAATCTAATGTTTACTGTGCCTACTGAATTGACTAGGTTAGGATCTCGCTATGGGCGGAAAGTGCAATGTTTGAATTTGTTTAGCATGTAATTTGTCATTTTTATTTTTTTTTCTTTTGGTGGCCGTCCAGTGTAATAAGTTTATATACGGGCGGTTACGTTGCGTACATTTGTTGAAATTTAAAATTTCCGTAGGTAATGTACACGCTATACGTACATCGAGGAATGTGAAACGTTGCATGTGTGTAAATATATGTATGTTCCTTGACTAATGCCTATGCCACGTTTCGGTTTCCAGCCATGGTGCGTATGAACGTTCTCAGCGACGCCTTGAAGGCGATCAACAATGCCGAGAAGCGGGGAAAGCGGCAGGTGCTGTTGCGGCCCTGCTCCAAGGTGATCGTCAAGTTCTTGACTGTCATGATGAAGCATGGTGAGTGAATCCAGTGTGCTTTGTGTCATTTGATTACTATTTTCTCCCGCATGCACGTGTACGATGTATAGTTATACCCTTTTTGATTGATAAAAATGTCAAGAATTATATTTTCTTTTCTCCTTACAGAACAATAGCTTAAATGTCTGTTCTTTTTCTGTTAAACACAGGATATATTGGGGAGTTTGAAATTGTGGATGACCATCGCAGTGGGAAAGTAGTGGTAAATCTTACCGGAAGATTAAACAAATGCGGCGTTATCTCACCCAGATTTGACGTACCTATCAACGACATCGAGAAATGGACCAACAATCTCTTGCCTTCTCGACAGTTCGGGTAAGCGCGCTATATGAATTTAATTAAATAATTTTGTTCCTATTTTGATGGCTAAAACAAATTGCTTGTGTAGTATTATGTTGTATAAATATTACAAATAAAATTAAATAACGAAGTATACTTTTAAGAGATTGTTTGGTTCAAGCAGAGTATGCGTGTAGTTATTGTAAAATTATTAGCAAATGTTTGTTTCACAGTATGGTGTTTTAAGATAGAAATTTGTACTAATTCAACTTTGTGTTTATGTTTTAGATATGTTGTGTTGACAACTAGCGGAGGAATTATGGATCACGAGGAAGCTAGGAGAAAACATCTTGGTGGAAAAATATTGGGATTTTTCTTCTAACTATTTAATTAAGTAAATAAAGATGTAAAAACAAAAGCGTTCAAGTGATCTTTCGATGAAAATCGAGTACTTCTATCCAAAAGATTTTCACGATTCTTCAATGTTTTATTTATGGTATGCTCTTGAAGACGAGAATTTTTATGAACCGTCGTTTTTCCATTCAAAATTTCCTTATTTCTTCACTGATCATTTTTAACAATTTAAGTGGATCAGCTTGCCTTGCTTGTCTTATTATATTCCTAAAGAATTATTCTATGATCATTTTATGGCGACAAATAGTGGACAAAATATGGTGATGCATCAATTTACTGGGAGGAAAAAGGAGGAGGGGAATCGACGAGGCCGTCGCGAGCCAAGATACGTCTGTCTAGGAGCTGGACCAGGTACTCGTAGGGATCGTGGGGTCGGCGCACCAGGAGCTCGCCGAGCAGGAAATCGACGATGTCGTGAATCCCTTTCCGTTTTAGATACGACACCGCCTCCTGCTTCCGCGTTGCGTGTCGGGCAGTGTCACTCTCGGGAAGCATATTTGACGTTTCTCGTTGCCTCGAAGATGAGTTTGAACATTCCTCCATCCTGATCCTTTGAGAGGATCGTTGACCGACAGTGAAGGGGCTGTCAACTTTATTAGCAATAAATTCCTCTAAATCATATCGGATTTAGAGCTGCCAATTTGGGTAATAATAAATTCCCCAGGACCCAGAATGATTCTTTGGAATAGAGGAAATCTTCTATATCGACCTCCGCGGTCTCTCGGCTTTTCAAGGACATCACAGCTGGTCGCAACCGCGACGAAGTAGTGAGTAGTGAGGGTTGCCTCAGTTGCCTGTCACACCGGACTCACCGGTCCACTCCGCACTCGTAATTATCCTGTCGTCGATCTTTAGCGGCAATTAGTGTTGTTTCCGCGTGGCTGAGACATTCGGCGGATCTGGCCATGGCATTATCGAGAATCGGCAGTGTGAAGATGCTGAGCACTTTGACTCGCGTCCCGCGCGCAGGTACAAATTACTTTTCGCGAAATACGCATTACTGTCTCGCTCCGTAGAAACGCGTGCAATAATTGCGGAGAGGACTGTTCTCAGGTGTGCTGCCACGTTTCTTTTTTTTTTTTTTTTTTTTGTGCAGCTCGAGAGGTGGACGTCGAAGATGCTGGAAATGACGGAGCTAAATCTGCTACATTCTAACTGCATTGCTAATCATGACTGTATCAGAAAGAGTTGCTTCCTAAGAATTATTTTTGGAAATTATTTAAATATTTTGCGGCTTACATAATTTTACAGTATAAATTTAAATTAGCTATTTTTTGGTCTAAATTTGCTGTTTTTTAAATGTTCCATAAAACGTTTCAATATTAACATTGTATCGCAATGAGAGGCACTGGTTTTTTCCATGATGTCAACAATATTAATTATTGAGCTCGATTAGCATATCTGTGTCTTTAGTCTTTTATCACTGATTGTGAGATGTATACATTTATATGGAATTCATATTTTTTTTCAAAGTTTATAATTTTTAAGTAGCAATCCTTATCGTCCATATAATTTTTATTACAATATCTATATTTTATCTTATCCTCATTCACTTTACATATATCTTTATATTAACATAAATATTATTTTAGCATAAGAATCTCTTCATATACACTTCCTTATTTCAATCTGATTGTACCTTATTAATTTTCATTTTTAATTTATTTCTTAATCTCTGCTTTATGACTTTATATAACTCCTAGTTTGTACTATATCTTTAATAGACACAATTGTATACCTTTTCATAACATAGTGTAGAGACAAAATATCATATAATCCTAAACATTAACTTGATCTCTAGATTTTTGGCATTTAACATTTTAGCATTATGCAACTCTGGTGCCCTTTTTACAGTTTTTTGTTAGTCTTTCTATTTATTTATTTATTGTATATACACTCCTTTGTTTTTTTTCTTCTGGTTTATATACTTTATTACAATATTTTCCTTTTTTCACTCTTTATCCATCATAAAGCAAAACAATCTCTATATATACATATATACATGTATGTAATAAGCATATATATAATACGTGTAAGAAATGTGTTGCGTAATATGTTTTACAATATAATAACATTATATTTTAATTGTAGCATTCCTGGAGATGCAGTGCGCGACTCCGGCGGCAGTTCACCGGAAGCAGCAGCAGCCGTTGCACCTGACCAGCGCGCGTTACTATCCGGATCCGCCGACTCTCACTCTGCCGAGCAACGTCTGCGACATCTTCGCCAACGAGACCGGACGCTTTACGCCGGAACGCGCGCGCGACATCGCCCTGTACGCCGAGAACGGCGGCACCGCCGTCACCGTGACGAAATGCTCCGGATTCCCTGAGATCCGCGACGACGGCCACGTGGATTCGTACGACTGCTTCGGCGCGGTCAGCTTGAACGGCACGATGCAGAGCAACGTGCCGAAGCCGTTCTCCTCGTGCGGCAAGTCCATGCACCTCAACATGCCCGGTGGGCAGTGGTCGCGCGACGGCAAGTACATCGCCGAGGACATGCAGCGCTCCCATTACCGCAAGTTGTCGTGTAAGAACGACCTTTGAGTGGATTCTGGATGGTAGAGGTGCTTTCCTTATCTTTTCGCATCCCCTACGACTCGCATCTTTCTTGTCCCTATTGTTCTCTGAATCCTAGAAGATAATACGATGCTTTAAGTTCGGGGATTTAAATATCGCAAGATTGAAAAACGTTCACGAATATACCAAGTTATTCGAAAATCAATATGTGCAATTCGCTAGGATTCAAAGATTGGCATCCCGAAAACTTGTAATATTTCCACGACTATCTAACGTTACAAAATTCACGAGTGGACTTTATCTCCTTCCCATATTGCATCAATACTGTATCAGTATTAGTAACATTGGGACAATCACAAAAGCTCTGTCGAAGATTTTTATACACTTGAGGACTTGCAGATTATTGCGTAAGTTGGATCTTCAAGGTAAATAAGAACTGAGCTCAAGCTTTTGTGGCTGTCCGGCATGAGAAATTCACATTAGGCAATTATATGTATCGCTCAGGTACCGCAACTAATGCCTTCATAACGAGCCCGCTTTTACGAGCGACATATTGGCCAACTTGTACCGTCAGAATGAGCTACTCGACCGACACCTCCGAGGCGTCCCAGAAGGGCCAGGCCGCGGTGCCGGTCGGAACGATGTCGCAGCGGGAAAGATTTCGCCTAATGTTGAGGGATTATGGAGGCACTCTTCTCGCCTTTCATATCACTATATCGCTGTTAAGCCTTGGTGGTTGTTATATGATGGTTATTAGGTCAGTCGTGCATTCCTCGGAGTTCGTCGAAAAATTATACCCTCTCTTCCAGCTGACATATCTAACATCGAAAATTTAATTTACATTCCTTTTATATTTAAATTTATATATTATTATTATTTTATATTAATTTATTTCGATTATATTTATATAATTGAAATTTTCGTAATTTATATATCGAAAATTTTAATCGTTGATTTTTATAATATCAAAGAGGGAAATGTACTTGATCAATTTATTTATTTAACAAATGTTTGATTAAAATTTTATAAGTGTTCAGTGTACTTCTGGTATATCATATATAACTAGCTTTTTATGGTTTTTTAACAGACTATTGTATTAATTTTTGTGTGTACTAATTTTTCACAGTACAGTATAACGACTCTCAGAAAATGAATGAAAGAGAAAGTGAGAGCGTTCCAGTATTTCTTATTTTATTGTTAATGAACATAAAATTATATCATTTTATCTCGAGAAAATTTATATATTACAATCTTTTTTTAACTAGAATTCTTGATTTCAGTGGGATCGATGTAATGCCGTTCGTGCAAAAGTGGACAGGCGGAAACGAGCAAGTAGAGAACCTAATAAAAGTCTCGACGGATTTTATAATAGCGTACACAGTTCACAAACTGCTCGCGCCTATTCGAATAGCAATAACGTTGAGCGTGACTCCATTTCTTGTGAAACAACTGAGGAAGATGGGCTTGCTTAAAATGTCGAAACGAAAACTATCACCGCCACCACCAGCTCCACCCACCAAACCGTCGTCAACGTCTTCGTAAGACAATTACTACTTTTATAAAAAGATTTCGTTATTGAGCGTCGTATTTCGATGAGAGATGACTAACAAAAATGAAGCACTTTTAAATACAATGGTAGCATTGTAAAAAGGAAATTAAAAGTCGCAAGAGGAGTGAGATTTTTCAACGAGTAAGATGTAATTCTTTTTATAAATGACATCTGTTATAAGTATTAGGATCGATTTGTACATCTTGTATAAATTTAAATGAAGTGATAGTTTTAATTGAGAAATTTTGCTACTGGATAAATTGATACATGCGTAGGCAAGGCTATTTTCTTTCTGTATAATTCAAAAATTAAGGTTTTAATATAATTCTAATCTGCATTTATAAAAAGGTGTAGGCATTTATATGTATTTATGTTGACGTTACCAGTTTTATAAAAACTGTCTGTAAATAAAACGTTAAAAGACACAAAGAATCGGCTTCGCATATGCACCTCTCGTTTATTATATAAAGAATATAGTGATCATAAAATTTACATAATTTTATATATCTCGCACACGACACGAAGAGCCGCGTGTCTCGCGTGTGCGTAATAGATGCCATAATAATCACGCGTATCGCATTCGCAGCACAAGAATCTTCGTTACACAAAAAGCTCGGCAATTTCAGTTGGACGAATATTCGCGGTGTTTGTTTCGCACAAGTTTTCGACCATGCGTAACACGTCGACGTTAATATATATGTACAGAAGTCTTTAAAAATATATTATAATATACATAGAGAGAATAGAATTAAAAAAATGTATATAATTATATACAATCGGTGTGTGTATGTGTGTGTGAACCTAAAAAGTAATACACTTCTTAATAAGTATAAAATCTTACAAGTTAATCTCGTTGAGATTCCGCCGAGACACGGCCTCGACGTCGCGCATTACAGTCTAAAATGATAATGCATTCGTCGCGCGGAAAAAAGATCCTTACAGCGAATATACACGAAAAAAAAACGTACGGCCGACAAGAGCCATCGAGTCTCCGTTTGAGTATCATCGTATGTTTTTTTTTTTTTACGTCCCTCGATACTTTGTAGAAATTAAGCGTAATAGATTTCGGTTCTCCATAAATTATATATATTAAGATGGGAGGATTCGGCAGTGTGAAGTATGATTGTTAAAAAACGTTAGAATTTTCAATCCTTACGATTCGATCGGATGCACTAGCGCGTACTGACGTAAATTACAATTTGTTATATAATAATCTATCTAATTCAAACGCTATTTTAAAGCATGACGCAAGCGCTTTGATTAATGAAACGTCAAAACTGCAATTCTATCAAGCAACGCGATAATTTATTTAGATGCTTGAGCATTTTAGCGCGTCCGACCGTTTACTATGTATACATTTTTATGCTACGATAATTCTTAATGTGCATCAGTACGCGCTAGTATATCCAACTGAGAATATTTGCTATTAAGAATCTTAATTCTTAGATTACGTCGGATCGATGGATCCGCTTAGCTGCTTTAGAAACTTTGAACACTTGATTTGTCTGCTGTAGCATTTTGAGCATTCTCAACTTAAACGTATAGGGACTTGAGTCGTTCGTAAAGAGAGATGAGATACGCTAGTGAAAGAACAAATATCGTCTAATAATACTTCCAAACTCATCAACCATTCAGTCCGAATGCTCTACAGAGTCGTAAATCGTTCGTAAAAACACGAGTAAAAAAACTTATTTGGCACAGCGACGAATATTGTATGCCTTTATGTTATTGCAACTTTGATTCGATCAGTTTCATTGATAGAAATTAGATTCTCAAAAATTTGAAAAAATGCGAAATAATTAATAAAATAATGTGTATATATATATACACACACGAAAAATCGAATTAAAAAAGACTTAGCTATATCAATGTCACACGATAAATTTCTGTTAAAAGCTAATTACTTTCTCATTTAAATAAAAATAATGCGTTCATGTTTTACATTATGCAAAAGACTGAGGCAAGACACTGAAAACTCCGAGAAATCAGCGATCGTGCGACTGTCTTGATGAACCTACACACTTTAGCGTCATTACGAAAGTATGTCACGATATCGTAGGCGTTTCCCTCCATTGTGGGAAAATCTTACCTTCTCAATTGCACATTAAGTTACGAAGATCTACGAAGTTCAAGAAACATACAAATATTGAGAAAAAGACATTTTGTTCTCGTTTAAATATCTTTGAAAGATTCCATCAATGTTATGTTTAAGTTTCCTGATTTTCTGATATTAAAAAAAAAAGAAAAAATTAGTAGATCTTTGTAACTTGTGCATCTGCGGCCTTAAACGTAGGCCTCGGGGCGATGACCTCGTATGTGATGAAAGAATTGCCGCCAGCTGGTAATCGTCTTCTTGGACCACACCCAGAAGGTGCTGGTAATGCCGACGATCATCGCCATGAGGTATTTGATCATGAAGATCTCGAAGTCGGGTCTACGGCCAAGGTCGCGGGTGCGCTCGCCGAGGGGGCACGGCAACGAGTAGAGCGACTGCGGGCCCGGTCGCGAGCACATCTCCATGTTCCACGTAAGCATCCATTGGTCGAAATACGCCTGCTCGTAGAAGAGGCAGGCGATCACGACCAGAGCAGGTACGATGTACAGCACGGAAAAGATGCCGATGCGAATCATGAGTTTCTCGAGCTTGTCGGTCTTCGTTCCGTCGTGCTTCATCACCGTCCGGATGCGAAAGAGCGAGACGAAGCCCGCCAGCAGGAACACAGAGCCCAATAAGAGATAAACGCACAGCGGCGCCAACACGAAGCCCCGGAGAGCCTCCACATTCCAAAGGCCCACGTAACAAACGCCGGACAATGTATCACCTATAAATTAAGTTATATTATAAAAATATAAATTATGTTTATTAATTTCCAACATGATAAATAACGTGAGAATTTTTTTTTTTTTATTTAACTTTACTATTAACTTTGAAAAGAGATGTAAAAAAAATTTGGAGTAGTTTTCATTTCTGATGCGCTTGTAATCAAGAGGATATGACAAAGTGAATATACTTATATGTCTACATCTTTTTCACACAAAGTAATGTAATTTTTATTATAATTGTCCAATTGCCCACCTTCTACTTTTCCCATCGCTAGAATGGTAACGGTCTTCACCGCCGGCGCGGCCCAGGCAGCCAGATGAAAATATTGCGAGTTGGTTTCAATGGCTTCGTGCCCCCACTTCAATCCAGCCGCCAGGAACCACGTGAGGGTGAGGATGACCCACCAGATACTCGACGCCATGCCGAAGAAATAGAGAATCATGAAGAGCACGGTGCACAGTTCGTGTTTAGTACCCTGAGTGATTGTAGAAGTCATCTGTATTCGAATGCCCATGGGCGGCGGGAATGGCTCCCTACACGATATGGAGTTTCCTGCCGCCCAGCCGATCACGTAAGTCAGTGCTACCATCAGGTAACATACAGACATGAAAATGATAGGCCTTTCGGGATACCTGTACAAAAAATAAATGTTTAAAACGTGCGAGATCTTGAAAAGACTGTGTAGATTATTTAAACGTTTTTCAAACGCTAATTGTACTTCTATCTGTAGTCTATAAGATTCTCGATAAATATAACACTATATATATAGTAGAGCTATAATTCTTAGATCCTCTGATCGTTCTATTTTATTATCGAAATCGTATCTATAAGCTTTTAATATTTACAATGTAAATTAATTTCATATGGCACTTAACAATCTCTATTTAAAAGTAAAACTATTAACCTTGCGTAACTTCTCTAATTTCATAATAACTCTCACGATGTATAAACTTATTATCAAACGTTTGATGTTCCATGAAAGCGTGACACAACTTAATCCAAGAAAGCGAGCTTTACCTAAACCTATCTGTATCCATGAGGAATGTTAGGAACGTGAAGAAGCAAGATGCGGCGCAAACAGAGGCCCAAGTGCCGACCCACACCCTGGCGAACTTTCTCTGCTTCTCGGTGAAGAACATCCCGTCGCAGGGCGCACCGCAATCGGGCTCCACCTTGTCGCCCACCTTCAGCGAGTACCCTAATTCGTGAGGAACCTTGAACTGGACCGGGCAGACGAAGCCAAAGTCCCTGGCGCCCATGGCGAAACCGTTGCCGTAGGGCTTGAGTCCCTCGTTCCAGGTTGGCTGGAACTCCGGCACCGGCATACGGGCCGGGGGATAGACGGGGGGCGCGGCGGGTGGTTCCTGGGGCGTGGTGGTCTCGTTGGTGCCCACGCAGAGCTCGGTGCCGCCGTTCTCCGGCATCTTGGCGCAGTCGAGGGCCTCCGGCCATAGGAAGCCGAAGCTGTTCATCAGGCTCTCGCAGCCGGAGCGCGCGCTCTCGCAGAGCGACCGGCACGGCGGTAGCGCCTTGTCGATGATGGTGCAGACGGGCGCGTAGACGGTGCAGAGGAAGAATCGCAGATCCGGGCTGCACTTCATCTTGACGAGCGGCATGTACTGGTGCACCTCCTGCCCGGCGTCCTCCTGCTTCTGATGATTCATCAGATTCGGCATGATCGTCTCGTTGTACGGGATGTTCATGCAGAGGTTGATGGTGATGGGCTCGCAGCGGCCGTGGTGAGCGAGGGGATCGCCGCTGCCGCCGCCGCCGCCGCCGCCGTTGAGGGCGGTGGAGGAGTGCAGGGCGGCGGTGACGGCCACCACGCCGGACAGAAATGCACCGATCATCGCCGTCCGTAACATCTCTCGGGCCTCCACTCTCTGGAGACGGGCGCGCACCACCGACCGGGACCGCACCACTCACGACCGATGCCGACGGAGCATGCCGGATATTCGTGCTCAGCGACCACGACGACGACGAGGGTGGGGTGAGGGTGAAGGTGGCGAGATTATGAGGGTGAAGGTGGTGGCGAGGTGGTGATGATGACCGAGGTGATGATGGACGCGCTCGCCGAGCAGCGGTGTAAACAGTTATGGCAGTCGTGCGAACGTCTCTCGGCGACGGCGGCGGTGGAAGGTGGAAGGAGAGGTCACACGGGTGGGTCCTCATCGCGCCGAACGTCGAACGGCCAATAGAAGTGCTGGCTTCCTAGAGACTTTTCTGAATTCGTCATGCCGAGTCCACGTGCCGCGCGCCACAAGGCACCCCGAAAAAGCGCTGTCACGTTTTCGCTCTAGGTCGTCTCCACGGTCGTGGAAATCGGAGCTTCGACGTGAAATTTAAACGCCAAGTAGTATTGCCATTCCGGATTCCGGAAGAAAAAGAGATGCGAAGGAAGCGAAGCCGATGGACGCGATGACGTCGCGAGGGTGACCGAACTCCGATTACCTTTCTTAGAATCACTGATCATTTGTCGCTTAACGTAAGAAACGGAATAATTTTTACGGTTAGAAAATTATGGCGATCTCGATGGTTGAATTAATTGCCAATTAAATAGATCGGACTCTAATAATTGAAGTCGTCCTGAAAGTAACATCTAGTCTCTAAATCTCTCCTCAGTAAATTCAGACTCGAGTTTTGCTTTCCGCGGAGAAAGGCAGACATATACATATATATAATTTTGACTGTCGATCGTTTTTCTCGCAGGATTGGACCGCGGATTGGAATATGGACAGAGGGACGGTGGCGATGTTACAGATGATGAGGACACGATCGGTCTCGATTTTGATTTTATTTCCTTCCTGACATGTAATCCGCAACCACGTCCCGTTAGCCCTCGCCGACGGCGATCGGCGCGCACGATCGTAATTGCTACATTTTTCCTTTTTCTCTCTCTCTTTTTTTTTACTTTTTTCGCGTTTACAGTACGTACACGTGCACCGCATGCACCTTTAGACGGGTCGCATTCATGGGCGAACTCGCGCTCACTGCGCTTATATTTACAACGCCAGTCGTTTACACGAGCTGCGTATTTTCAAAACCCGCCGGATTTTCTCCAGGATTCGGGCACAGTATCTAAAGGACCCGACCAGGAGTGACTCCGAATTAACTTGATTGACTTAATGATTGATTTCGGCGTTATTTCATTAACATGGATATAGAATTATTGTTTTTGTTGTTTGACGTACAGAAAAAGAAAGATTAGATTAAAAACAATGAATTATGTAGTTGGAAATTCACATCATGTGATTGAATTCGCTGCCGATTGAGCTAATTGCCGATAAGTTAATTGGAATTTAATTGAAGTCGTTCTGAAAGTTTTTTCTTTCAGTTTTTTTTTCAGCGATCATTCTAAATATATATTGATTTATTTCTAGGAGTTTTTCTGCTTGTTGAAGGTTTAATTATATATTCCGACGGAAAATCTTTACTGATAATGTAAAAATAACGATTCTCGACCACTCAGAAATATAATATTTTATTGGTGACAACGGCGTAACATCTCGAGTATGAGATTCGTTCGATACCGAAGATGCTAAGCACAATTCTTCAAGCGAATTTTGTCACGTAAAAAATATCATGTATATTTTCTATAGATTTTATCTAGCATAAAGAAAGAATAGTGTTTTTTTTCATGCGGGTGTTGAAAATGCGCGGCCCGTTCGATAGTCGATACTAGTTATTGAGGAAGAATCGCGCGCGAGCCGCCCGAATCGCGAATTACGCTTTCGTTATCGTAAACAAATAAATAATTTATTCTTCTCGCACGAATGTACTCCCGGCAGGCGCCCAAGTCGCAATACAACTTGCGCGAGCTCAGCCTTCTTACGCCTTATGATTAGTATTATTTAACATTTAAGAGTCATTTATGGAAGATTGAAGTGCACCGCCAACATCTCTCGCGCGCCTCCCTGCTTAATTAATCTCGCACACGCTGGTCGATTAATTAAATCTCACGAAAGAAGAACGTTCGAACTTGAGAAGGATCGGAGGGGGAGTGTCTACGTGTAAAATCAAATCCCTTGTCTCGAATATTGAAAAATTTGGATTTTTTCTCTTTTTTTTACTTAAAGAATTTATGTAAAATTAAATCCCTTATCTTGAGTATTGGAAAATTTGTATTTTTTATTTCTTCTCTTTTACTTAAAAAATTTATTGTGATTTTCTGAAGGAAACGTGCCAGAGGAGGGAACGTCACGGAATTTTCAATTCCTCAGTACGGGACTATAGAAATCGCTGTATTTACAGTGACGCGATATCATGGAAGACGACTGATATCACTTTATGGAAGGTCCAAAATGTTATCGACGCCTGCGGGTCATCGATAAGACAGCCGGAGTCGCTACGCGATTTATGGGGAAGCACTGTTTTTAAGCTAAGAGGTTCGTCTAATGTACTCTTCTTTTTCCTTCCTTAGGATCGCTATTAATAAACATCGCGCGATTAGTAAAACTCTAGTCGATCGCAGAAACTTTTATTATTGGCACAATAGTTGAATTCCGGTAAAGACTGAACGCAACTTTCCTATACTCTCCGCACACACGCGTAGACTCTAAAATATAGTATAAAATATTTTATTTTACGGCTACATGTATACTACTGCTTTGATATAATTCCTATCGGTGCACTCGCGCGCGTCATGGGAAATGACTAGAAATTTCGTTTTTTTTTCTGGTTAACTAGATACCTTTTTCCAAATTCCTTCGAAGAATTCAGGAAAACGGCAATTCTCACGCGCGTAACTCATCGCACGTATGTGCGAGGTTCTTCCTTCGCGAGATCTAAAACTCGTTTTACTCACTAACAGTTTGCAGGCTGAAATTTGGTGACTCGCTCATAAATTCGAATCTGTGTAATAATTTATAGAGATGCGGGGACAAGGAGAGATCCTTAATTCAGAGGGAAGACACGCACGCGACGCTATCACAGCGCGATTCCTGCCAAAACTTCGGTCTTTGTGACTTTCTTTTCAGTTGTACGTATTCATCCTAAATTCATAAAATTCCTTGTTTTATTTTGTGTATGTTTCTTAAATTTACTCAAGACCGATTTTTCAGATTAATTAAGAGGGAGTTCAAGCACGAGGCCGGGGCTCCGTTTCGAATCAGAGCTTGGTGAATATAATATCTTCCGCTAGTGCACGCCCTGCGCGAGTTTAAAACGCAGCGTGCAGCCGGTCGCGGCCGCTGCGTTTATATAGCCGTGCGTATATACGAATACGCGGCCGAACGTGCGATCTCTCGCGGAAGAGAGAATCGGCGTGGACGCGCGCAACGTGCGCTAAAAAATCGCGGCACGGACACGGGCCACGGGATTGGTATGCGGCGCGTGCACTAGCGCGCGCACTCTCTCACATATACACCTTCGCGTCCGCCTGTACATGATTGCGTGTGTGTAACACCCGGCCGAACGGAGTCACAGAGGAAAACCCCGTCGTCGCCGCGGAATTACAATTCCGGAATGATCGATGCGTTTTCACGCGTCGTCAAAGAAACGCGCGTCTGTATGTGTGTAATATGTGTGTACGTGTGTGTTTCCTTCACCTTGTCCATTAGCACCAAACTTAAGCTAGTCGCGTGTTTAAGGTGTGTGAGATTCTTTTTCTTTTTTTTTTTTACAGGCTGTCCTGAATTTTTATTAACGAAGGACCTCCTATAATATGTATATACTGCGCGATCCTTTGGCGCGCAAAAAGACAGGATAATGAGGATTAAAATACTTTCGAGATATTCGAAAAAATGGACAGACTTTCTTGGAATATTTTTTTCAGCGAGATTAATACACGAGTATATAATGCGCCCGTCGCGCGCGCACGTCCGGCGCCGACCGGCGCGCATTATATCATACTTATTTCGTACATCGCGTGCGCTCGATCATAAAAGTCCACGTCCGCGAGGGAAGCTGAAAACGAATAGGAATTAATGAGAGTCGATCAGAATTATTCAGCGTAAGGAGTAATCTTTGAAATGACTTTCAACGATAACGATTTCATATATTGGTGAAGCCGGATCGGTATTTAAACAATTGGTTCTTAAAAGAATTTTTAATATTTTAAGGATTACAGCAAGAATATTTTGAGTAGAAAAGTACATGCTACAAAATATAATCAAGTCTTTGGATCACTTTTTTTTTTTAAAGTTTCCCTTGGAGCTGTGTGCTTTTGCGATTAAATGCACGCGCAGATATATTCGTCTATCTATCTATCTATCTATCTATTGTTCCGCTAGCGACACTAATAATCGTGTCGATCTAATTAAATCCGAGTGCAACAGCATGCGTGTCCGCACGTTCTGCGTGTTTTTCACGGATATACTCCATGCACCCGGTATATTTGTGACGTAACTCGGAGAGAATGCGTAATTGAGTGGATGTAATTAAACGGTACCCGTATATCGATAAGATTCCTTTCAATTCATTCTGTACGCCCGCCAATACACGCTGCATACTGTGTCACGCACAAGATATACCGGATGTATTTCATAGAAAAAAAAAAAAAAGAAAAACAAGGACACATACACGGTTTTTAATATATCTCGAATGAAAAAGTATTATGGGAAGAAATTATTAAGTATTTTCAAAGTCAATCTCTCTCTCTCTTAGATTTCAATTTTTTTGGAGTGAATTCCTGCCGATACCTTGTTGTTTATGCTAATTCGTTAATCCGTCTTAAAAATAATATTTCGTTCTCTTACAGATGAAAAATATTGCGCCGCTCGCACGTGGCGTTGCTGCCTTTGGCATTGCGTGGACACGCAGTATCGGGCGGGACTGAGCACACACGTCATCAAAAAATTAGCAAAAACAATAGATCGGTACTGTACGGTCGCACACTTGTTGAGCAAACGATCGCCGTGCGCCTGGGAAGATATACATTTGGCACTGGATTTTCTCTCTCCCCCCTCCCCTTTTTCTCTCTTTTACACTTCTTCGAGGAAAACTCTCTTCACTCGTAATCACGCGACGTGTATCGAACTCTCGATTACGCGATTTTGAATCGATCGCTAAAGAAAAGTGAAAATTACAAATATCGAGAAAAATTAAATTAATTCGAAGGATCTCTAGAAGCTGAACGCTCATGATCGAATATATGCAGTTACGTCTAAGAATGTTACTTTGATATCGCTTGTCATTTTTGCTTTAGCTCTAGACGCTGCATTAAAAATTTATTCGACTTACCTCTTCTTGGATCATATTAATTTAATTAATTGTGGGACTTTAATTACTTCTAACTTTGATCGCGCAAAGATTTGTCTTACCCTTTCGTTTTGATTGCATTCTTTGATATACACTGTTTCATCCCACATTTCTTTTGTGTTAAATTAATTTTACGAACAATCGTAATTGACGTAAATTCTTTCAAAAGATAAATTGTAAGATTTTTGCAATAAATTCCATATTTTAATCCTTTACTTTCGCAAGTAAAGAGGACCTGAATAATCGAGAGTTCTTTGCGACGCGACGAAAGAAAGTGTTTCTCTATTTACAAGGATTCCCAACGATCATAGCGATCGTTGGGAAACGTCGCCCATCGACGTTCATCACCCACAGCTGGTCGGGAAAAAAATATACGCAGCCGTGCCCCTTATTTTTACATCACCCGAACGATTCAGCTCGTTCGATTATCAGGAACGTATCTTCTTCGCGAAACCCGAAGACGTTCGCTCCCCCCTTCGGCCCCTTCCTGTATAATTTTCCCTCGTATTTAAAGAAATCACTATGCCGTTCTCTACGTTCTCTCGAAAATAACGATTGCTATCTATATATTTGTAGAAAGGAAAGAAGGGGACGCTGACGGGGTCGGAGGAGCCGAACGGTCATTTCTCCTCTTCGGGATCACGAGGAGGGCCTCGCCCGACGATGATATGGTTGCCCCTCGAGAAAGTCGCCGACGCGGTCGGCTCGGCCTTAGCTGTTCATGATCGTGGACCTTCTGGAGTAGCCGCGCCTCGTCACCGTTTCACCCTGCGCCTCGCACTCCCGCTTCACCCGGTCGATTATGTCCGCCACCAGCTTCTCTTCCTTCTCCCGCTGCTGCTCCCAATCCGGACCTTTGCCGATCTACAGCAGGTAGGTTGCCAATATCGAGTAAGAAAGTTGACGAATATTGAGCATTTAGAGATAGGTAGCTGTTACTTTGAAGAAGATATTCATATATTGCAGGTATTGTGAGTACTCACGTCGGTGGAGATCTTGCGTGTCTTCTTGTTGCTCGGCTCCTCACGATTCTCGTCGTTCTCATTGTCCGAATGACGGGAACTTAAATGGCCGATGTAGCCTTTGCGGGACTTAAAGTACGTATTGCAGCTGTGGCACTTGAAGAGCGGCGCCGGCTGGGCCACCTGGGTCGACACGTGCAGCTTGTACTTGTGCCTGTACCAACGGGTTCGCGACGGGAGCACCTCGCCGCACCACTTGCAGACTACGGAACCGTCGTTTTGAATGAGGTATTCCAGCAGCTTGGAAAATAACGTTTATTGGTGGTTTTTTTTTCTATTTCCTCTCACTCTCCTTTATCCGCCCCTTCTCTCCGCTACGCCACGCTCGATTTATCGAAATTTATTACATATATGTAATGGTACCGTGGGTACCAGAGTATGAAAAGTCAATTGAATTGTCTTATTCGTTACGTATGGAATTATCTGCTACGCTAAAAGTCCAAGAAAATGATTTTCAATATCCAAAGTCGAGGTCGCATCGGGGACAACCAACCTGCTTCCTGACCTCCGGTTCGTTCTCGCCTGCTTCCGATTTGGGCAGCAAAAGGTCGGTCTGGTCCTCCTCTGTGCGATCCGTCAGGAAGTGAACACCGCTGACCACCCTCTCGGTCTTGATGAAGGCGCCCGCGCCGCCGGTGCTCTCGTCGTCGCCGGCGTGCGTCGCCGAGGACGAGGCTGACGAGGCAGGCGCGGCGGGCGACGACGGCGACGACGAGCTGCAGATTTCGAAGGTGATGTCGCTCGGTAGCTGCGGCGGCAGCTGATCTGCCGATCGCACATGCAACGAGAAAAAAGGTACACGGCTTAAGATTAAAAATCGTTGCGGCTTCGATAAACTGTACCACGAAGAGCTGATCGCGTCAACGAGAATGAAGAACACAATTTTTTTATTTACATATAAAAGTTTATCTATAAGAGACCTGTTGTACATAAATATTTTGCCCTAATTAGTTGCTCTCTTAATCTAATCGCATTGCATTCGTTATTGGCAGATTACTCTGGAAATTTTTGAATATTCGGATATTTGGAGATTGTAAAGACTTGAAGGTATATCCAGCAAACTTATCCATTTTAATAGATTTATATAGAATTTATCTCCTTAAGAATTAATTTAATAAATTTAAATAATAATTTCTCTCTCTTAATTTTAAATATATCTATATATTTAAATATGAAAATATTTTGTAAACTAAAAGCTGTTTGAAATAAAAGCGTGATAAAGTTTGATCAAACTTTGATCTACTAACCTTTTCAATTGCTTATATAAATTATAATCTATGTCTTGCAAGTTTTTTAAGACGTACAAGATTCGACATTCTTCTTAAATACGCGGATTCGAGAAAACGAAATAACACGCGATAATTGGAGGGATGTTCCGTATACGAGGATGTAAAATTCTCGCAAGGAATTGTGTTTGTAGAGGATGATAGAAGAGACAAACTCCGCTAGACTATTGCAATGTATATCACAAAAAGTTACAAAGAGAGAAACTACAATTAGATAAAAACAAATAAAAATAATAATAATCGCGTTATTAGATTGCGTTATCGTTCATCTCGCCACCAGGCACCAGAGATATACGTAAAGGTACATCCGAGACGTACATAATCGTATAGGACAGGCATGCGTCCGCGATATGCGGCGACAATGTGCGAACGTGCAACTTTGCATCATCTTTATTGTTATTCCATGCGTACATATGTATATGCATGGAGCATGTACATATATACGTGTATGCATTAAATGTATAAACATATATATTATAGAAAAAACGCGTCTTGGAGGGTGCTTTTGGACGTGCGATATAATATAACGTAATATAATATATTTCAATATATATAATATAATATATATAATAGATTTTCTTTTCTTTATTCGCAACGCGTATGTACCTGTATTTTTGTGCAAACTACCCTCGAAATACCCGCGCGATCTCCTCCGTCTCCTCTATTGCTGACACGTATTATAATATTATTATAAAATGTAAATAACGATAGGTATTTGCGACTTTTTTCCCGATAAATTCGCTATATAAAAACACGTGTATCGAAAGACAAGTAAAAAATAAACTCAAAACTAACGAATTAATTAAATTAAGTGGTGTGCAAATTTATTTAATGTTTTTTTTTTTTTTAAATTGATGCCTCGATTAAACGACCGTTGGACGAGTTGCAATGCGTTTAAAAATCTTTCCACAATTACGTACGATATTTAGAGAAATCCTTGTCAGAGAAAATTCTGCGACAGAAAATTAACACAGATCTTGTTCTCGGGAAAAAAAATTGAAAAAAAGGCGCGATTATATAAATAACGCGTATTGCAATGTAAAAGTGCACATAATTTTTATTAATGTGTTTTATTATTACTAAAAGATGCGCTTTTTTCTCTTCGTCCTTCCCAGAGGCTGATTAGTTGCGATCGGTCAATTATAATATCGCAAATCGATCACAAATTCTACTGCGGAGTAAAATTTGTACACACACACACACACACAGCACAAACGTGGTAAACAAACCTTCTTTTCCTTTTCTTTTGGAACATTTCGGAAGAAAAACGGAAGATTCGCGACGTAATTGGCTTTTTAACTCTCCCCCTCGCTCTCTTTTTCTCTCTATATATAATATATATACCATTTAACGCTTAAATAAAATATCTGCATCGTGAATAGAATAATAATAATATAATAATAATATAACCGCATTTTACTATATCTCACGTTTTTCTCCATCGAACGCGCCGCGTCTCCTTTAAAGTCTAAACGTATCTCGCGCGCTCTTCTAACTATATAATACCCGCTGTGTTATATAGATAATAAAATTGGAAAATAAAATTATGAACGCGTTAATCCGACCATGTGTCTAAAAAAAAAGAAGAATAGCAGACAGCGCTGTAGTAACGTAGCGATATAGTAGCAATTGTACGTAACTAAATCATAAGAAGTAAATTCGCCGCTGCTTGCGACGCGCCTTGGAAGGTGGAGAGGAAAGGTGAACACGTTCTTAAATATGTTATCCGGAGACCTCGCAACAAAATGATTCGCAAGATTAAAAGATATTTTTTACTAGTCGTAATATAAATCTGTCAAATTAAAAAATAATCTCAGAATTTTATAATATCTCTTGAATCCAATATCTAAGTTTGAGTTATAAAAATTATGTCATCAAAAAGAGCGCTATGGATAATAAATTAAAATTTTGTACAGGAGAGATCTATAATACCCATTATGTATGCCAAATCTTTCTAACTATTAACGATCTGTGCTAGATGAAGAGTTATCACTCTGATAACTCGAGGCGAAGGTCCCCTCCTACCGAGGAAGAAATCACAAGCACGTGCACATTCCCTCTCTATAAGATATATATCTCTTTTTTTTTTCTCTATACATATGTTCTGTTAAATATAACTCTATTTTCTCTCTCTCTCTCTATCTCTCACTCGTTCTCACATTTATATTTTCACATATTTTATTTCCTCTCTCATTCACGCGCGTACACGGATAACGCCAATGCGGAAGACCAAAATACTGCTTTCGGTTCTCGATGCTCCCTCGAAAGCTCACGCTCAACAGGGTCAATTAATTGACTGGGGCGTACATTTGTGCGTAGAAATTGTGCTCGTCTTCGTCTTCTTAAGAATTAATTGACCGTCGGTCTCATCCTGTATCCTCTCACTCTTTCCCTGGCAACAACGTCCCGAACTGGAGACAGATCTCTTTATTTGGGTCTTCATCATGTACGACGAAAAAAAAAAAACGCAAGGGGAAAGGGAAAACAAGAGGCTCCAGTCGGGCCCGTCAGACATGCATACATTTTATACGGTGTCCGTGTACATATACAACATATAACGTCTTCTCTCTAATGTGCGCCTGTGTGTTCACTTATATACTAATAAAATAATAATAATAATAGTTAGTATAATAATTCATTTTTTATATTCATGCTGGTCCAGAGCTAAAAGTTAATATTCCTTACCGAACAAGTGATAATAAAAATAATAATTAATAATAATAGCTGTAATATAGTAACAGTGACAATAAAAATAATGTTGCGATTGTAATAGCAAGTGCGAGAATAATCGATAGTAGCAAGTAACTAGTTATCAATAATCAATAATGCTTCTATAATACACTTCCCCGGAAGAGACAAAAGAAAAACAGGAAGATATTTCAAGGAAGAAGGGAAAGAAACCTGTACATCGCGACTGTTACATAGGATACTTTACATACCCCGTATGTGTTCTTTCAATTTTCCTTTTCTCTTTCTTTCTCCTTTGTTTTTTTTTTTTTTATTAACGCCATACTAATATATTCTGTAATAAATATACACTTTCTCGTCTCTTCCCCCTTTTTTTTATTTTCTTTTTCTTCTCGTGTATTTCTAATAAAAATGTTAATTCTGCTCGTTTCGCGAAATAATGGTTTACTTCTTCCTCTTTATTTTTATTTTTAAAATACACTTCTTCCCTTTTTTTTATTATTTTTTTACAGGTTGCATCGGAAATTCCATAGAGAAGCAGGAATGCATTATTTGGTCAAACTGAAAATTAGATCTTGTTCAAGATCGTCAAGTAATTTTGATGACTTAAGCTTCAAGATAGGCAACCAGGTATGATTTCATAATTAATTCCGAGTAAATAGCAATTAAAAGAAACACGCTTAATTGAAGTCTTAACAGCTAGAATTTAATGTAAAATTAAAAAGATAAATTATACGGACAGAAGAAATATTTGACACGTCGAAATAGAAATTGTGCGCTTTCGTAGGAAACCGTTCATGAGAAATCAGAAATTGGAGTAAAAATCTTTTTCGTCATTCTTCGAAAAAAATTCAGCATCGTCTAATCATTAGGGACCCCGAATAGCCGAGACCTCGGAAATTGACCTCTCTTAATTTCTCGAAGCAACACAAATACTACAAGTGTTCTGACAGATTCTGTAAAAGATAGATTCTTGCTTGCAACTTCGACATTGATTTCCGAGTTCTCGAAATCGAAAACGCTTGATCCGAGGCCTGCTTCTTCAAGTTATAAAGGTTTACGATCTTGCTTCGTGGTGCATGCAGAAAATATATTTAACGGTATATCCTCCACGATATGCTTCTTTCTTACATTTTTTAAACAATTACAATTATTTTGTCCGAATCACGTTATAATCGTATAATCAAACAATCACGTCGTTTCATGCATCTTAATCGAATTTAATAAATAGAACGATTAGCAAAACATTCCCGCCACAATGCACATGCACCACGATTTCCCTTTCCACGTGTCGTACACGCTTGACTCGATGAACAAACGAGGATCGAGCCCGTTATTGCACAGAGTTCATATAATACTAACGTACACAGGAAGCGAGAGGAGTGTGATTGTTCCTCTTCTTCTTCAACACATTTCCCTCCTCTTTATCATCACATGTCACAATCTCCCCCTCTAGACTTCCTCTGAGTTCGCTCTCTCGTTTGCTCGTTTTTTCTCTTTAAGGAAGCTTCCTCTCGCTTCTCGCGGAAGACACGACGAAGCGGATCGTTATCGATCATCACCGTCATCGCGGGGGTGAGATGGGCTACGCGATTGGTCCGTGACCAAACTTTTCTTTCGGCGTGGGATGATATCTTACGTATGCTGGCAAACGCGATGATCGTTGCAGCAACGACGGGTGATTTTTCAACGGAATATCGATTTCTTTCGACAGCATATTCCACGAGATCTTCCGATTTTTCGTCGGGATGCAGTTTGCTTACTTATTTATTGGTCACCGTTTTACTTGAT